GGACAAGAACTACGAAATGAAAGCAATTGGCAAATATTGATTTGTGATCACGGGGAATGTGACGAGCCTGCAAAAGTGTGCAGTGCGTCGAGCGAAAAATATGCGACGTGAACTCATCTGAAACGGATTGATAAGACGAACTCAACTCCCGGTTCAAGTGGGCTAAATAAGCACAATTGAAAATTGTTCGCGTTTTATGTACGAAAATCTCAGCTGCGATCACGATTGTGGATCGGATGGGCTGCGTGAACGCGGGGTCAGCGGCGCTCCGCTCCCTCCTGAGCGGAGCGCGCTCCCTCCTTCAGCTGCGACCGCCGTGTCCGCAGCCCATTGCGGCAAGAACGGCGATCACCAAGCAGACAATACACAGCCTCCTCCTTCCCATACCTGTGCCTCCACATACAAAATAAATGTGTCGCATCCCATCGGCCGCACGGCCTTCTGGGAGTGCAACACATCCACAGCATTTGTTGAACACAAAGCACCAGTTATACGACATTCAGTGCCTCATCATCAGCTCGGCTTGCTTGAACCAACGCTGTTAAAACTGCCGAATGTTTGTCGGTAAAGTCTCTGAGATATGGGTCCCAGTTCGACGCAAAACGATATAATACACGATTATTTTGCGTTGTCTATTGAACAGGATGGTTCTACATCCGGTTAACATTTTTTTAATGCAAACTCGGGCTCATTTGGCACACAGCTCCCTGAGCTGCAATGTGTGTGAAGGCGGCGTTGTAACGTCGAGGACACAGAGCAACGGCCGTGCAGTCTGGTTAACACTCGTTCACTTACCCTGAGTAGTCGTTCAACATACATACGTAGCATGTTCACAACGTGTCGTAATTACACAGTCTGTTCTCCTACAGCGCGTGTAGTCTTCACAACGCAAATTGAATGTACCGTGACGATCACTGTATTAGGGAAGACATTTCATATGACGCGGATGCAAATTGGAGCTGACGCGATTGAATGAACAGAACGACGTCGTGCGAGCAGCAATAAGCGGCTGCCTCAGGGTAGCGTCACACAAGGCGGGATGCTGCTGGATGCTTCTAGATGCTACCCACGTGACTCAGTTTTTGTTCAGCCTGCGTACGTAACTCACGTGTTATCGCGGACTGTGCTTTACCCTATAACATACATTATTTATTATAACGCGACTTTTCCGTGAAGCGGCATTCTTCAGGAACGCAACTACCGCGTTGTAGGAGGACAGACTGGACGTACTCTATGGCGTGCTCTTATATAACATCCCCACAAATGAGTCCCGAGTAAACAAAAAAAACGCAACTATAACCAAAATAAAATACTGAACTTAAAATACCAGGATACCCCCTCTACAGCAGTGGTGTTCAAATGGAAGGGTATGTGCCCCCAATGGATTCAGGACTGGGTGACAGCGAGTCACATCACGTTTTTCCTTAACTGAAGAGTTCAACGTATGGAAACGACCAAACACACGTGGAAGCGGAGGCAGGGCTGGACTGCCGCGGAGAAAATGTGAAGAGCAGTGCCTCTGGACTCGACCGGAGGTAAGCGCGCGTGTGAAGCGATCGCCACCGCTGCCACCGCATGCTAAAGCGGGCAACACAGCGGCTGAAACGCACCGCGGACGCTGCAGGGAGAAGCGGTGGAGCTTGTGTAATCGATTTTCTCGTTTACTGGAGTGAATGGAACAGTTTGAAAGGCCAATCGAGTCTGCACTGCCCCGCACAAATGTATGCGTACCAGGGACTGTACTCATATTTCTGTGCGTTAATCAAACGCAGGTCTAGAATTCCCCTAGGTTTTGGATTATTCACAAGGGAAGTGACATCACAAACATGACATCACTACCATATGGCATCGACCGATGTGGCTTTTGTGAGCCCAAAGTCACATCAGTGTACAACATGTAAATGATCTGAACAAATGAGAGATTTTGCTTTAAATCCTAAATTTTTCATCTGCAAACTCCTAATGTGCACGAGTTGCTGCCAGCTATCTCAGTCTGCACTACATCACTGAAGGCGGCCAAACAGACCACCCGCTTGCCTGCAGTCTACGCCTAACTACCCGTTAAACTGCAGTGGCAAAGTTCATTCATGAGACGCTTGTGAGCCATGGCTTTAATCAATCTATAAACAACCCACCCTCAGAAGCGGTGCTTTAATTGGGCGGACAAGCTTGCGGCGGCGGCGTCGCACCCAATTCCCACAGCAAGTACAACAACCGGGCCGCCTAGAGGTCGCAACGAGCCTTTGGGCTGGAGGTCAGAGGCAGAATTCCACGTCGGCTGGAGGTCAGAGGCAGAATGCCACGTGGGCCGCCGTCTTATCCATTCATTAGCAACCAAAAAGGAAACAGCCCCGTTGTGGAACCCTCTTCTGTGTGAGGTCCCGGGCAAAATTGCCTCTTCCCCTCCCCCACCACCTTTGGGCTAGCCCTGAAAACCACAATCGTTGACTGCGCAAACAGCAGCAGTATCCCTGTGACATCACCAACGAAATGAATTGCCCAGGGGCCGTTCCCCATTCGAGAGAACACCACTGCATTGCGCTAAAGGGTGCAGCAGACTCTCTACCCCTTATTTGCTATTTCGTAAACATAGTTTTGTCGACTCATTGTGCTTCATAGTTCACTTCCTCGTCAGCGTCAAAGTAAATGTCCTCTGGGATTGTACGTCACAACGCCGTGAAGGTGAAGCCAGGAACGTGGGTCTGGCCTTCGCTTGCGAAGTAGGGCCTCCGTCGTGTGTTCAGTGGCGAGCGTCGTGCGTGCGTGCGTGCGAAGTGTACGCGCCTCTCCCACTTTCTTAACTTTGGCATTTTAAATCAGATCGACACTAAATTTGGTTTGATATCAACATCGTTGACACACAGGTGGAGTTTTAAGGCCGTAATGATCGAGTCAGAAAAGTAACGGTGCGGAAATGATCAGGTGGGGAAGTGGAAGGTGTGCCGTGTGTGGGGGGTGTGGGTGGAGGCGGGGGTGTGCAACAATCCACCACGACACGGACGCCACCAGGTGCAGGAGGAGCTGTTCTCCACAGTGAATCTAACGAGTTTTCACTTCACGATGAGCACAGCCGTCGGGGAATGACGATGAACTCTTCTAACTGTGCTCGGGGAACACAAGTGGCGGGAATCGTGACGTTCGTTTTAACGCCTCTAAGTTGTCTGCGCGTTGTGTCCTCTGGAATGATTGTGTGTTCTTCGGAATGTACCAGACTAGGATATACTTGGATCCACCCTAACCCCACAGCTTCCAGTAACTCCTCGAGCTAACGCGGCAAAAAAACCATCGTGACGTCGTTTGGTGCTAACCCGCGAGTTTCATCGCTTTCATTCCTTCGTCTGTAGCCCGACGGAATTCCCCCACAACTTGGACTCGTGCATCCAGTGACCTCTTCAGAACACAGCTTACAGCTGACCTGTCGGCAAAAATCCCCATCGCTACTTGGATTACAGAAACCTAACAGCAGGTATTCACAGTGACGAAATCCCTATGCACCACAACTTTCAACTGTATGCAAAGCCCTGAGAAACTGGCACGCAGTGTATGTACAACGCACGGTAATTAGAAAACACACTTACGTCCGTCAGTTTTCAGGCTGTGAGCATAGCTGCACTTCGGTTGACATTTTATACTTTTGCGCATCCGAGCGCTCATTATTCGCGCACTTTAGGCAGCGCAGAAGCAGAGACCGAATGCCACTGTGATAACGCAAAAGCCCCGTCCCTTCCCAAGTGATATTCCCATCAATCAGAACAGGGTCTGCACAGAGAGAGAGAGACATAAACACACATTTCCCACGCTTTTAGATCTCCCTTCTCTCTCTCTCTACATGCATACGAATTGGGTGATTATTAAAAGCACACGTGGTTGCATTTTAGTGCAATGACCACTGGAAGGCCAACTTGAGCCCTATGCCTTGTGGAGGGGAGTTCACCAAGAATGTGCCAACATCCAGGGGCTTTCTGAAGAGGTGCTAATGTGTGCCACGTGCCTCGCAAAAAGCGGTTGGCCATTGGGGTGAGGAGTGGCGGCTAACGCAAGCGCCGAGTAGACCCGCGATGCAGTGAAACCAACCGTATGGCTCTCAGGGGACATCCCGTCACGTTGGAAAGCTTTTGTTGTTGTTGCTGTTTTGCTCCTGCAGTCATGTCACATGACATAAGCCACACTTAGGAAAACGAGCGTTTGCGTTGGCGAGCGCGCTCACTGTGAAATCCGCGTGCGGGACAACTTGGCGCGCGAGCAGCTCCGCGTCGTCGGGGCCGTCGAGGGAGGGGGGGCGGGGGATGGACGAACGGCCGTCCCCGCGCCCGTCCGCGGCGCGCCGTCGATTGAGTGGTTATAGTGCAACATGCATTGCGCCGCGCTCTCGTCGGTTTCTCACCAGCGAGGTCCTGAACGCGCCGGGCTACAGCCGCTTTCGTCAGGGATGGCTTTGCAGGCGCGTCTCTTGCCACGCGTTTTGTTTACGGAGACGACGGTTCCAGAGCGGCGGGGAGGACGGCGCATCGTGAGCGCGATCGCCGCGCCTCAGGCCTCAGGGAGGCTCTTTGAGCGTCGCTAGGCCAGTGTTTTTAGTACCGGTGGAAAAACAAAACGATGGATGCGATGAAGGATTTCACAGACGCCATTGCCGTCGGCTGTTGCAAATATTACTTCAATTTCATAACTTAATCTTATGGGAGGCCAATATGTCTTGAAATTTTAACACTGTAAAAAAGAGCTCTGCATTACGATATAGAAAATGGCTTTGTGCTACAATTTGGATCTGAGAATGTGTGCCTGAGGAGGACGGGAGTTCAGATTGAGAATTAAACTATGGCTACAATTTAGAGATATGGTTAGTGACCACGAGGCCACGGTAGGATTAGGCCCGTTTCTTGTTGTTGTTGAAGAATCCAGGTTAATGTTTACAGGCACGGGCTGCGAAACAAACCTCTGCGTCGACAGCGGTGGGGGTGGGGGGGACATGGCTATGGCTTTTGGAGTCGGGCTCAGCGCTAGCCGTATCTCTCGTGGCTCTCCGCATCGCTGTAGTTGCAGCTCAGCTGGGATTCCGACACGTAGCGCCGGCTCGTGAGCCCGGAGCGGTCGGAGGGTGCGCGCTCCTGGTGCGACACGGCCGACACCATGGAGCCGTCCTCCTGCGCCGAGGAGACCGGCGTCACGGCCGCGCTGCCAGCCGCCGCGCGGGGACGCCGAGTTCGTGTGGGACGTGGTGATCCTGGCCGGCGGGGAAACGTGGTTGTGCCGCTTCCGCGCCGCCGCGCACTGCCCGCCGCGGGCGGCGGCGGCGGCGGCGGGGCCCGCGCGCGTGCGGTGCGCCCTGAGCGGCGCGCCGTGCGCGTGCTGCGAGCCCGTCGAGGGCGCGTCGTGCCCGCTGTGCGTGTACGTGAGCGTGGGCCGCGGCGTGGCCGGCGTGCGCGGCAACTGCCGCCGGGACCGGTGCGGGGTGCTGCCCCCCGACGTGGACGGGGCGGGGCCCGGGCTCATCTGCGGGAGTGGCGACGCCACGGACGGGGGGCGGGGGGTGGGGGGAGGGGGATGGTGGGACGGGGGAGGGGGTGGGACGGGGGGGGGACAGGGCAGGGGGGAGTGGGGGAGAACGGAGGTGTACGGGACAGATGGAGGATTGTGTTAAGGGAGCAGGTTTCAAAGGTCAAAGGTGAAGGTCAACAGGTGAATAGGAGGAATTCAAGAGAGAGGTCAGGTTGTCATCCTGGCCAAAGCCGTTGATGCCACCTCTTGGGATTATGGGGAACCAAATGAACGAGAGCAGGCAAAAGGGCTGAGGGAATTAAAGTTGCAGGTGAGGTCACTCCCCTTGCACTTACCGAGGTAAAGTCAGAGTTGGAATGGGTAGAGGAAACAGGGGGACACAGTGCAGGGACACAAATCCAGTTGATGTTCATGTTTTTCGGCATCAGCATTGCGAGGAGTTAAACGTTTACATCCAGCATCTTCGGACGATTTGCCAGAATAGTGAAGCTATCAACCCAATTGCAGAGCCAGGATTTTCAGGTAGAGGGGGCAACCCCTCCACCAATGAAAAATGATTGGATTTGTTAGTAAGTAAGGACTTATCCCTTGCTTTTTATTCATTCAATATTAAATTATTACTGGCCAAGACTAATTGGAGAATCCATCGAAATTGAGAAAAATACAAATAATTTTAACCGCTCTGACAGCTACAGACTTAGCGCAGCTTGGAAGCATATTATTAAGTAATACACAACACGTATTATAATTTCTTATAAAGGAATTACATACTAATTAACTGATTACTAATCTATTATATAAATACAATACCCCCCCACCTCCGCCTCTGATCTCAAAATCTGATGGGGTTCAACAATGATGACGTCATCCTGCACTATTTAAGACCAGAAGCACGTGGATGGCTTCACTATTCTGGCAAATCGCCTGAAGATGCTGGATGTAATTACCAGCGAAATGTCGTACTAATCAAATTGTAAATGTTTTGGATTTACTCTTCAAACACACCGGTGGGCTGCAGAAGAAGTAACTAAATTGGCGTTTTGTTAACGTGACGCATTTTTTTTTACTGATTGGCCCTCTCGTGCGGTGGAGGGTTGCAGCACATTTAAAGAATGCGATCTAACCCAAAAACCTTTGATTATGGATATCTATTTGGTGTTTGAACATCTTAACACCTGTTTTATTGCCAGAAAGGCTCAAACATATTCTTAATCTCCATACGTTAATACTGGCAAAAGACCTACCATGATACGCATAAGGTACGGTCAAATAACTGCCGTGACCTGCATGGCATGGGTAAAGAGCCCCGTCGCACAGTGGAGACTGGTCTTTCGCCGGCTGAACCGTTGTGCAATGCAGAACCACTGGGAACGGCGCGTCTATTGACATTTGACAAATGAGTGCAAATGCTGACAGTATAAGCAGTAGGCCAACCTACGGACAATTAAACATGTATATATATAATTTGCAGCGCCTTTGCCATCCCCTGCAAGATGATATCATGGATTTTGGGGAAATATACATTCACAGACACGAGTGTTTCTGCACGTCAACATGAAATGATACTTCAACGCAGTGGTTCTCAACCTTGTTTGCCTGCTGCTGTACCCCCCTTGCTGAATTTAGTTTCAACCGAGTACCCCCCTGCCCCTCCCTTGCCTGACCAAACATTATTCTGAGGAAATAATGCATGAATAATGAACATAAAATATTTTAACCAAAATTGTCAATTTGGAAATCACATTGTCTATGGTCAATGAGTTTAGAAAGGTCTTTAATATCGTTCTAGGTTACCATATAGATTTAAATGTTGTCGTAGTTATTTTATATTGGCAGATTCATACATCATTATTCACCAATGACTCTCACGTACGACATCATTTCACAAATGTATAAATCACCTCACATGACATTGCCACATACTCCCAGGGGTCTGTGTACCCCCAGTTGAGAACCACCGACTTATTTTATCAGGCAGCCCAACGGCATGGAACGAGGCGATCAGACTCTGCTGATGGGTGCCTTCCAAGCTGAATCTGGTTCAGGATTTGTCTGCTTAAACAAATTCTCCGGAAGACCCATACACCAACATTATCATAAAGTATTTATCTTTAACAAAGCGAGAAACCACTCTTGTTTCATGATTTATGAGCGACCATGGGCTATGCTTGTGGGCTATGGTGGTGAACACGTGGGTGAGGGTTATGCATGGTGTTGGAGCCTCAGCAATCGACTGCACCGGGAATTTGTTCAAGGCGAGAATTGGGATGCGATAGGGAAATGGGTAATTTGCAGAGGTTCAGGTCAAGTTATAAAGGTCAGAGTTGGTTGGAAAGTTATGTCAGAAAAACAAGACACATTATACACCCAGAGTGTATTGTCAACTACAAATACAGTTTAAGTCGTTTGCTTCTTTCAACACATTATATGTATGTATGTTGAACTTTTGGCACCGTACGTAGCCAATTGCGCCAATCGGAGGCGAGTAGAGAGATGGTGAAATGTTGATGCTCTGGGATAAAAATGGTCCGATATGAGAGCAGACCAAAAAAGACATTGCACGCATTTACAATCTAGAATTCCTCTTATCCGCGGTGATGATACCGGGGACCAGTATCGCGGATTCAATCATCCACGAGGTTATCCGTAACTTTACTTACGAAAAATCAGATCTGCAAGCTCAACACCGGTGAATAACCCGCAGGTTAATGGGACGAAATTGCCACGCGACTCCTCACATCCACAAAAATATTGCGGATATTAGGATCTTTTAAAGCACAGAGGCTGTCAATGAAGCGCACGGTGTTTGCGCGCGAGTACTAAATACGTGGCGGTTCTAAGACACACGGCAGTATATCTGTATCTCCGTGTGAGCAACAGAGATACAGAGGGGATACACCCACAGATACGGACATGGAGACACAGAGACACCGGGACAAAAAGACATAGACACGAAAAGGTGTAGTAGGTGTTACCGTACATGAATCTCTCATCTCTTGTACTGTACGTGTAAGTGGTGAGTGACATGTCCTGCCCAACCGCACTTACAGGAAGGGTGTCTTACTGTCTCTGTCTCCATGTCTCCGTGTCTCCGTGTCTCTCTGTCGCCTTGTATCTCTGTCTCCCTGTTTCCGAGTCTCACCGTCTTCATCTTCCTCTGTGTCTTTGTGTGTCTCCTTGTGCCTGTGTCTGCGGCAGTGTATCTGTGTCTGTCTCGTGTGTGCGTGTATCCGTGTTTGTCTCTATGTCCCCGTGTTTGTATCTGTGTTGTCTTGTGATGTCTGTGTGTCTCTGTATTCTTGTCTGTGTTGTCTCGTGATCATAGCGACTGCCGGCGTAAACTTGCTTTGATCACAGCTGTTTTTGTTGAATCGTGGTGAACCACTGGTAATGAAACATAATTTAAAGTTTAACTCATCTGACCCATGGAAACTTGCAAGTATTACGAAGCCGCTTCACAATGCATGATGGGTAAAATTGTGGATAATCAGACCCAACAGTTGCCGTGGATAACAGGAGTAAGACGAATATGGATAAGAGGAGTTCTGTAATTAACAATGATTTACAGCCATTTCTCAATCCCTTACTAGATCAATGCCCGTGTGCTATCTCAGACATGGAGGATGTTCGACCATGCTTCACCGTGCTGATCAACAAGGGGTGGTGAAGTTCAGGGCCCACGTCGCTCGCCACTGATGTTGGCCATGGCCAGGAATCATACTCAGGTCACAAGGTTCATAATTGCAGTGTGCAAACAACTGTAACAGCACTTGTGACTATGTGAGTCGCGTTACATTTACACATCCATTGGCAACTGGGCTTGAGAGCCCAGGAATGGCCCACTGTGTATCGCGGATGAAGAGCATGGCACAGACCCATGTCCCCATACTCCACACGTCATGGGGCTTTGAGCCCTACGACTACTTTGGGGCACAACGATCGTGAGATGTTAACTACTTCGCCTGTGATACAGGAAGTCGTGGGTTCGATCCCGACCCTGATGTCTGTATGTTTGGATTTTGCGTGTTCTCCCCGTGGTCGCGTGGATTTTTCTCCGGGTCCTCCGGTTTTTCCCTCCACATTTAGAAACATGCATTTCGAGGATTTGGCTGCTATAAATTTCAACATGATAAACCACTTTGTTGAGCTATCATTTGTGGCCAGGTCACTTCTCAAAAAGAGCTAAAAATCTCAGTGGGCCTTGCCCGGTAAAATTTTAATAGTTTAGTTTCCCACCAAGCCCCTCTCCTCCCCAACTCTATATCTCTGATCAGATGCTTGGGTTAGTTTTGGCCACCAAAATAACAGGAAGAGCGTTTTTTTGTCGAATTCGGTAAAAAAATTCGACATGTCAAAAGCCACAATGCACGTGACTGCGAGACGGTGGTCCGGATGAATAAGGTCACGAAGAAGTCCTTAAAGAGCTGCGTGTGGCTCCGGAGCTAGGCTATTCAAAATGGCAATGTTGTAATTTTTCGGCACGTCTTTATTCTTCATGAAAAACACGGCCCTGAATTTGAGTTACGCAAAGAGACGCCGTCAACCCCACATTCTGCTCCCCCCGTTAGCCCCTGAGTTTGAGGCCGGTGCCGAGGTGGGCCCGGGTAAAAACGCATGTCTCCCTTGTTTAGAGGGAGAGGTGCCACCCAGACCCACGTGGTGCCAGGCTGGCCCAGGTTCACACGTCATGGGAACCCAGGCTGAGCCTGCGAGCCTCATTCATTAATCAATGTGCCTCATGAACCAATGTGCCTCATTCATTAATCAATGTGCCTCATGAACCAATGTGCCTCATTAACCAATGTGCCTCATGAACCAATGTGCCTCATTAACCAATGTGCCTCATGAATCAATGTGCCTCATTAACCAATGTGCCTCATTAACCAATGTGGCCTCATGAACCAATGTGGCCTTATGAACCAATGTGGCCTCATGAACCAATGTGGCCTCATGAACCAATGTGCCTCATTAACCAATGTGGCCTTATGAACCAATGTGCCTCATGAACCAATGTGCCTCATTAACCAATGTGCCTTATGAACCAATGTGCCTCATGAATCAATGTGGCCTCATGAACCAATGTGCCTCATTAACCAATGTGCCTCATGAACCAATGTGCCTCATGAATCAATGTGCCTCATGAACCAATGTGGCCTTATGAACCAATGTGCCTCATGAATCAATGTGGCCTCATGAATCAATGTGCCTCATGAACCAATGTGCCTCATGAACCAATGTGCCTCATGAACCAATGTGCCTCATTAATCAATGTGCCTCATGAACCAATGTGCCTCATTAACCAATGTGCCTCATGAACCAATGTGCCTCATGAATCAATGTGCCTCATTAACCAATGTGCCTCATTAACCAATGTGCCTCATTAACCAATGTGGCCTCATGAACCAATGTGGCCTTATGAACCAATGTGGCCTCATGAACCAATGTGGCCTCATGAACCAATGTGCCTCATTAACCAATGTGGCCTTATGAACCAATGTGCCTCATGAACCAATGTGCCTCATTAACCAATGTGCCTTATGAACCAATGTGCCTCATGAATCAATGTGGCCTCATGAACCAATGTGCCTCATTAACCAATGTGCCTCATGAACCAATGTGCCTCATGAATCAATGTGCCTCATGAACCAATGTGGCCTTATGAACCAATGTGCCTCATGACTCATGTGGCCTCATGAATCAATGTGCCTCATGAACCAATGTGCCTCATTAAGCTCAATGTGCCATCATGAACCAATGTGCCTCATTAACCAATGTGCCTCATGAACCAATGTGCCCTCATGAATCAATGTGGCCTCATAACCATGTGCCTCATTACCAATGTGCCTCATTACCAATGTGGCCTTATGAACCAAATGTGGCCTCATGAATCAATGTGCCTGCATTAACAATGTGCCTCATTAATCAATGTGCCTCATTAACCATGTGGCCTTATGAACCAATGTGGCCTCATGAACCAATGTGCCTCATTACCAATGTGCTTTATGAACCATGTGCCTCATGAATCATGTGGCCTCATGAACCAATGTGCCTCATTAACCAATGGGCCTCATTAACCATGTGTCTTATGAACCAATGTGCCTCATGAATCAATGTGGCCTCATGAACCAATGTGCCTCATTAACCAATGTGCCTCATTAACCAATGTGCCTCATTAACCAATGTGCCTCATGAACCAATGTGCCTCATGAACCAATGTGGCCTTATGAACCAATGTGCCTCATTAATCAATGTGCCTCATTAACCAATGTGGCCTTATGAACCAATGTGCCTCATGAACCAATGTGCCTCATTAACCAATGTGCCTTATGAACCAATGTGCCTCATGAATCAATGTGGCCTCATGAACCAATGTGCCTCATTAACCAATGTGCATCATTAACCAATGTGTCTTATGAACCAATGTGCCTCATGAATCAATGTGGCCTCATGAACCAATGTGCCTCATTAACCAATGTGCCTCATTAACCAATGTGCCTCATTAACCAATGTGCCTCATTAACCAATGTGCCTCATGAACCAATGTGCCTCATGAACCAATGTGGCCTTATGAACCAATGTGCCTCATGAATCAATGTGGCCTCATGAATCAATGTGCCTCATTAACCAATGTGCCTCATTAACCAATGTGTCTTATGAACCAATGTGCCTCATGAATCAATGTGGCCTCATGAACCAATGTGGCCTTATGAACCAATGTGCCTCATGAATCAATGTGGCCTCATGAATCAATGTGCCTCATTAACCAATGTGCCTCATTAACCAATGTGCCTCATTAACCAATGTGCCTCATGAACCAATGTGCCTCATGAACCAATGTGGCCTTATGAACCAATGTGCCTCATTAACCAATGTGCCTCATTAACCAATGTGCCTCATGAACCAATGTGCCTCATGAACCAATGTGGCCTTATGAACCAATGTGCCTCATGAATCAATGTGGCCTCATGAATCAATGTGCCTCATTAACCAATGTGCCTCATTAACCAATGTGCCTCATTAACCAATGTGCCTCATTAACCAATGTGTCTTATGAACCAATGTGCCTCATGAATCAATGTGGCCTCATGAACCAATGTGCCTCATTAACCAATGTGCCTCATTAACCAATGTGCCTCATTAACCAATGTGCCTCATGAACCAATGTGCCTCATGAACCAATGTGGCCTTATGAACCAATGTGCCTCATTAATCAATGTGCCTCATTAACCAATGTGGCCTTATGAACCAATGTGCCTCATGAACCAATGTGCCTCATTAACCAATGTGCCTTATGAACCAATGTGCCTCATGAATCAATGTGGCCTCATGAACCAATGTGCCTCATTAACCAATGTGCCTCATTAACCAATGTGTCTTATGAACCAATGTGCCTCATGAATCAATGTGGCCTCATGAACCAATGTGCCTCATTAACCAATGTGCCTCATTAACCAATGTGCCTCATTAACCAATGTGCCTCATTAACCAATGTGCCTCATGAACCAATGTGCCTCATGAACCAATGTGGCCTTATGAACCAATGTGTCTCATGAATCAATGTGGCCTCATGAATCAATGTGGCCTCATGAATCAATGTGCCTCATTAACCAATGTGCCTCATGAATCAATGTGGCCTTATGAACCAATGTGCCTCATGAATCAATGTGGCCTCATGAACCAATGTGCCTCATGAACCAATGTGCCTCATGAACCAATGTGCCTTATGAACCAATGTGCCTCATGAACCAATGTGCCTTATGAACCAATGCGGCCTCATGGACCAATGTGCCTCGTGAACCAGGCCGGTAAGCTTCGTATCGGGCGTGGAAACGTGGCAGTGCAGAGAAATGGAATCGAGGCAGGGCAGTGACAGAGTGCGTCTAAACTGGCTAACAGTTTACAACTCCATGACCAGCAAAAACAAATGCGAGTCGAGTGGACAAAAGAGTGGTGACAAGGGGTAAACATATGAATTTCAGAAAATATTCTACATCAACATACAGATTATAGAGAATGGTAGCAAAATACCTATTGAGAAGAACAGGCAGAGATACATTCCGGTACTTACTTGTCTCTCATGATTGAGGCTGGGCGAGCACGTCCTGTAGGCCTCCACGTCAGTGTCATAATGCTGGGGATGATGATGCTGCTGCTGCTGCTGTTGACGGTGTCGCTCGCGTGATCGGTAGCGATGGTTTCCAGTTCTCTCCGCGGTATGAGAGCGGTCTCCAGACCCCACACCTTTCCCCACCCCCTCTAAAGTGGCTGTCTTAGACTCCACACCCTCTTTGGGCCTTGTCCTGTCCCTGGGCCCCGTCCCCTTGGTTCGTCCCGTGCCCTCCCGTGGGCCTGCCCCCTCCTTCGGGCCTGTGCCTTCCCTTAGGCCTGTCCCTTCTGTCAGGCCTGTCCCCTCCTTCGGGACGGTCCCCTCCTTCGGGCCTGCTCCTTCTCGCGAGCCTCCTCCGTCACGTGCGGCTGTTCTCGTAGCAGGCCCCATCCTGTCCTTGGGCCCCGCTCCACCCACACCGTCATCTAACTCGCATCGGTTTCCATTTCCAACGGCAGACGCTGATCTCTTCATTGGGCCCGTCTCCTGAAACAGACGTAAGCAGACAAAAGCCTCTAACTATTTTTTTTATTTAACCAGGTAAGGCCCACTGAGCTATGGAGCGCTTTTTCAGAAGTGACCTGGTCACAAATGATCGCTCAATCAAGTGGATTATAGCCAAAAAATACTCTAAAAGCAAGTTCATTCTAAATGTGTTCTGCCAAAACATGCGTTTTCATAACGCGAATTGGATACAACGCGATGATGAATGTATTACAGAACAATTCTTTTCATAACGCGGATGCGAATTGGATATAACGCGATAGAGTGAACGGAACAACGTCGCGCGAGTACGAATAAGCGGTCATACGGCTGCCTCAGCGTAGCATCACACAAGGCGGCGGGATGCTGCTGGATGCTTTTTAGATGTTCAGCCTGGATACGCATCTTACGTGTTATTGAGGACTGTGCTATACCTCACACAGTAACAATGTCCCAATGCAACGACTGCGTAACAGCAGAACTGACTGTGTATCGTAGTTCTGTACTACTATGTATGTATTGGAGGAGGAGTGTTTTTTTCCTATCTTAATGTTCGTGTCCTCATGGTTTGTTTTGTGCACTGATGTTCTGTCGAGTACTTTTCTTTAAAAGACGTTAAGTTCTGGTCTTTTTCCAAATTGTGTTCCTGGTGCACCCTTGGCAATATTGTGATGAGCCAAAATAATCCATTGGGAAATGTCACAGAGCAGTGTGACCTTGTGCGTCTGTCACAAGACTTCATACCTGATATACCCTTCAAGTAGGTCCTCATCATCTCCACACAATAGGGAGCGCACTTTACCACACACTCGGCTATGAGATTAGGTTTGGATCAACTCCAGGTTTGAGAATAAAACAGACATGCGTTTGGCTATCACGTGATGAAGTAAGTTTTAATACAAATGTCTTTTACAGAAATATATTTTTTGTGCGTGCTGTCATTGGCGATCGAACTAAGGCCATTAACTTGCTGCACTCGAGAAGCTGGTTTAACCACGGCTGGCCACCAGTGCTATCGTGAGTGTCGGCCCGCCGCTCTTCACCCTCAAGCCACCCGGCCACCCCTGTCCCACACTTTTGTCTGCGTGTCTGTGCGTGTGCACTCAAGGTTCTCTTTGCAGGAGAGACCATCGCCTCCGTGGGCTCTCCCCTGGCTGTAGGCAACGTTCGCGTGTGCGCGCACAGTACCTGCGTGCTCCCAGCTAGCCGCGGCATGGACACAGCTCGCCCCTGACTCTCCAGGGAAAGCAGACAGTCACTCTATAAATACAACAAAGACACAGATCCCCCGTTTAGCCTTGACAGACTGTTGGAGCAAGCGCTGTTAGCGAGCACCTATGAAGGCCAGCACGGCACACGAGGGGGTGGGTGGCCAGCAACCACGCCCGGCCGCCTTTGTCTCCACAGTGGCGATGTTTACTACACACAGCACCAGGTACTCATTTGTGGCTTAGTAAACCTAGGGGCGGCCCAGGACTGGTTCAGATAATCGTCACTGGTGTTGACCACGGGCGGGAATGGAACTCGGGTCGTCGGGTTCGTAGCGCACTGCGCTCTCCACACACCCACACAGACATCTGTGTGCACACCCATTCATAACCACTCGTTCATGGATTTGGCCAAACATCCTAATATTGGACCGTAGAGCGTGGGGCTATTGGTGGCGCCGACTCTGACTGCCTTCCAGATTACTTCTCTGTGGTTTCCCGTGTCTCTGTGCTCAAACTGGGCGCGTTCCAAATTCGACGGCGTTTTGAGAGCGCAGCATTCACGAATGACGCTCGAGTGGAGGGCGCTTCTGGCCCCAAGGCGTCGTGACCAAGCAGGCAATTTGCACGGCTGCATCCTCGTCTTTTCGAGGAGTAAAATATGCCGATTTCTTCAGGGCCAACACTGGAGTTAATCATCAAGGCAAAGTGTTTTAGCGGTTTCATCGACGTGTGAATTTGGCCCTTTGTGAATGTTGTCTGCGTGTTTGTCCGCGCGTGATTGTCCGCGTGTGCTTTACCTCGGCACTGAGGGTTGGGGCCAACAATGGTTGCATACACTCCAGCTGACAAAGAGAGACACAATCCCATCACTCGCGTTTGACACAAAAACAAAGATCCCCTGTATAGCCTTAACAGACTGTAGGGGCAAGTGCTGTTAGCGAGCACCTATTAAGATCGGCACGGCACATGACGGGGTGCCACGCCCGGTCTCCGTCTCCCCAGTGGCAATATTTAGACATTGCACCATTTACTCATTTGAGGCTGAGTCGACCTAGGGGATGCCCATGACCAGTTCATTTAATCGTCACTGGTGTTGGCCGCGAGCGGGAATCTAACACGGCTCGCCAGGTTCATAGTTCAACGCGCTCACCGTTGCACTACCGCTCTTCCCGTTTGACACAAAAATTCAATTGAAGAGGTCATTAAAACCCACCTCTATCTTATCACACCCAGAGCCATTAGTGTTCTTATCGCTGTCAAAAAAACGACAAAAATCGATTCCCTTGTAGTTAAGATTGTATTACACTTCTCCATCATCTGTAACCCAGTTAAGGATCAAGATGTATAGCTAAAACATTCCATCAACAGGGAGCTTCCACGTAACCCATGACTACTGATCGTCGATTCCCTTTCTCCTTAAAATTATAAATGACATAAAGGCACTTCGTGTTATTTTGTAGTATTAATTCTCTGCAATATTTTTGTAAACATTTTTTCCCCAAATATGATTCACATTAAATACTTTGACATGTTCTCTCAGCATTCAATGCCACGATGTGGTAATTCATGAAGACAGGGGCTCTTCTCTCAAGATTACCCACAGCTCACAATGGATCAGAATACATCCGCCAGCAATGAAACCTTGCAACGCTCCATTGTGGTGCTGGTTCCAAATACGTTCTAGCGTTGGAAAACAAAATCCAAATTGAAGTCGTGCAGGCGGTCCCCCGCCTCCACGACGTCACGCTGAGTTCCTGGAAACCCGTCGACGCAAATCAGACGCATATTTTCCCACAGGCGGCAGAAACGGTGGAGGCATCACCTGCCGACGTGTTTTTCCATGTATCACGCGTATTAGTCAGGGTTTAATCGGTAAACATCCGTCCAAACACGCTCGACAATAGCAAAGAGCGCCACGCGGAGTCACGCCAGAAACCAGATGGACTCCGTTCAAATGCGTTCGGGAGTCGGGTCGGAAGATGCGTCGTAAATCAAGTTTCTGCGCCGCGAATCGATCCGCAGTGGCGTTGTATAATCGCCGTAAACCGGAGATCGCTTGTGGTTTTAAGTTGTCGTTGAAAGAACTCACAAATGACGCCACGGACTTCTCCTTTGCTGGTTTCTAATTGTCTATATTTGGCTACGTGTTCGCGTAAATACACGTTTGGCAGCGGCCTCACAAGCGTCAGCAATAACAACGCACATTCGTCAATAACAGTCGTGGCCCGAAAAGTAATATGTCTACGGTTGCTACTAATCGGGCTGTGGCTCTTCTTCAGAGCACGAAGATCGAGAGGTCAGAGCAACTGAGTAAATGGGGCCCTCGATAAAAATTACATTTCCAAGGTTTCTCGATGAACAGTGTTACATTCGTAGCCAATGGGTTTCTTATGATTACAGTCGTCCCTCGGTTAACGTTTTTAACCCGTTCCACGAAAACTACTGTTAACCGAAATGACTGTGAATCGAATACAGGAATTACATGTTGAAAGCATGTATCTGTTCCGAGACGCTGAAACACTCAATATTAATCAATTAACATTATAAGAACATATTCATGGATTCATATCCTTTATTATAGCGTTCGGATTGGCCGAAATTGGTGCCGGAGTGCATAACGTAAACCTGCCGTTAATCAAAATGTTAATATTCGTCGAAACCATGAGGGGTGCGAACCGTTAACCAGAAAACCGTGAACCTGTTAACCGAGGGACTACGATAATGTTTTATCAGTGGCCCATGGTGTATTATGGTAGTATCGTCTCCACCTATGATTCACTCAGTCTCTCGGTTCTCTCTCTCCGTGTGCCATGTGGAATGGCGATTGCCCTAAACACATCTGCTACTGTGCGTGCATTGCGTTTCCTTTTCGGGTCACGGTGTTCTTGACGAATGTGCCGAGTTTGTGTGACATTTACATCATGGCATGTGAAAGGTTGAGGTGATCAGCACCTTACCCAGCCACCTTTGTCTTTCCAGTTTAGATGCTTACATTTTAAAAAAAATTACCAGGCAAGGAACACTGAGTTATACAGCTCTTTTTAGAAGCGGCCTGGCCACAAATGACAACTCAATGAAGTTGCTTATCACGTGGGAATTTATAACAGCCAAATACTCTAAACGCGTGACGTCGATTCTAATTGTGGAGGTTAAAAACCTGACCCGGAGAAAAATCCACATGACCACGGAGAGAGAGACACGCAAACTCCAAATATACAGCAGCAGGTGTCAGGGTTGGGATCGAACCCACGACCTCCTGCGTACCAGGCGAGGCAGTTAACATCTTGCCACCACGGCGCCCACATTCGACAGATATTAATGTGTCGGCTAACTCGACCGACAGAATGCCTAGAACATGTGGAGGTGCCCTGGGGAATTGAACCCAGGTGTGTGAAGGCAAACACTCACGCGCCGCCCCCCGTGTGTTCGAACGTGCGCAGCTCTGTACCTTGTATTGCGGAGACTTGGCAACAAGGGGAGCAGGCACCACAGTGGGTCCGATCTTACGCTGTGCACGCACCATCCAGGGGGCCACAGGGGCAAAGGGAAGAACGTGGATTACGCGACGTCGACCTCGTGTGTGTGTGTATGTGGGAGCGGTGGTGTAGCGGTTAACAGTTCACCTCGCAAGCACAATGATTAGATGAATTGTCACAACTCATCCTCAGATGACGGGCTTTCAACGATACCATATTTGTGCCTGAACAATAAAAATGTGGATTTGTATACAGTTTAAAAAGTTGGTGCAAACAGAGGTGGGATCGTATATATGGTAGATAGACAATGAACAAAATTGATATAATTATTGTTATAATTACGTTGTATTATTTACATCAATATATTTCTTCTCTTGAATATTGGTGCTGCTAAGGGAATAGGTAGGCTAGATTGCTGTGAAATATTAATCTCGCCACCGTGGCGAGATGTTAACTACCTCGCCTGGTATGCAGGAGGTCCTGGGTTCGATCCCGACCCTAACGCCTGCTGTTGATTTGTGGTTTGCATGTTCTCCCCATGGTCGCATGGATTTGTCTCCGAGTTTTTTCCCTCCACATTTAGAATCGACATCACGCGTCTAGAGTATTTGGCTCCTGCTATAAATGTCCACGTGATAAGCCACTTCGTTGAGCTGTCATTTGTGGCCAGGTCAGTTCTGAAAAAGAGCGAAACAGCTCGGTGGGCTTTACCTGGTAAAATACAAAATAGTTTAGTTGTAATAGTGGAAACTGTCTAATGTGTTGCAGGGGAATACACGTGGTGTGTTGCAGAGTACTAAGGAGCACAACTATCTCTCTTGACATTGCGTCAGACCCCAATAGGACCAGATCCAGGAGATGAGAAGAAAAAACATCCAGGCAGTGAGGAATGACACAAATTTGGCTCGATAGTTACGTGGCAGAAGGCCCGATTTACTCACGGACAACTCCAATGCCCATAGTAAGCTGCATCTCCTCCAAATCGCCGAGTACAGTGGCATGAAGTAGATGGAAAGTATATAACCATCCCGAGGCAGTCCTGCCAGAGTGGTACGTATGTATATTGAACTTCTGCCTCCACCGTATGGAGCTAACCATGCTCATTGGAGGTACTGTCAGTGGAAGGTTCCGCAGGTTGTGTATTGATAATGATGATTGACAAACCATCCATGGGTCACGGTATATATGAAGAACTCGAGCGGTGTCTCGATGATTGTGGGTCCAAATGGTGTAAGGGGGAATGTGAGGGATAATGAAGGCATCACGATCTCCCTGTCCACAATCAGTCAACGTTCCATTCCTGTGTCCTCACGTAGAATGCAAAAGACGAGAGGACTGGGAAAAAAAACAAGTTCTAGTGGGCTTGGGCAGGAACCATAGCTTGAAGGGATGACGGCCAATGTTCGAGACTAGTGATGGAATCTCAGCTCGGAGACGGATCAATCGGACCTGCCAGCGCGGGGTTGAAACGCTGAGATTAGTTCACGTGAAGGAATGAGACGGAGTGTGGCATTGTGAGACCGTAGGGCAGGCCGTTGTACAGAAGTGGACACACTTTGGCTGACGACAAAGACGATATTGAGCCAATGATAAAAAGTAGCACCTTGTGCCCAAGTGGGACAGCCGCAACAGTGATCGTGCGTGGGCCTAGCGTGGGAAGAGGACATGTCCGTGTCCGTGTGCGCTTGTGTGCTCGCTCGCCACATTACCCTGGAGTGCGGCACGCTCGCCTCCGTGCCCACCTGCTTGCTTCGGTGCACTCGGTAAAAATCCAAAATCATCTTCACGGCGTTCACCTTCCCCACCGTCAAGTCGGTAGCTGTAACGCGGACACACGACGAGAGAAGCAGCGGTGGAGTATTCCGCTTGAGGGGAGTTCACCTACTTGTCTGAGCCCGGCGGGAGAGCGCGTTCGCCGCTTGTTGCAGAGGCTTTGCTGTTCAAACCTGGCAGGACCGCCCTGGTTATTACTGCGGGGGTATTAACTGTAAGATAGGCGCCGTCCGCTTCACGGTGGAGGTCAAGGATCCGGTGACGTCTTTCGCAAGAGAGAAGGCCATCATGTAGCGATGTCGCGTTCCAGATTTGCCACGTTGGAAAAATGAGCTGTAAAATCACTCAGTCTGGGATCACACGTTGAAACATCGCCCCACACCCCCTCCCACTCCTTTGAAACCACCGCAGACACTGCCTGTGAGACACGGCGCCCTCCTGCGTGATAGCCTAGAGCAGTGGTTCTTAACCTGGGGTGCACACACCCCCTGGAGGTGCGAGATGCCCTCTCTGGGGGTGAGAGACATGGCCAATTTTTTTTTAGAACGTAAATAAATCGAAAACCCATATTAAGCTAGGGCACAATCGTACAACTAATTTGTTAATCAAACCGATGTATTTATTAACATTATTATTTTATTACGATTGAGAACCAAAGGAGTGCAGGCTGCAGTAAAGGTCAAGAACCACTGGCCTAGAGCTTTATAAGAATGGCACGAATACCAAGTGTGCTGAATTATAATGTGCTTCAATTAGTCTACTTGGCATGGAATGGGGAATGGTGCAAAGACAAAGATCCCCCCGTGTACCCTTAACAGACTGTTGGGGCAAGTGCTGTTAGCAGGCACCTATTGAAGGCCGGCACAGGACAGAAGGAGGTGGGGCCAGCACCACTCCCGACCGCCTTTGTCTCCCCAGTGGTGATAATTTATACACTGCACCAGGTACTCATTTGAGGCTGAGTGGACCTAGGGGACGCCCAAGACTGGTTCAGATATTCGTCACTGGTGTTCGCCGTGAGCGGGAATTGAAGTAGGGTTCAATCTAGATCTGCGGCTTTCGCCTCCACATTTTTAATCAACGTGCATTTAGAGACTTTGGCTGCTATAAATTTCCACGTGATTAGCCACTTTATTGAGCTATCATTCGTGGCCAAGTCCCTCCTGAAAATAAGCTACATAGCTCAGTGGGCCTTACCGGGGTAAAATACAAGTAGTCAGTAGTGGTGTGTGCTCACCAACAGTCTGTCAAGGTCTATACAGGGGATCTTTGTGTTGTAACAGAGAGGCCGCGTGGGACCGTGCGTGCAGACTTACGCGTTCTGGGCGGCACCAACAGATCCAGGGTTTTGTTGGACAGGTGCTGCCACACTGTCATGATCTCTCTCCTCAGCTCCATGTCCATGGCCAGTTGGTCTTTTGCCCCTGTGTGTGGACAAATGCATTTAGCAACAGTGGAGCAAACAACCCTCTTTGGAAGCTGAATTGGACCTCCGATGAAATTGTACGTGTTTTTTAGGCTATGTGGGGTTGGAAAGGGTGGAAATGTCGAGAATTTTTCTTTTTTTACAAAGTAGTTGAGAACAGGCCTAAAAGCCCAACATTTATATAGGTCAGCAATAAACAGCACTATCGCAGTTGTAATACATGAGAGTAAAGATGTTTCTTGTACGCATGAATGTACGTTGAACTTATTTCGCACCATACGTAGCCAACCGTGATAATTGAAGGTGTTTCTTGAATTGAACACGGCTATACGAGCTTGGGAAAACCGACGAAGAATATGCAAACTCATCAAGATAGTTGCGTACGTTCGCTGCTGTTTGTTTGTTAGGGTATTTGCTGCGTGGCAAAAGCAACTTTCTCTCAGTGTGGAAACCCTGTTTAATCACGGGAGCCTACACTCAGATTTGAACCCAGGATCTCACCAGCGTCAGCTCAAGAGCTCTTACCCCTGCGTCACTTGGCCACCTCCATTCGTGAGTTTATACTTACGTAAAAACAAATAAGGAAAACCCCAATGTGGATTTAGAGCAGACAGGGTTGTAGTCTTCACATATCGGTCCTTCTCCCACCTTACACCCCTCCACTGGAATCAACTTCCCTTTCACGTGGCCTTAAAGTGCACCAAGGCTGGCACAAGCGCCGTGGTGACGAATGGCTGCGGCTGTTGTTGTTGTTGTTGTTGTTGTTGTTGTTGTTGTTGTTGTTGTTGTTGTTGTTGTTGTGTTGTGCGTGCCCACACAGTGACGTGCAAACATTCAAAGGCAAGTGTGGGCAAGCTCGAGTACCGGACGCCATCTTGATTTCCAAGGCCGTGCGGATGAGCGCCACCAGCGTGGACGTGAAGTGTACGGTTCCGTCCACCTCTATGGGCATGTGCATCCGCATCAACCGCTGCGGCACACGCACGCACACACACATGCATCGTGACCATCGTCCGGGCGCCACGGTGGCTAGGAGATGTTAACTTTCTCGCCTGGTATGCGGGAAGTTGTGGGTTTGACCCCGACCCTGACGCCTGCTGTATATTTGGAGTTTGCGTGTCTCTCTCTCTCTCTATGGTCGTATGGATTTTTCTCCGGGTCTTCCGGTTTTCCCTCCACATTTAGAATCAACATGCGTTTAGCGTATTTGGCTGCTGTAAATGTCCACGTGATAAGCCACTTGTTGAGCTATCATTTGTGGCCAGGTCACTTCTGATAACGAGCTACATAGCTCAGTGGGCTTCACCTGGTAAAGTAAAAGGTAAAAAAGTCATAGGGTGCTGCAGCAGTAACAGTTGTGGCTCACAGCAAGCAGGGCCTGGATTCTATTCCCTTTGTGTGTGGACTTTTTATGTTCTCCCCCGAGTTCTGGATGGGTTTCTTCTCGGTTTTTTTTATTTCCTCCCATGGCTAATAAATATATACAATGTATCTGGCATCAGCCAATCACACCAATGCTGAAAAGTGACTCAATTTAGATTTGCATGTGGGCACATCGCTCCCAAATGTGATCAAACTTGGCAAGACCCTCCTAACTAAGTCGTGAGACTTAGTGAGGCTTTCCTGAGTAAGCAAGTAGAATGATAACAATATTAATCATCATAACAAGACGTCTATGGCGTATCTCCCGGCTGGTAATCGTTTGTCCAGGTGGCATTGTGAAAGGGTGCCTGACACACAGCTGGAATATTCGAAGCTCTGATTGGGAGTTATTTTTTCCTACGTGACTTTACCGAAAAAAAACCTAAGAGTATGAATCTTTGCAGTCACGAAAGCTTCAAATCTAGAATCAACACAGTTGCTCAGCACAAGCCCAAAAGGCCCCAGAAAATCAAACCACCAGTAACCAAAACTCACTTCTGAGGACTGCCATTGCTCTGCAGGGATCAGTAAGGTCCTGCACATTCTCCATTCACAAGGATTGACTCTGTAAATAAAACTGGTCTCGAGTTTCATATGGATTTCTCCGTAGCACTTGCCACAAATGCATTACGGAAAGTGATTGTCTTGGCAACAACAAAAAACAATACTGTCATTGCTGAAATGTCATCGTCGGATGGTTTACCAACTTCTGGCAGCTCAAGTCTCGACTTGACACAAGATTACGCGATGTCACCATCATATCCAACTCGCGCGTGTGTGTGTGGCCCACATTAATACAGCGGTAGTGTAGCGGTTAGCATGCTGCTCTACAAACCAGGCGTCCCCAGTTCGATTCCCGCTCACGGCCAACACCAGTGACGATTATAATAAAATCCGAGAGTACGTGGGCTCTCGCTGCAAGGGGACGCCCACATTCACCCTGGTGCTGCTCACGGATCATCACGGCGCTTGAAGACGCGGACATGGAGCCTATCCAGTAGGCCTGGCTAGGGGGGATGGCTCGCAGCGACACCTCGAGGAACGTTAGCGACTACTGCGGTATAATCCGGCCACGTTATTTCAATGATACGCCCTACGTGCCAATGTGTAGCTGGCCTATCCTGTCTCCTCCCATCTTCTTCTTTCGTATTGCTGATGATGTAGATGCAGGGCAACAACCACAATTTCACATTCAGGCGGTCAAGCCAGACAAGGAGCAGCGGATGTCTCCTTTCATATTTGTAGAACGGGCATTGCGTCATTATATGTTGTGCGGTCTGTTCTGGATGACCACAGTCGTACATTACTGGAGAGTTTTTAATGACAGTCTTGTCCCATGATCTTAATGAGAGAACAGGATGGGCCAGCTGCATCACAATCGTCCCCAAATATGGTTTTATAAGCCGGCCTGTTTTCTCCCCGTACCATCGCAGGAGGAGAGAGGACTGGACGGGCCGGCTACTTCTCCTCCTCATGCAGCGAGCACGGTGGGGGCGGCCGTGTGCGGTGAGGCCTCACCTTGTACGCGATGTGCGCCGGGCAGCGCTTGCCCAGCCCCAGCGGAGGGGCCATGTGACGCAGCATGGCCTGCATGTCCGAGTGCTTCATCCTGCCACTGAGCCGGTACACAGGCGTGCATTCACACATATGTCAGACAATATAATTCAGTGTCATTGTGGACAATTTTAATAACACAATGTCTCCTTCCCATATGTATGTAATAAAAGGACTCAGACACTTCTTGCTGACTCCGTGTCCTTTATTTGGGGTTCGCGTTCTCCTTCCCACACGGCACTCCTCCTGAGACTCTCTCCCTGGCAGCCCCACATCTGCCTTCGCTCCCGTAGCCTTCCACGCTCCTGCAGCTCCGCTGCAGGCTCTTGGTACAGCCCTCTGGCTGCTCCCCCAGCAGCTCCATCGCTGCTCCCTGTTCCTCCGTGCGTGGCGATCTCGCCACCTCCTGTTCCTCCGTGCGTGGCGATCTCGCCACCTCCCAATGTCAGCCCTTCGTGGCCTCTATGGCTATCTCGCCATTTCCTACCTCATTCCTCCACTCTCTCTTCCACCCCGCTGGCTGGCGCCGTCATGAGCCCCTCAGCCACCAGGCTGAGGCACGGCGACCACCCAACGTGTTCACCACCCTTCACTCCCCCGACTGACCCAGATAGCTTCCTGTCTCCCCGCTATAACTTCTCCCCCACGTCACCCTGACTCCTCCCTCTCGGATCGTCATATCCGCCCCGCCCATTTACGCCCGCATTACATGTATATAAATACAAATAATAAGAAAAATATGAAAACCAAACACGGCCTTCTAGGAATGGGCTGTGTCAAAAAACATGTTTTTGTATGGGGAGACAAATGCGGTCGTGGCCCTGAGGCCAAGGGCTTCACTCAATGAAGGCTGCGAGTTCTCATTTTGTTCAGGGCCCGATGACCTCCAGCGTCAAGAGCAGGGAGTGTCCCTTCATGGAAAGTCAGCTGTGATTGTCCTACGCATAGACTAGCAATGGTGAATGGCCATTGGCGTACGGACCGAAACATTTACATTTTTGAGAATGAATCACAGACCCTTTTCTACGTCACACAATGCGATTTCAATGTACATCGCGGCAGGTCACGTGTAAAGAAACGGGTGGCCTGTTGATTTAATAGAGAGACAGTAGGCAGCGATAGACAGATACAAACGAGAAGGTCTTCATCCTAGATTTAAACAGGGGCAGGGAGAAGACAGCACAGACGGCTGTGGGAAAGGAGTTCCAAAGGATAAGGGCAGCAGCAGATGAAAAGCAAACACATTTGAAAGGGCACCCCGAGTGGCAGCTGACCCTGTTGGCACAAGATGCCTCAAATCTGGCCTGCAAAATGGGCATTAGTCTACCAGATTGCTACGTGCAATTCCAATTGTGTAATTTGCGGATGATTTTTCAAACTTCGCAAATTAGGACCATGATACAATGGCCCACTGTTTCTAATTACACCAGGGGATCTTTGACATCCACTGTGAAGCAGACGAGTAGTTTATACACCTGCAGGATTAACCAGGGTGGCCTAACAAATTCTAACCTTGGTTGCTAAAGTAGGAAGTGCGTGGAGGGGAGAAGAGTGAGATTAGAGGGGAGATGTAGGAGAGTGCGTAGAGGGGGGTAGAGTGAAATGGGAGGGGAGAGGTAGGCTGGTGAATCCATGTAAGATCTTGAACACAGTGATTGCGACCTTGAAATTGATCTAAGATTAGATTGGGCTCCATCGGCTCTATCGACATATTGGGATACTATAATTTAGTCTACAGGTGCGGGGGACGAGTCTGGCGATGGCGTTTTGCATCGTCTTAAGTTTTGAGGTGAGGGATTTAGGGAAATGAACGATCTGGGGAGGCCCTACAGGAGAGAGCTGCAGTCAGGATGTGAAGGCATTGGTAAGGGTCTCGGCAGCAGTAGCAGATATGGGGATGAAGGAATGAGGACCTGCAGAGTTGAGAGACGCGGGACGAGAGTGAGAAGCTCAGGGTCAATGAACACTCCGAGGTGTCTTACAAGAGGTGCACACTCAATCTGAAGTCATTAGAGAAAGTGGACTTTCTTTAAAACGAGGACTTCAGTTTCAAGTAATAAAAAATGAGACCGCGTCAGGACAGGATTCGCACGAGCAGACACTGAGGCTGGGTTTATGGAGTTGGTGGCAGTGCGGGGGCAAGTGTCTTTACGCACAAGTGAAGGTCAACATTCAAACTGGAGGTGATTTTTCCAGGTGGGAGACGTATTGACAAGGGCAGGTGGCAAACCAGAGCGAGGGGGAATTCTGAGAGTAGGACAGAGGGCGGTCCCCTTGTGTAGAGACACGGGGCAATACGCGCGGTGAGAGCGGAGCAAGGCGAGAAGAGGTAGCGATGTCATTTTCGAGGCGCTCACGGGAGGATGGAGTTGTCCGTGTGTCAAAAGCAGCAGAGAGGCTGAGCTCCCTGGTTCTTTGGCTCGGCTTGTGCAGTGGAAAATGAGCTGGCACCGTGGAGGTTGCCGTATGAGAGTGGCGCCGACATTCTCCCCGCACGCCTTTTAAAATGTTCTTCTGCATGTTAACCACGCCACAGCCCCCCCCCCCACCTTCCCACTCCTAGCCCCACTGCATGAGAGGCGTGTGTCAGGAGCACTCGGAGAGAGTGATCCTTGATCTGAGGAGAGATGGCGATGGCTCGCGGGAAACACGAGCTTTCTAAGATGCAGGTCTGACACGTGACACAGCGACGGCTGAGTTTTTGTGGGGGGTGCGTTGCTGGAGTGTGGTGCGAGTGTGACATTCGCGAATATCAACACTCAAAGCTTGTGAGGGAAACAGGGTTAAAAGCTTATGAGGGTAATAGAATTAAAGGCTTATGAGGGAAATATGGTGAACAGCTTATGAGGGAAATAGGGTCAGGGGCATAAAAATATATTACGTTTAAACATAAACATACAAACTCTATGATAATTGGTTCTTTACCCTTCTATCTGGCAACAAAACTGACACCTTTTTGCAAGGAGTCATGTTTGCATAGACCGCAATACCTGCAGTCATAATACAAACAAAAGAACATAACTCTGATAATGTGCACTGTCCTTGAAGTTGATTGGTCCACACCCGAGACAGGAAAGCTGTCTCGGGTGTGGACCAATCAACTTCAAGGACAGTGCACATTATCAGAGTTATGTTCTTTTGTTTGTATTATGACTGCAGGTATTGCGGTCTATGCAAACATGACTCCTTGCAAAAAGGTGTCAGTTTTGTTGCCAGATAGAAGGGTAAAGAACCAATTATCATATTTTTACTGGCAAATGAGGTCCCCATAGTATACAAACTCTAGTAATGCATACATACATTGTATAGCATTATTGTGTTATTTAACTTACCCTTAATTACCAAGGAACGTAAACATATTCAAAAGTGAAAATATCAACGAGCAAACTAATGCATATTATGCAGAACGTAATTTTAAAAAATTCTCAAGGGCAAGCCCTCGGACAGAGGCAGCCTCTCCTCGCCCTGTCTCACCGCCATCCACACCTCACCACTTATCTCGTCGGGCAGCCGCGAGCTACGGCCGCGAATATTTAAAAAGCCGACCTCGCCAATTTCAAACAGCGCCGCGATGAATGTGTCGCCAAAAAGCCACGAACGATGAAGCTCCAAAAAATATATGAGCTGCCTCTCCTTCCCTCGACGGAAGAGCCCCCCCCCCGCCCCTCAGGGTGGGCATCGAGCGCTCCACCCTCTCACCTACACGCGGCCAGGCGGAAAAAGTTCCCCCCCCAACCCCGGTTTGTCTGTTCCCGCCCTCAGAAACCATCGACACATTGTTCCGGACTTGTGTGCTTACCGCAATAAAAAAATAAAAAATACGCACCTGTCAACCCACATGGTTTACCTGTATTCTTGTACAGGGAAACTGAGTTTGCAGGTCCATATGGCGTATAGCCGTTATCAATACGAGCAAAAAAATGATAAGTCTATTTGTTTGTGTTTCTCCCTTACGATGGGACTTTGTAGGATGCACATTGAGATTTATAAGGGCACGGTGTGACCAATAAGGTCTGAATTGGTCTGTAATAAGGTAGACACTGATAAGGGGTTGACAGGTATGAAAATATGTAGTAAGTGTTTACTGTCTGTGGGGAGTGGGAGCGCAGCGGTTAGCGAGCTGAGCTACTGAACACACCCGGCCACACGAGTTCGATTCCCGCTCAGGGCCAACACCGGTGACGATTATCCGAACCGGTCCCGGGCCTCCCCTAGGTCGACTCGGCCTCAAATGAGTACCTGGTGCGGTGCGTAAACTTCGCAACTGGGGAGACAAAGGCGGCCGGGCGTGGCTGCTGGCCAACCCACCTCCTCGTGTGCCGTGCCTGCCTTCATCGGTGCTACTCGCTAACAGCCCGTGAAAGGCTACACGGAGGGGATCTTTGTCTTTATTTAAACAGATAACTTTCGACACGCACGCGCAAGGACACCGCTGTTCCTGGCGCACGCGAGCGCACGCACCAGGCGGAAGGATCGTACTCGGCCCACACGCGTATGAACTCCTCCAGGTGGTGAGGCCCGAGTATGGACGAGTCTCTGGTGAGGTATTCAAAGTTGTCCATTATCACCGCCACAAACAGGTTCAGCATCTGTTCGGGGGGGGGGGGGGGGGGGGTGGGAACGAAACGAGACAAAATCCACGTGACTGCCCGAAGCCTCCAGCTCACCAATCAGCGGCGTCCGACAAAGAAGCGTGAAGCAAAAAATATCTCTCCATTCTCACAAACACACGAGAGAGCAGCGGAGCTCAACGACGCGCACTTCGCTACCTCGCGGCAGCCAATGGCAACGCTTGGTGTGCACGCAGTCACCATTACATCTCGACTTAAAGCTTTCGCGACTGCAGGGATTCATATTCTTTGATAATGATTGGTGTGCACACACAAATACCATTGATAATTAATGATTGGTGTGCACATACAGTTACCATTGATAATGGTGTGCACACACAGTTACCATTGATAACGATTGGTGTGCACACACAGTTATAATAACTAAATCACATTAATCGCTTTTGAAAAATAACCTAATAGCTTGGTGGGCTTTACTTGGTAAAATAAAAAATTGTATATTTTCATTTGTATTTATTTGTGATTTGCTTACCTTTCCCCTACTTTGCACTCCTATCGTGTTCGCGTATTGCGTTAGTTGCTGTCACGTTCTGACCCCGTGCCCTTGCTGGACATCTGAGGAAGAAGAGCTTTACAGCTCGTCGGATTCCTCCTCCATTATAAATAAACATTCTGACGATTCTTACGGCAGGGCGCCCTGCTCCCGCGCCGGACGTTCACCTGGCCCCCGGCGAGACATTCACCCGGTGCGCCATCGTCGTCGCTTTGTGGGTCGTACAATGGAGTCAAAATTGGGGGCGGTGACGTGTCCCGGCAGGCTACCCAGGTTATAACTGCGGGTGTATTGACCATATGGTTGGCTACGTATGCTGCGAAAGCAGTTCAAGATCCCCTGATGTAAGTCGAAATGCGCAGGCCATGGTGTGCCGGCATCATGGTCCAAAATTTGTAAAAATTACCCACAAACTCTTCTTTCTTTGGCATTCCCTGATTGGTCGAGGATGACTTCCTCCCGCTGTGGTCCCGTGTGCTCTGAGGTGACTGAGGAGCCCAATGCAAGACCCGCAGACTCTGGTGGGGCAGGAGGTGCTGGACGGGACGGGTGGGTGGGTGCAGTGGGTGGGACGGTTGAGTGGGTGGGAAGGTTGGTTGAGTGAGTCAGTTGCTGGGTGGGTAGGTGGGTGGGTTGAGTGGGAGGGTTGAGTGGGAGGGTTGAGTGGGTGGGTGGGTTGAGTGGGTGGGTGGGTTGAGTGGGTGGGTGGGTTGAGTGGGTGGGTGGGTTGAGTGGGTGGGTCGGTTGGTTGAGTGAGTGGCTGGGTGGGTAGGTGGGTGGGTAGATGGGTGGGTGGGTTGAGTGGGAGGGTTGAGTAGGTGGATGGGTGGTAGAGTGGGTGGGTGGGTGGGTTGAGTGGGAGGGTTGAGTAGGTGGATGGGTGGTAGAGTGGGTTGAGTGGGAGGGTTGAGTGGGTGATAGAGTGAGTAGGTGGGTGGGTTGAGTGGGAGGGTTGAGTGGGAGGGTCGAGTGGGTGGGTGGGTTGAGCTGCAGGGCGCTCCTTTGCTGCACCCATCCTGCTTCCTTCTGCACTTGCCGGTAAGACTCAAGATGCACGATGCCAACCCCAAACGCTTCTCCAGTTTGTGCGATCCTAGGCTCGCGACTCCCATGAGTTGATGTTGACGACGTCGCATTGTTTGAATGAGGCTTTGAGAACGTCCTTACCCGTAAATGACTCCATTGGGATTGCAAGCAGCAAGCAACGGAACCTCGCGTGAATCTACCGCAGACCGTTACCCTCCTTAGCGATAGCCTCGTGCTACGAGAATTATCATCGCCGACGTATGGGAAGCATTGCGGAGACTGAACCCCTTCCCTGTGAGCTCCACTCAATTGACTATTTTAGTTCCATCAGGAGAGGTCCACTGAGCTATGTAGCTCACGGAGGCGAATGCCACCCAACCGCTCACCGGAGCGGAGACACCGCGACGCTCCCCCCGTACGCAACAATCGTGCTGGCGGCAGCGAGAGAGGAACCCGCTCGGCGTACCAGGAAGGAGCAGAAGAAAATGAAGGAGACGAAGTAGAAGTAGGCGAATCCGCTGCCGCACTCCTCGCTCTTGTGGCGGCCCGCGAGCTCGTCGCACGGCCGCGGGGAGCGGCACGCCAGCATGATCTCGTGCCACGCCTCGCCCGTCGCACTCCTGGCAGCACCCACGACACGGAACACCGCAGCCTCGGTTCCACCACCGCCACCACCACCACCACCACCACGACCACCACCACGACCACCACCACCACCGCCACCGTGACCACCGCCACCACGAACACCGCCACCACCACGACCACCACCGCCACCACCACCACCGCCACCATGACCACCGCCGTCACCGCCACCATGACCACCGCCGTCACCACCACCGCCACCACGAACACCGCCGTCACCACCACGGGCACGACGAGCACCACCACCACCGCCACCGTGACCACCGCTACCACGAACACTGCCGCCACCATGACCACCACCACCGCCATCACCACCACCACGAACACCGCCGCCACCATCGCTGTCACCACCACTGCCACGACCACCGCCGCTATGAGCACCGCCACCACCACCACCACGACCACCGCTGTCACCACCACGGGCACCACCACCGCCACCACGACCACCGCCGTCACCACCACCGCCACCACGACCACCGCCGTCACCACCACCGCCGTCACCACCACCGCCACCACGACCACCGCCACAACGACCACCGCCACCATGACCACCGCCGTCACCACCACAAACACAGCCGTCACCACCGCCGTCACCACCACCGCCACCACTACCACCGCCACCACTACCGCCACCGCCACCACGAGTGCAGTGTCAATCTAACTCAGGCTAACTCACAACGTAGATTCCAGACACAACTTAAAGACCCAGATGTGCCAAACAATTTTAATTAATAAAAAATAATAATGTAAAAGTAACAATATAAATGGGAATATTCACACTGAGACGTAACACGACTCTAAACTAAACCCTTGGCTCAAACTGCATCCAATTATTACAATTGATTGTGTAACTTAATCAGCTACTTTCCCCTCAAACTTTCCCGGTCTAAACCACTTTCAGGTTCAGCCTCTTGTTTTCTCGTTACATGTCGAAGAAATCTCTGTTGCCTTTCTCGAATATTTTTTTAAATACATTTTCTTGTTGTGTACCTTTGATATATGCCTAATACATGTTACCGATCTCTTGTCTGTCCGTGAATTTATTAAAATCCTTCTTTGAAAAAAAACAAATTTCCGTTGCTTCTCATTTGCGCTGCTGGGCCTTCGTAATTGTCCAGTTTTCATATCCACAGAGGAGATCAGACCACATGTAACGCTGCAGTATCCCAATTGTCATAAAATATATGTTATCAGATTTTCTGAAACATATATTTTTCGCCAGTGCTATTCTTCTGTTACCACGCTCCCTAAAGAGTGAAATGCTCCAACTGCTTGATTTTGCTGCCACTGTGACATGCGCTTGACGCCCAGCCATGATTCTCTTATTTGACACGACCAGGGGTCGGCAACCTGCGGCTTCCGGAGCCGCGCGCGGCTCTTTGCTTCGCGACGACATCACTTATTAGGGAGTCACCGTCTCGTACTCGCGGGCATTGCGGCTTTTACAGTTAATTGTTAATCCTTTCTCTTGACTTTCGAACATTAATTTACCTGCGATGATTTGCAAATCGCCCTGAAAATTCTGCTATTAATACAATATCATCTGCATATCTGAGGTTACTAATATCTTGACCACCATCATCTACTCCATGCAACGCCTCCATCTCCCTCAGAATCATCTTACTACATATGTAAACAAAAATACCCGACCTTGTCCAACTGCTCTCCTATTGTACGGATACTCACTTCACTAACCCCTCCATCAACTTCACCGGCTACTGTTGGCTCCCAATATAAACATCTTACTGCTCTAAAGTATGTCACGCTTAACATCTAAATTTCCCAGCACCGTCGTTGATTTTTCCACGCCTCACTTATCGAAAGCTTTTGTGCCAAACGCGAATTTCTCATTGAATTCTGATAAAACGGAGGCGATGCTATTGGGATTTAAACATGAATTGAACAATTTTAACGGGTGTTCTTGCAGTTGACAGCTTCCCATTTAAGTTGAGGTCTCAAGTGACAATTTTTGGCTGTTACTTTTTGACCCAGATCCCACATTCGAACAAAATAACTAAAAGTTTTAGTTTTTTTCCCCTTCTAAAATAAATCGCTAAACTAAGACATTTCCTTTCCATGGACGATGCAGAGGAACTGATGCCGCACGCCCTCATAACATCCATACATGATGACTGCAGTGCTCTGCTTGTTTGTAATTCCTAGATACGTGCTATCACGACTGCATCGTGTGCAACACGCTGCAGTCAGTCGGAGGTGCTGCTAAGGATCTAACACGAAACACAAGACACGATCCCATTACACCCGTACGGTATTCCCTCGTTAATCACGAACTTGCTATCCGCGGCTTTGGCTATCCGCAAATCGCATCCGGAATGCCTGCTTCATCGAGAGAGAAAAAACGTAACGAGAGAAAGTGATGAGAGATAAAGTGATGAGATAAAGTGATGAGAGATAAAGTGATGAGAGAGAGCTTCTCAAAGCTTGACGTTTGCAGATGTTGGGCATAAGAGATAGAACCTCTAACAGCTTTATGTGTTTATTTAAGGTAATTCATTACAAAGGTAGGTTTTCGTAAACCAATATCGTTATCCTCGAAATTTGCTATTGACGAGCATCTCCAGAACGTATCTATTACGAATACGAGGGAGTATTGCATTGGCAGCCCTACATTGCCTTTGTGTAATGTATAGGGTCGATTTTAACGTCATGCTTACGACTTTGCGTTAAAAGGTTGTTGAATCATCCATATCTAAACCATATCTTAATTCCATATTTACTAAGCCGACCATTGCGACACCGGGATGCAGGAATTTCGAAATGAACTAGGGTGCCAGGAGCGGTTCGGGCTTTCGGCTCCCCCGATCATGGAATCAGCTGCTGCCCGTTTTGGAGGTTTCATTTTGTAACTGGTAAATCCCACTGGGCAACACATGATAATTTTCGAAGCGGACCTGGTTACAGAAACTTGGCTACATCAAATACAGAGTGAACAAAACGAATACACAAATGGTTGTGCCCTTTAACCTCCAAACAGAAGACACTATTATAATCTCTCATTCACATTTGAACGCATTGACCACGTATTGTATTTCAGTTGATCTCTGTAGTACAGAATATATTCATCGTTTATTTTGCTGCGTAACAATTGACTGTTCACATGTCCTTATTCATTATTGCTTTGCAATAGTTGTGAAGCACCTTGCCATAAGAAACTATTGAGTGCACGATGCCAAATAAAGATTGATCGCTGACTATATACATCTGCTGACAGAGAGACATATTAAGTTTTTTTTCAAAATCATCCAACTACTACTGACTCCTTGAGAGATGTTTGTTTCCATAACCATATTATCAATGATGTATGGATAATATGGTTAATGTAATATAAATCTCATCCTATGGTTAATATGATATACATCTCATCATATGGTTAATATTATATAAATCTCATCCTATGGTGAATGGTGAATATGATAGAAATCTCATCCTATGGTGAATATGATATAAATCTCATCCTATGGTGAATATGATATAAATCTCATCCTATGGTGAATATGATATAAATCTCATCCTATGGTCAATATCATATAAATCTCATCCTATGGTTAATATGATATACATCTCATACTATGGTGAATATGATAGAAATCTCATCCACTGCACAACCATGACAGGAGATGCGGATGCCTGATGCACAAATCGAAAATAAAAACATTTCTCCAGTGCGTAGTGTGCGACTGTGGTCATCCAGAACAACGTGTAACAACAACGCAATGCCCGATCTTCTACAAACACGAGGGAGGCATCACGGTGATGATGATACACTCCGCTGGCTCCTCACGTGGTTATCTGCTGGGTTGACTACGGCAATGTGAAATTGTAGTTGTAGCTCTGCGTCTAACATCAGCAGCCGTACGACAAGAGGAAGACTGCTTTGTTATATTTGTGAAGCGACTTGCAGCAGTTATTGTTGAGGGCACAATACCAAATGAAGATTGATCGAGCGCGCAGATTCATCCATTGACGCCGAGCCGAATTTCAATGTTTATTTTCAGTGATCCTACTACTTGACTTAAAGCTTTCATGACTGCAGGAATTCATATTCTTGGGTCTTTCGGTAAAGTCACGGAGATAGGTTCAAAGAAAATAAAAAATAAATAAATAAAAACTACGACGTTTCGATCGCAACACAAGCGGTCGTCATCAGGAAGATGACAAACGCTTGTGTCGAAACGTCGTAGTTTTTGTTATTTTTTGTTCTTTTCTTTTAACCTATCTACGTGAATTTACCGAAAGACCCCAAAATATGGATCCTACGACTTTTGATTCAATCAGATATGTTTGTTTCCATAAACCATGTAATCGATGATGTATTGAAAGATGTTTGTTTGTTGTTGTTGTCATTTGTCCATCATTCTTCTCTCAACTCATTGAGCACGAAGTGGTACAGGACCGAGTCTCGTCTGGGTACCGGGGGGGCCTGAGCCGGCAGCGCATCTGAGATGATGCGGCGGCAGCAACGGTCACCTGAATAGAAGCATCAGCGCTTGGAAGAACGTTCGAAAGTTGTTATGGCGGTTGATCCCATAGCCGTCATCCAGCGCTATATTGCCAAACACCTGCAAACGACAACAACGTGAAAATCCACCCTGGGCCACGGTTCACACTGCCCGGTCACCGCCACAGGCGTGGGATAAAACAACGACGGAATGCGTGAGCTTGTACACATCGTGTCTGTGGGCAGGGTCGCCACGTGTGTGTGCGTTTTAGTCGGCAGAAAAAAAAGCTTCGTAGCTCTTCGGATTTCTCCAGGATAAAGATTCTGATTCTGTGGCAAGTGTGTATGTGTGCGTGACTGTATGGTGAGTGTGTAGTGTGTATGTGTCCAGGACTCTGTGGAACTCACAAATCCTTGAGAGATCTGGGTACACATTCTCATCAGTGAGCTCCTCTGGTGGGCAAGGCGGCGTTGGCTGGGTGATATACCCCGCATGCCCAGCCACCGCATTCGCAAGCATCTTCTATTTGGCCGGATAAGAGGGGGCTAAACAGATGCGACACGGGCTAGAGAAGATATGCACTGATGAGGTAGAGGAGGATGTGGAGATGAGTGGATTTGTCGAAGACCGGTACCAGCAGTGTCAAGTTCGGGCTCTGTGGAGGAGGCTCGTGAAGGACACTGCTACTGGGCAGTTGGAGGCAGTCACCCTCCAACAACAGCGGAGGGCGGAGGAGCGACGCTCACAACAACGAGCGGAGCACCCGGCGACTAAAATGCAGCAAGTTGGCACAGTAGGGGGCACAGCGCATTTGCCAGTCATATCACTCAACCCATGGCACCTGGGTCTGTTCTGTGACCTCCTGCCAGCGAGCCTTCGATAATTCATGTGGCCTCAAAGTGCACTTGGCATGGCAGAAGTGTTGTGGTGACGTCACCGCCACTTAGTGGCAAACGGCGGTTGTTCTTGAGACTGTTTGGTGTGTGAGTGTGTGTGCGAGACTGTGTGGTGTGTGCAAGACTGTGTGGTGTGTGAGTGTGTGTGCGTGACCATGAGCAGACTGTACCTGCATGCCGATGATGGCGTAGATGAAGAAGAGCATCCCAATGAGCAGACAGACGTACGGCAAAGCCTGCAACACACCACCCCGTCACGTCACGCGGACGCTGGAAACTAACTCGTCTGCCTCTTCATTGCAGTGTAACATTTCAACATCGGCATCTAACACAGGCCTCATCCCTCTGGGGTCAACAACACGGGCATCACTTTGTGTTCAAAGTCAACCGTGATCGTCCTGTGGATAGACTCGCCCACGCCATAGTAAGGTGTAATTTCCACCTCTGGCTGAAGATTGCAAGCACGAAATGAGCACCAATACATCAATGCTCATTGAAGCAGGAAATCACTTTGGCTTTTGAAAACCAAAGATTATATATATTAGTTTCATACGCCACAGCGATTTATACATTTTTATAATATCACAGGGTAAAAACCCTGGATGGACACCAAGAGATGACCGCGATGCTGTGGAGATGCCGCGTCCGCACGGCACGCCACGAGCGAGCCCGCGTAGGCAACGCCCACGCCCGCACGTATGTACGCACGTAACGTTACGCGTACTTCACGTAAGGTTACGCACGTAACGTTACGTGTACGTTACACACGTAAGGTTATGTACGTAACGTAACGTTGCGTGCAACGCTCTGTAGCGCAAGTTAGAGCGTCTTCCTGCTCTCGTCGCCATCGCCAACCACCTGACCTGTCGATGGAAATTCCACATTCCCATTGAGGGGCAGCACTGCCATTCACTCGCCGTGCGAGCGTGCTCAGCCTCAGTGCCAGTCTGCCAAGCAGTGAGCGAGAGTTACTGTACACGGAAGTTTACAATGCTCACAACTTAACTCAATCACGCACACGATCAGCGATTTGATTTTTGTTGTTCAGCGTTAAAACCTTCATCTCGATTGATTTACGCGCAGCGTCGTGCCACCACGCCGCCATACCGCCACATGGCATCAACGCGTGGCACCAACGCGTGGCATCAACGCGTGGCACCAACGCGTGGCACCAACGCGTGGCACCAACGCGTGGCACCAACGCGTGGCATCAACGCGTGGCACCAACGCGTGGCACCAACGCGTGGCACCAACGCGTGGCATCAACGCGTGGCATCAACGCGTGGCACCAACGCGTGGCATCAACGCGTGGCACCAACGCGTGGCACCAACGCGTGGCATCAACGCGTGGCACCAACGCGTGGCACAAACGCGTGGCACCAACGCGTGGCATCAACGCGTGGCATCAACGCGTGGCATCAACGCGTGGCACCAACGCGTGGCATCAACGCGTGGCATCAACGCGTGGCACCAACGCGTGGCATCAACGCGTGGCACCAACGCGTGGCATCAACGCGTGGCATCAACGCGTGGCACCAACGCGTGGCACCAACGCGTGGCACCAACGCGTGGCACCAACGCGTGGCACCAACGCGTGGCACCAACGCGTGGCACCAACGCGTGGCATCAACGCGTGGCATCAACGCGTGGGCACCTTGAAGGACTGCACGAAGGTCCAGAGCAGGATGCGGATGGTGTAGCCCTGGCGCAGCAGCTTGATGAGACGGGCGGCGCGGAACAGCCGCAGGAAACTCAGGTTGATGAAATTGTTCTGCGGGGGTGGGGGGGGGGGACACGAGACGGGCCTCAGCGACGAGCTCGACACGCGTGCGAGAGAGAGAGGGGGGCAGCAAAACGCATCGCCCGAGGTTCAACGCCCCCGTGGCGGGTGTCACAAGTAGAGACGCTTTGCCGCTGTACTTGAGAAAACAGATTCTGGCTTAACCCTAAATGTCCCCTTTCTTACGCGCGCTATAACCCCACCCGTGTCTCACTGGCACTGGAAGAGCCTCCAACTGAGAGCTGCTGCCGCCAACTCAAATATTTGAAGAAAACATCACTTGCCAGAAATCTGTCCCATCAAATGCTTCCCTTTCCTCCGTGGAATCCGTAGGAGGCCCTATTATCTCATTTGAAACTCATTTGTCAATCACCTCCACGGTGCAGCGCAGAGTTTGGTTTCTGCTCCGATGTGAACGCTCCGTCGTGCGAGTCAAGAGTCACTGCCAACCACCTGAACCGGCGATGGAAATTCCACATTCCCATGGAGGGGCAGCACTGCCGTTAACTCGCCGTGCGAGCGTGCTCAACCTCAGTGCCAGTCTGCCAAGCGATGAGTGAGAGTTACTGTACATGCCAATGTACAATGCGCACTACTTCACTCAATCATGCACACGATAATTAGCGATTGATTTTTTCGTTCGGTGTTAAAACTTCACATTGATTCCCAGCCACTTACCCAAGTCAACATTATCAATTATTTATGTTATGTTTGCAGCTTATGCTAACGTGCCATGGAAACGCAGCCATGAGGCAGCCCTAGAAAGTAATTGGACTGCGGTGATAGCGACGGAACGTGCACGCAAGTCGGTCGGAATTTATTTTGTGCCATGCAATTTTTTTAAATTTCTGTATATAAAGTAGTGTGTCGAAGTAGGATCCATATATATAATAGAGATGGTCCTTGCCTATCGATCTGGCAGTTAATCAGCATGGGGGTTAGCCCCACCCTGCTGGTGGGACAATGAATGTCGCAATTGGTCCAGAGCTGACTCGTACGAAACTAATGCTGCTGAAAGTAAATCACTCCCAGAAGGCTGTGGCCGAGGGGATGTCCATTTTTTGTTTTACGTGGATAGGATGGGGGAAGGAGGCGTAGCGTCCGCCTGTTTATCTGTAACCTACTCGTTAAAACGTATTCTCGCTGACGCCTGTTTATCTGTTACGTACTCGTTAAAACGTATTCTCGCTGACGCCTGTTTATCTGTTACCTACTCGTTAAAACGTATTCTCGCTGACGCCTGTTTATCTGTTACGTACTCGTTAAAACGTATTCTCGCTGGCGTCTGTTTATCTGTTACCTGCTCGTTAAAACGTATTCTCGCTGACGCCTGTTTATCTGTTACCTGCTCGTTAAAACGTATTCTCGCTGACGCCTGTTTATCTGTTACCTGCTCGTTAAAACGTATTCTCGCTGACGCCTGTTTATCTGTTACCTACTCGTTAAAACGTATTCTCGCTGACGCCTGTTTATCTGTTACCTACTCGTTAAAACGTATTCTCGCTGACGCCTGTTTAACTGTTACCTGCTCGTTAAAACGTATTCTCGCTGACGCCTGTTTATCTGTTACCTACTCGTTAAAACGTATTCTCGCTGACGCCTTCCTTTTAACCATTAAATAACTGCTGCATTTACCGCGGCTTCAACGCAGGCTGTGCAAGGTTTTTTGTCGGCTATTCGCCGGGACGCCCTGACGTCTTGGCCCACGCGTGCCCTGTCCGGCATGCGCGCGTTTTGCTGTTAGCGGCTGTGACCTCCTACGTCGGGCCGTAGTGCGGCATCTACACACCTCATCACCGTAATCCGTCCAAAGCCACCACACGTGCACGGACGTATACTTAAATCGTGTGACGTTTTAAGAAGGCGACGTTTGCCCGACTTATCTCGAGAGCGAACCTCTTTTGCCCGCGGACCAGGAAGGGCGGCCTTAGCGTGCAGCCCGACGGACACGCTCTGGGAGGGATGTGACGACTGTGCAACCAACCAACCACTGTGTGGACTTGCTGTGGCCGCTTTGTGCCTGCAGCACGAGCGGTCTGACGGTGCGAGTTCACAAGCACGACGACGAGCGTGTAAGTGGGCCCTGCTAATAACCCTGGGGGGGAGGGGGGTGGAGGGTCGGTGGAGGGGGTGGGGAGGGGGTGGGGATGGGGGGTGGAGGGTGAGGAGGGGGGTGGAGGGGGTGCGGAGGGGGGTGGATGGGGGGTGGAGGGGGTGTAGAGGGGGGGGGTGGAGGGGGGTGGAGGGGGGATGGAGGGGTGGGGAGGGGGGTGGAGGGGGGGTGGAGGGGGTGTAGATGGGGGGTGGAGGGTGGGTGGAGGGGTGGGGAGGGGGGGTGGAGGAGGTGGGTGGACGATGTGGGTGGAGGGGATGGTGGAGGGGGTGGGTGTAGGGGGGGTGGAGGGGGTGGGGAGGGGGGTGGAGGGGGGGCTCTGCATTGCAAGAATACGCAGAGAGACCGCCCCCCCCCCCCCCTTAGCGAGAAGCGAACACATCTTACCCGCTTATGCTCAGCACAGGCATAGTCACACGTGTGTGTCTGTGTGTGGTTATGCCTTTTAACGTGACGCGTATATATAGTGTACGCGATGCAATGCGTGTGCTGTGACAGGCTTGTGAAGCGGTCAAAATGGAAGAGGAGCACAATTACCACTTGCTGATTGGTCCAAAGCGGATGAAAGGATGGGTTCAGTGATGGAATCAGATGGTAGGCAGGAGAGCGAAATGGATTACACAAACATACAACATACACACGGATGTTAGGGAGATATCGCGTGGCTCACAAACGTAATCACATAATGGCAGGCGCTGGAATACACAACAACAACAACAAGGCGGATAATCTGCAACACAGAGATGGGTTTTTCCAGGTGAGTGGGTGGGCGGCTGCGTGCCCAGCCGCCTCATCCCTGCCACGGCACCGCGGACACTTCCACTGTGACCGCTCGCTCAGCCTGGCAACGGGCGGTGGCAGAGACGGCGGAGGCAATGCCACCGGGAGCCGATCGTTCACGGAGCCCAAAGCGCTTGGAGCAATCGCCCAGCAGGAGTTTCACAACCGTCAACTTTTGCCCGCTGGAGATTTACGTTGAGGCCCGCGATGCCAGCCCAGCTGAGCGATGCGGGACACCGGTGCGGGGGGGGGGGGGAGAGAGGCTGCGGCACATCCAGATGAACCAATCCCAGCGCACGTGCTCCGAGGGGAGCTTGTAAATCGTACGTTTTGCGTTGTGTTTTCGGACCAAGAGTCCACACAGCTTTGGATAGAAAGGAACGACATCTGGAGTCTGCACAGCGGCTCGTATGCCGTGAATGAGGGACACGTGATTTCATGTCCCAGAGGTCAAACGAGCCAAACGATGATGGACCGTATTCTCTGGACTAAGACGCACTCTTTTTCCTTGTTTTTTTCAAGTAAAGGTTGGGAATCCGTATCATAATCTGGCAAATATGTTGTGTGCGTGCGTGTGTGGGCATCAAAGGCGGCCGGTAGGGCGCTGGCCACCCATTTCCTCATGTGACTTGCCGGCCTTCATAGGTGCTCACTAATAGCACATGTCTCGGCAGGGGATCTTTGTCTTTGTCCACGTAGGACCCCATTAAAACCCACAACAGTCTGGTCTCGGCTCGCTGATGAAAGCTGCAAGAACGAATGTCATCATCGCTTGCAGCTGGGGTTTGCATTGTCCCCCCTCTCCCTGATGTTGAGGGGAAATGGGTGAGGTTCAGGACTGTGGCTCATGCACCAGCTATGGCTGCATTGGGAACACAGTCTATACTTCCCCGGAGACCCTGGCTGATGGAGGAGGTGTTCCGGCTAGCTGAGAAAAGGTGGCAGGTCCACTACCACCACCTACAACATCCCACAAAGGAGAATGAGGAGGCTCACTGCAGGCTGATTGTAACAACTAGTAGGGCATCTCCCTCCTCAGTGTGCCAGGAAAGATCCTCGCAAGGATTCTTCAACATCACCTTGACAGGCAAGCTAAGGAGAGGCTTGAGGAGCCCCAGGGTGGTTTCAGAATGGGTTGGTCCTGCACAGAAGCTATACGATGTGTCTGTCTAGTACAGCAGCGGTGTAAGGAATCTCAACAGGACCTACAGCTCTGCATTATTGACCTGGTCAAGGCCTATGAAGCGATCAATATGAGTCAGAGCCACTACCTGTTCACCTTTGGGTGCGGCATAGATGTCCTCTGGCTCCTACATAATTTCACATCTTTTTTTAACCACGTAATTTGAGACACTTTACATGGCTGTACCAAAGGAATTTCCATCTTAGGAGGCTGATCGATGCCCGGGTGACCTCCTGTCAAGTGAGCCTCCGACACTTCCCGTGGCCCTCAAGGTACACCTAGCCTGGCACATGCGCTGTTGGTGACACAACCGCCACTTAGTGGTGAATGGTGGCTATTGTTGGTGTTGGTGTAGTGGGTGTGTGACCAGATTTGCATAAATGTATTGACACCGATTGCAAGTTCGTTTGGGGTCCGTTTAGCTTTTCGGAGCATTCTGTAGTCCTGAGAATTTTTATATTAAGTATCGACACGCAGTTTTGCAAATAAAGAATGACAGCTGGGATTGGTCACGGGGAGCAAATACTTTAGAACCCATCAAATGAAACGCTGCAGCGAGCCATGAATCGTTAAACAAATGTCCATTAATTCCACATTCGAATGTGAGTTGAGTAACTTAAAAAAGCGATGTAAACTCAAGGCCTGGATTGCACAGCTCCACCTGCCGCCACTCTCGGTGTAAAGTCCACAACTCGCCTCCTGCACACGTCAACCCGGCTATTTATGTGGCCACTCACATCCTCCACAACGACCTAAGTTATTATTTTGTGTGTTATGTAGTTTTGCGTCCAACTAGGACCAATATCTATAAACAGTTTGCCAGCATTGGTTCAAGAAAGCCTGACTCTGCATATGAGGCAATGAATGTTGAAATTGGTCTCGAGGTTGCTTGTACTGAATCAATGCTGCCGAAATCACGCACTCCCAGAAGGCCGTGCGGGTGATGGGATGCGTAAAGAAGAAAACTACGTTATCGTTTCATTCTGTGGAGGGGCAGATTAGTGATGGAGGCGTCTTGTCTGCTTGTGTATCATCCTGAAACCCCGAGCGAGCTCACGGTCGGTGCGGACGCACGGCCGTCTAAACGGCGGAGGGCTGAGGGAGCGGGCAGGCCGGCAATTTGGCGCAGCGCGACAGCCGGCCACACAGCGAGGGGAGAGGCCCCCTGCGGGCAATGGCTCTGTGGCCTCCCTGGGAAAGCAAGCGACGGTCACACACGAAGCAGAGCTGGGCCACGGGCGAAGTTGTCGGGAGCAGCCGTGAGATGCAACTCGATTTAAAAAACATATCCCGCATTTGTAAAGAAAAGCGGACTCGCAGGCAGGCAGAGGTCGTAGGGGGGAATGACGCGCCAGCAGAACGCACCGATTCGCAATGCATTATAAAATAAGGGGATGATGGGGACATGTGCTGCGAATGTAAATACAAAATAAACGATGCAAGGCGGTGAATGAGGTTGAAGCAAGAGGGCAAATGGAGATGTCAGGTACTGCATTTGGTACACATTTAATATGTGGGATGGGAGCAGGGTCGCCACCTTCTCCGCAGACCAAACCCTGGGCACGTTTCTCAGTTGGCACGAGTCATTCAAAACTGTGCAGTTTGCTGCAATAAAGTTCCACGCAACACCGGCAATCAGACCTCGGAATATTTCGGGTCAAGCCTGGGCAGGTGGCGACCCTAGATGAGAATGTGGGATGTGGAGCTGGATTCGACAATGCAGGAGGCGCGGGTCAGAAGAGGACAGGCGGGAGGCGGCAGGGGAGGCGGGGTATTATTTTGAGGTCACGCAGGAGAGGTGAGGGCAGTGAGGGCGTGGTGGCGAGTGGCATTGCGTGTGGCGCTCACCACGAGTTCCGTCACTAAAATGTCCGTGACGCTCCCTCCGACGGTGACGAGGTCGAAGACATTCCAAGCGTCGCGGAAATAATTCTGAACGAAACAAAAACGTGATGTCGATGACGATGACAATCACATCGTTGTTCCTCAAACGGCACGCGTGCAAACATTGGCACCGCCTTATAGCAGAAGCAGAACGTCGCGCACAATAAGAACTGAGGGGCCGCGTCGATGGCAGCGTCCAATCGCACGCCGACAAGTCTCCCCACGCTCGTCATTAACACCGCCCTGTACAGCAGAAGCCCGCGAGCATGCGCACGGATCCGAATCTGCAAACGATGAGAAAACCCGCCACAACAGAAAACCCGCTTCTTGTACACACAGGCCACGCTCTTGTATGTTGCTGCAGAAACACGCGCGGCATGCAAGGATCATGTTTTGGGGGCCTTCTTTCCAAACGGAGCACTAACCGGCTTCAGTCGCCCTCACGCGGCCTCATGCATACCGTTGCCGTGAATCTACCCCGTGGTTATCGTTGCCGTGAATCTCACCCCGTCGTTACCGTTGCCGTGAATCTCACCCCGTGGTTACCATGAATCTCCCCCCGTGGTTACCGTTGCCGTGAATCTACCCCGTGGTTACCGTTGCTGTGAATCTCACCCCATGGTTACCGTTGCCGTGAATCTACCCCGTGGTTACCGTTGCTGTGAATCTCACCCCATGGTTACCGTTGCCGTGAATCTCACCCCGTGGTTACCGTTACCGTGAATCTCACCCCGTGGTTACCGTTGCCGTGAATCTCACCCCATGGTTACCGTTGCCGTGAATCTACCCCGTGGTTACCGTTGCCGTGAATCTCACCCCATGGTTACCGTTGCCGTGAATCTACCCCGTGGTTACCGTTCCCGTGAATCTACCCCGTGGTTACCGTTGCCGTGAATCTCACACCGTGGTTACCGTTGCTGTGAATCTCACCCCATGGTTACCGTTGCCGTGAATCTACCCCGTGGTTACCGTTGCCGTGAATCTCACCCCGTGGTTACCGTTGCCGTGAATCTCACCCCATGGTTACCATGAATCTCCCCCCGTGGTTACCGTTGCCGTGAATCTACCCCGTGGTTACCGTTGCTGTGAATCTCACCCCATGGTTACCGTTGCCGTGAATCTAGCCCGTGGTTACCGTTGCTGTGAATCTCACCCCATGGTTACCGTTGCCGTGAATCTCACCCCGTGGTTACCGTTACCGTGAATCTCACCCCGTGGTTACCGTTGCCGTGAATCTCACCCCATGGTTACCGTTGCCGTGAATCTACCCCGTAGTTACCGTTGCCGTGAATCTCACCCCGTGGTTACCATTGCCGTGAATCTACCCCGTGGTTACCGTTGCCGTGAATCTACCCCGTGGTTACCGTTGCCGTGAATCTACCCCGTGGTTACCGTTGCCGTGAATCTCCCCCATCGCTTCCTCCGCCCGTTTAGAGCACTCGGGTCTACCAGACACTGACAATCTCACACTCATCAGTACTGTGCTCAATCACCACACTACGGCTACCCACTCACCCACTCAGTCACTCAGTCACCCACTCACCACACTGCAAGTCACCTCACCTCTCTTTGCTTCTAACCCTCGCACCGCTCCGCTTTGCAAATTCCCTCCCATCGTCTCTTCTCCCCAGGTTAAAACAACCTTGCTCAATTCAAGAAACAACTTTGATAATAGTGCTGTTTGTTGCTGGCCCTTTGATATTTTTGGGGCTTTTTGGCCCGGTGCTCAGCAACTTCCTGCCATTGTACAGGACGTGGCGACGCCTCTTCCGAGGGTGGCGCACACCAATCCCGCCAAGCAGCAGCCGTCAAAGTGCCGTCTGTCGATGTAAGCCCCCGTTACGTTGGTGCAGATAAACAATTGCAGGTATGCAAGCGGGCAGCTTGCGGTTTTTATTAGCTTAGGTGTAATTTAGCAGCAGCTCAGACGTGGCTGGGAAATTATTACTATTATTATTATTGAGCTGATTTACCCTGCTAAGTTTTCTCGGTCGGGGGCAATGTTGTTTAGCGTAACGCCAACTGCTTAATTCGCGGGTAACGTTTTAGCCAAGGCAAGTTTGGCCAACACCAGTTACATTTGACGTTTTGTTTTGTTCAGCAGCTATGGGAGGAGACCAGAGAACCCGGAGGAAACCCAAGCAGGGAGAGCGAGAGAACAAACTCCATGCACAAAAGTGTGACCACCCTGCCGCCAAGATGCTGTCAGAAGTGGACCAAGGGATGATGCGCACTGTGCTCGTCAACGCCGGGTGATTCCGCTCCCGGCTCACTCGCTGCGAGGAGTGGGGGCACATGCCCGCGGTGACCGCGCCGGCGCCAACAAGCTGGTGCGGCGCAATGCGCGGCAGCCCCCGGGGAGGAGCAAGCGATTCCCGTGCACGGCCGCAGAGCTGTCGCGTCCTCGGCGCCGCTCGGCACAGGCCGGGACGCCGCGCCCCGGACACACGTACCAGGAAGCCGAAGCCGACGAGTTTCAAGATGCACTCCAGGGAAAAGACGATGGTGAAAATAATGTTGAGGTATTTCAACGAGTCGTCGTAGGCGGCCGGCGCGCCGTAGAACTGCACTCACGCACACACACGCGGGGAGACGGCCACCTGCACGTGTGGTGAACCGCAGGAAACCAAGATCCCCCCCACCCCCCCTGTACAGCTTTAAGAGACTGTGCTGTTTGCGAGTAGCACCGATGAAGACCGGCACTGTGGCGCACAAGGGGGTGGGTGGCCAGCACCGCACCCGGCCGCCTTTGCCTCCCTAGTGGCGATGTTTTTTGCACACCGCACCAGGTACTCATTTGAGACTGAGACGACCCAGGGGAGGGCCAGACCCGGTTCAGATAATCGTGACTGGTGGTTGGCCATGAGCGGAAATCGAACTCGGGTTGCCAGGTTCGTAGCCCAGCTCACTAAACGCTGCGCCATCGCTCCACACGTTGAAGCAGACCTGGTAGAATGTACACCACGCACACCGAGAGAGATGAGGACCCAGACTACCCTGCATGGATCGCATGAACATTACCTCACCATGTAAAAGCGTATGTCTGGATATCTAGATGTGAAGTCGAAAGTAGGAACTAACATCAACCCGTTGATGTTATAGTGTCGAGAGCACCGATTAGAAATATTACAATTCCAATGCACAAATGAATCTAGTGATCCGAGTTCAGCTGCTGCACACGGCAAACATCAGTGGCGAGTAATCTGTAAACCGGTCCTTGGCATCCCCATTTCACGAAAGCCGCTCTGCCCAGCATCAACAACCGCCCCGAGCCACACTGAGTCTCAACACTCTCCATCGGGAGGGTCCTGCCGAGTTATCTCAGCAGGGGGCGATGCTGCTGCTGCTGCTGTTGAGTGATTCCAGTTGAGTCATGCTGGAGACAGTAATGCAGAATCAGAATGTGTATTTCTACTGGAGGAATCAGATGAGCTACGTGATGTCCAATACCTAGGCTGGTTGAAGCCTTTATCCAATAGTAGATTGAAAAAAACGGTACATATTTTTATTATTAGAAATTATCTGTTATTGCAAATCCAATTTTAAATATATCTCACAAATGACTCAACCATTGCCACCTCCTCAGGGGTCAATATAACGAGTACTACTTTGTGGGGAAGTCAACAATGGTCATCTTATGGTGATACTCACCACTACCGTAGGAATGTGGAATTTGCATCACTGGTTCAGGGCTGTAAATGACAATTTACCCGACTCATTTAAACCCAAGTAGTCTGACGACATGGGCTGAGTGACCGAGTTGGAGGGCCGTGCTCACCGATTGGCTCTTGGAGATCACCATGAGCAAGCTCTGAGATTGCCACTCACTGATTGGTCCTTGGAAACCACATTCAAAATCATCATAAGCGTCGTTTTGGAGAATATGAATAAGAGAATAAATACGTGTCCTTCACACATCTGTCCCTCCACGTGTAAAAAAAATACACATCCCGTCAGCAGCATGGCCTTCTGGGAGTGCATCATTTCAGCAGAGTTAGTTAAACAAAAGCAAAACCCTGCAGCGGTTTCGACATTCATTCGTTTGTTGTCCTTCCCCCGCGCCTCCGATTTATCAGGATTGGCTACGTACGGTGTGAAAGAAGTTCAACATACGTACACACATTCAGTGTCCCATCAGCAGCAGAGTGAGGCTTGCTCGAACCAATGCTGGTAAACTGCCCAGATGTTAACGGACAAGGAGCCTCTCCGCGAGACGCGGGTCCGGGTGTGCCGCAAAACGACGCCCCGCACCCCCGCGGCGCGCCCTCGCGCCAACCCGCTCACCTTCATCATGAGCACGACGGTGTTGAGGGCGATCATGGCCATGATGAAGTAGTCAAAGGGGGGCGACACCACGAACGTCCACACGCGGAAGCGGAGGCTGTTCCGGTCGGCCGGCATGTAGCGCGTGTGCGGGCGCGCGCTGATCGCAAAGTCGATGCACGCCCTCTGCGACGGGAGGCGGGGAGAGGGGAGAGCGAGCGAGCGGACGTTCCCCCGTCGGGCGTCTTTCCAGCTACGGGCTTCTCCTGCCGGCTCAGCGGCGGCAGAGCGAGCGGCTTCGCCATCGGAAGGTCGCGGAATTCTAATTTCCGGTTTGGGAATTGACCCGCGGTCCCCTCATTGATAAAATGCGTACCACGTTGTGTGGGAAGCCACCAGTGATTGTTCTATGGATAGATTCACCCTCCGGCCGTAGGGATTTGGCATTGCCGCCACTGCTATAGGGCTGTAAATAGGAGATGAGTACGGATGCCTCAAGGGGAATTTGACCAAAATAACACTTTGACTGCCTCTGCCAGTGAAGAGGATGTCATCAATATGGCTCCAGTTGAGCGCAGACGGCCAAAAACTGTGGAAGTGTGCAAAAATTTGAAAGGGATAAAACTGTTCTAGATTTGAAGCTTTCGTGACTGCAATGATTCATATTCTTAGGTTTTTTTCGGTAAAGTCACGTAGGTAAAAACATTAAAAAGTAAAATAAAATAAAAATAAAAATCACGACGTTTCGGAGGCAACACAAGCTTCCGTCTTCAGGTGGTACCGTCACAGCCACGACAGCTGTATCAAGTAAATGAGAGATTGCAGGAGCTACCACTGCTGTTTATATAATGGTTGGAGAAGGTGGTGGGGCAATGGGCCGCATACTTATTATTAATATGGTAAGGTGAGGCTTGAGACTAAGAATAGACTGCATAACAAAGGCTGAGCCTTTGTTATGGAGAGGTGCGGTTTGTGACTCAACCTGTAACAAGAAGACCACCACTGCATTTGTGGTGATTGCTACAATGGAGAAACGAAACGTCATGTTTCTGATCGTGTCCGCGAGCACAAGTCAGATCTGAAACACGGCAGAACTGATTCTTCGGCCGTGGCCGATCATTGCTACAACTCGGTGGGCTCTCATGAAATTGTATTTTTCGAGACCAAGGTTCTCTGCAAACCTCCTGGCTACCATCAAAGGTTTGTACACGAAGCCATACAAATATACAAACACAGACATAATTTCAACCGTGATGACGGTTACAAACTGAGTAATCATTGGAAAGATGTGATTAACCATGCAAACAAGATTTAACTACACTTATTTGCCAATCTTATTTGACACACAACCATTACTGTTTTACCATGTTTAGTGGTGGTCTTCTTGTTACAGGTTGAGTCACAAACCGCACCTCTCCATAACAAAGGCTCAGCCTTTGTTATGCATAACAAAGGCTCAGCCTTTGTTATGCAGTCTATTCTTAGTCTCAAGCCTCACCTTACCATATTAATAATAAGTATGCGGCCCTTGCCCCACCACCTTCTCCAACCATTATATAAACGGAGTGGTAACTCCTGCAATCTCTCATTTACTTGATACAGCTGTCGGGCTGTGACGGTACAACCTGCAGACGGAAGCTTGTGTTGCCTCCGAAACGTCGTGATTTTTATTTTTATTTTATTTTACTTTTTAATGTTTTACCTACGTGACTTTACCGAAAAAACCTAAGAATATGATAAAACTGTTGCGTCTGGTTGCCCCTTGGTTGTGACGTTGTGCCGGGGACATTTGGAGATGACCGGACGGCACAGTACACTGGCGCCGGACGCTTAGCGTGAGTGGGCACGGCTGTTAACGCACTGCCCTAAGATTCGAGTGAACAACAAGCAGCGAGAGGCATTGAGTGCACTAAAGCCCTCAGCCATACGTAGACCACCAGCTGCTCCCTGTGTGGCCATTTTGTCGTTTAAGGCCATCGAGAAATATGTGACCAAACAAAAATGTGCCTCAACTTTTTGAGTTGGCAGTTCAAATGGCCGCACGTTCAGTTCTTCTGAACTGGTGATCTGGATAAGGCTGAGAGATTTTGTACAAGCAATGCTTATTTTCTTGTCAATCACAGACATGAAATACCAAAACGATTGCGGATATCAGGAATGAATAATTTCCATGAGTAAAACCAACAGCGGTTGTCACTTAAACTTAACCTTGGGTGATCCGTAGGTTGACTCAAACCTTAGATTCATACCCGGTGTGGTATCCGAACATTACCAGTGGAGAGACAAAGGTGACAGGGTGCGATGCTGGCCACAACAACCCCACACGAGTGACGCTGCCCCTAGCAAGCGCTCCCGCCATTGCACTTTGCTACGATGACGTGTGCAGACCTGTTGGGTGTACGGGGGGGGGGGGGCTATGCAGCAGCGTGAAGCGACACATAGGGGCCCAGTCGGCCATAAGGGAGCCCCGAATCAACAGATTAACGAGTACATAAATGTTAAGAACATTTTTTGTTGGATTAATTGAAAATTACCTTCGGTCTACCATGGACCAAGCCCGACTAACGCATATGGCCATCGCATCAATGGAGCACAGCGTAAAGTTGCGCGATCCACCCCCTTTGAGGAAATCCTAGACCGACGGGGCCGGCATTAAATCGAGACACGTGATATCTTAATTGTTTCTATTGTAACCTTTAAATCTCATTATGTCACCGTGACTCTGTCTTCCTCAGAACGCCGATACACGGTGCAACTAAAATAATACCTTTATCGTTATAGCCTACATGTTATTGTACATGGGGCTAAAAACATCCGTGGTGATTTCAGTAAAAGTGAATCGGGAGAAAGGAGGGGGACCCACAGTCGGATCTTGCCTAACCCCACCCCCCCAGTTGCAATAGGTCGATGCGCCCCTGGGTAAACGCACTTGAGAGCTCACGAAGCAACGCTGGCTTGTACTGCGGAAGTTAGGATGGGGCGCCTGTATGGTGTGGTGGCTTGCGCACTGCACTACGATCCCCGTAAACCCGGGTTCAATTCCCAGGCTAATGGATACGTGTGTGTGTGTGTTGAAGTTTTCTCGCGCCGTACGTAGCCAACCGTGCTAATCGGAGGTGCGGGGGAAGGACAACAAACTGAACACAAAATGATAATATGAGTGGTGCGCAAATATCGGTGCGGCCGACAGGCAGATAGGCGCAGTGGCGGTCACCCCCCCCTCCGTCCCTCCTCCCACCCCCCACTCCCCCGCCGTTAACAGACGCTCGCTATCAGTGCGTAAGTCTGAATGCCGGCGCACCCGTAACGTTTGCTGCGTTGCGCGGCGTTTGTACCTCGTTCTTCTCCAGAGTGCAGTCCAACATGACCTTGTCCCCCTGCTCCTGGAAGGTGATGATGATGAGCGCCACGAAGATGTTGACGAAGAAGAAGGGGAAGACGACGAAATAGACGACGTAGAAGATGGAGGTCTCCATTCGGTAGCCGGGGCTGGGGCCCCTCTCCTCGTACGTGGCGTCCACCGAGTGCTTCAGGACCCTGCAAAGACAAAGGCCCCCCCCCCCCCGTATAGCCTTAGCAGACTGCCGGGGCAAGTGCTGTTCGCGAGTGGCACCTATGATGGGACAGAACGTCATACGAGGGGGTGGTGTGGCTAGCACCACGCCCGAACGCCTTTGTCTCCCTAGTGCTGATGTTTACACACTGCAGCAGGCACTCATTTAAGGCCGAGTCGTCCTTGGGGATGTTGGCTGTGAGTGGGAATCGAACTCGGGTCTCCGGGTTTGTAGCGCAGCGCGCTAACCGCTACACCACCGGTCTCTATGGACTGGACAAAGACTGTTGGGGCAAGTGCTGTTAACGAGCACCTATGAAGGCACAGCACACGAGGGGGTGGGTGGTCAGCACCACGCCCGGCCACCTTTGTCTCCCTCCTGGCGATGATTTTACACACCACACCTGGTACTCATTTGAGGTTGAGTCGACCTAGGGGAGGCCCAGGACCGGTTCAGATAATCGTCACCGGTGTTGGTCTTGAGTGGGAATCGAACTCGGGTCGCAGGGTTCATAGCGCAGCTCGCTAACTGCTACACTACCACTCCTCTTACACCACACACACGCACACACACGTGCACACACAAACACACAAACACACGTGTACGCATGTGTGTAAGTATGTGTGTGTGAACATGTGAGGTTCCTGTGTGCGTATGCGCTTGTGTGTGTTGCGCACATGCTAGCGTGTGTGTGCGCGTACGTGTTTGTGTGTATGTGTACGTGTGCGAGCATGTGCGAGCGTGCGTGTGTGTGCGTGTGCATGCGTGCAGGTGCAGGTGTGTGCGCGTGCGAGCGTGTGCATAACGTGTTTGTGCGTATGTGCGTGTTCGAGCGCGTGTGCATGCGTGTGTGAGCGTGTGCATGCATGTGTGAGCGTGTGCATGCGTGTGTGTGTGTGTGCATGCGTGTGTGAGTGTGTGCATGCGTGTGTGTGCATGCGTGTGTGTGCGTGTGCATGCGTGTGTGAGCGTGTGCATGCGTGTGTGAGCGTGTGCATGCGTGTGTGAGCGTGTGCATGCGTGTGTGTGCGTGTGCATGCGTGTGTGTGCGTCTGCATGCGTGTATGAGCGTGTGCATGCGTGTATGTGCGTGTGTGAGCATGTGCGTGTGCATGCGTGTGTGTGTGCATGCGTGTATGTGCGTGTGTGGCGTCTGTGAGTGTGTATGAGCGTGTATGAGCGTGCGCGTGTCTCACTGTGGCCAGCCCTCCCCCGTGGAGACTGTAAACAGCGTGAGCAGAGCCCACAGGACGTTGTCGTAGTGGAAGTCGAACCGCTTCCACTCGCGCGGGTGAGGGTCCACTTTGTCGCGGTCGTACTCCAAGAAGTAGCCACTGCCCACGCGCAGCGCACAACCAGAGACAAAGATCCCCCGCGTAGCCTGAGCAGGCAGCTGGGGCAGGTGCCGTTCGCGAGAACCTACGACGGCCCAAGCGGCGCTCGAGGTGGTGATGTTTTAAACGCCGCGTCACAGTGCTCATTCAAGTCAAGGAACCGGTTCGGATATTCGTGGGTGCTGTTGGCTGTGAGCGGGAATGAAACTCGGGTCGCCGGATTCGTAGCACAGCGCGCTAACCAGTGCCGGATTAAGCTAGTGCGGGACCTGTAGAATATGTGATAAAGGGGCCCCAAATAAAAAAAAAACACGTAAATTTTAAAACAAATAAATGTTTAAATCGCACAGTAAAGTAATTGTATTTTTTCATTTGCTATACAGCCAGATAATACGACAAATCGCTAACCTTAAACACCCAGTCGTTCATAAAAGTTGAAGGCGGTATAGTACTATAGTAATAGAGCAAGTGCAGAATCAGAATTTATAGCTTGAAAGCATTTAGCGTGGGGCCCTTGAAAGTGTGGGGCCACTCGCACATGCTACTTTTGCTACTAGGATAATCCGGCACTGGCGACTAACCGCTACACTACCGCATCCATGGACACACACTCACACGGACAAAGATCCCCCGTGCTGTTAGCGAGTAGCAGCACCTATGAAGGCCGGCACGGCACACGGGGGGTGAGTGGCCATCACCTTTGTCTCCCCAGTGGCTATGTTTATGCACCACACAGGTACTCATTTGAGACCGAGTCGACCGAGGGGAGGCCCGGGACCGAACCAGATAAACGCCACTGGTGTTGGTGGCCATGAGCGGGAATCGAACTCGGGTCCATGGGTTCGTAGCGCAGCGCGTTCACCGCCACACCGCCGCTCTCCTCGGACACACACTCACGCTGACACACATACGCACGCGCGCACGCACGTACCGGCAATCCTTCTCGTACTCCTTGGACTCGTCTGTGCAGTAGTAGAATCGGCCTTTGAAGAGCTGCACGGCGATGACGGCGAAGATGAACATGAAGAGCATGTAGACGATGAGGATGTTGAGCACGTTCTTGAGCGAGTTGACCACGCAGTCGAACACCGCCTGGTGAGGCAGCAGCAGCAGCAGCCAGCAGCAGCAGCAGTGAGCAGTGACATCGTCAACATGTGCAGCAGCCTCTCGTGCGGAGCAGCTGGTGAGGTGAGGATAATCGCTTGAACAAAACACAAAGGTGTGCTTGTTGTGTGCAGTTTGTTGTCCTTCCCCCATACCTTCAATTAGCGCGGTTGGCTACGTACCATGCGAAAGAAGTTCAACATACATACATACATGTAAAACACCTCTGAGCCTTATCCAGACCACCAGCACCTCCGTTTAGCACGGCGCAAAAGAAGTTCAACATCCATGCACACGTGGGCCAGCCGCTCAAGCGAACTAAAATGCCTGGCTATTTCGTCGTGTAGGCCATCATGTGGCCAACCCTTCTTTGGATGCTGGCCTGGTCAAGGCGGGCGATTATTTGTACATGCAAAGCGCACCGACGCTCGGCGTTGAATCTGTGCGCGTTTTTTTCCCGGCCTGCACAACATTTTCTGTAGCGATTGCCGGGGTTTCCCGTCACGACGGACTTGAACGAGGAGGGCCAGTGAGGGAGACGCAGTCGTGGCTCTGACATCGCGAGCAATGGGCGATTGCCGCGACGCAAAAGCACATTCTCACGCACAATTGTATCCACCCACTCGCTCGCGCTCGTACACAAGGACACAGATTCCCCTGGGGAGCCGACACAGAGTGTAGGAGGCAAGACGTGAGTGAGCACCTGTGACGGCCGCCACTGGCACCTACGAGGGGGTGGGTGGTCAGCACCACGCCCGGCCGCCTTTGTCTGCCCAGTGGCGATGTTTACACACCGCACCAGCTACTCATTTGAGGCTGAGTCGACCTAGGGGAGGCCCAGGACGTTCAGATATTCGTCACCGGTGTTGGGCCGTGAGCGAAAATCAAACTCTGGTCGCTGGGTTTGTGGCGCAGCTCGCTAACCGCGACACCACCGCTCCCCACACTCACACCCTCACATGCAGATACAAGCACACGGATGCACACCTTGAGCTTGGGGAGCCGCTTGATGGTCTTGAGGGGGCGCAGCACGCGCAGCACTCGCAGGGACTTAATCGTGTTCAGATTGTTCCCCTTGCTCTCTCTGCAAAGGCATCGTCGCGTCAACGCCCCGCACATCGTCACCAGTAGCGGGTGCATGCCATTCAAATGTCTTTCTCCGGGCCTCTGTTTCTGTGCCTGGATGTTTGTCTTCACATCATCTTTACTGCATCAAGGGCGGAGTTTCTCAACGTATACAAATCGAAACGGACGTTAGCGGCGAGTATTTATAATGGGAAAAAAACCACATTCTCGGGAGTTCCGGTTTCTTTGCGACAAGGCAAGCCGTATCGGGGGAGTGGGCAATGCCCCGTGCGTCTGTGTGTGTGTGCGTGTCGCTGCACGTGCGTCACATTGTGAACGTGCGTGCGAAGCGTGCGTGCGTGCGCAGCATCCTTACTTGGAAACGCTCCTTCAAGACGCGTTTCAAAAGGGAATCGACAAAAGACACGCGCACACACGTCAGAGAAAACATTGCAAGTGGGCCGCGTGCGCACGCCAAATGGGTGTCGTGCTGTGGGAGGCGGGCGGGCGGCCTTCTCGCGCCGGCCCGCCTTGCTTCACGTCTTCTCACGTCAGAGTCAACGCAACCGATACCGTCGTCGCCTGGGCCAAACGGACGTCGTTAAAATTCAATCCAGATGCGATCAGTCGAGCTAAGCGCCAAAAAAAAAACAGGGTCGGGAAGCAATCGGACGAGGTGTCCGAGTGACCCCACTAAACACCGGAGGACTCTCAACAGCTGATTGTGACTTGGTGGCCAAGTCCGAAGGAGATTGTCGTCGCCTCACTGTACTCCCAGGGTGCACCTCGTTGGTGAACACAGCCCCAAGAGGAGCATGAACAATGGCCTCTCTCAAGACGTGGTACTAAAACCGTAACTATTTAACATATATACGCGTGGCCTGCCATGTACATCACCTCGCTGGTTCATACAGGGGATCTCTCTACTTACGAACGAGTTAGGTTCCAGAGGTCTGTTCGTAAGTGCAACTTTACTCCTGTCGATTCTAAACATGTTGTACGGCATGTACAGAACATGGTTCTTCATGGTTCTTCACGATCTTCAGATGTAGATGCCACTGGTTTTTCACGTTCTGCAGATGTAGATGCCACTGGTTCTTCACGTTCTGCAGATGTAGATGCCACTGGTTCTTCAGGTTCTGCAGATGTAGATGCCACTGGTTCTTCACGTTCTGCAGATGTAGATGCCACTGGTTCTTCACGTTCTGCAGATGTAGATGCCACTGGTTCTTCACGTTCTGCAGATGTAGAAGTCACTGGTTCTTCACGTTCTGCAGATGTAGATGCCACTGGTTCTTCACGTTCTGCAGATATAGATGCCACTGGTTCTTCACGTTCTGCAGATGTAGATGCCACTGGTTCTTCACGTTCTGCAGATGTAGATGCCACTGGTTCTTCACGTTCTGCAAATGTAGATGCCACTGGTTCTTCACGTTCTGCAGATGTAGATGCCACTGGTTCTTCACGTTCTGCAGATATAGATGCCACTGGTTCTTCACGTTCTGCAGATGTAAATGCAACTGGACATACGGACCAGGTTTGTCCGTATCTCTGAAAGTTCCTAAGGCGAATGTTCGTAAGTAGAGGAGTCCCTATATACGCAGATGACATAGTCTTTGTTGCCCGCGGCATAAACTTCAGAGACTATTGCCAACCTCGCTGAACAGCCATGCAGCAAATGCCACCCGGGATGTGTCCTCTTGTGGTAGCCCTGCGCACTGTGACCCCACTCCAAGAAATCTCGGGGTTATCATGGATAAAAGCCTGACCTTTGAACCTCAGAATGAAAATAGATGTGTGAAAGACCAAATCAAGAATCACCCTGCCCCAGCCTGGTCTCGGAGCTCATACGCAAGACTGCTCGATGCAGAGTTCGATAACGCACTTTGCATCATAACTAGAACACCAAAACGGACACCAATCCCCCTGGCTCCCTGCTCTGGTGAACATTCCCTGCCACCGAATATCCAAAGAGACGTACAAACTGCAAGGGAGTTGGCACGTTCCCTTGTAAACTATGAGTGCCTACCCATCATCAACCAAGACCTAAACATTGCACCTCACTGTGAACTCAAGTCCAAATCACGCTGCTGTCGCCGCATTCTACAATCTCACCCGGATCTGAAAGAACGCTGGCGAACGGAGTGGAACAGCGTGGACGTCCGGAATAAACTTTGACACGCCTCCTCGATGACACCGGTGGTGTAACGATCAATCAAACCACAACATCAACAGGCCAATGTGTACATCTCCTTCACGAATGGAAAATACACAGCCACATTGCGATTGTAGCAACACAACCCAAACTCCAAGGCGGTCGTAAACTTGGGCATATTCCTACATTTGGTTATCATTCCATCGTTAAGTCTTGTCCATTCACCATCATCCATTCTATTGCAGTGTCCTTCCCAAGTCCACTCAATGATATCTCCAATTTGTATTTCTTCTCCGATCCATGTGTGTCTCTGTCTCTCAGTGTGATTCCTAGCATGAACCTCTCCACGCTTCCTCATGTACTTTAAAGTTTTTGTTCCATTTTCTCCGACAGCGTGTCCTTGACAAGAGTTCATGTCTCCGATGTCAGAGCGTCTACTATGCACGTTACTTGTCATTGCCACAGCGACCTTTACAGACGCGCTCCAACCTGCACTCTCCTCCTCATTTCATCGTTGCCGTCTCAGAAATGTCCCTCGATATGATTTTATTTAGTTACGCAGGTTCATTGTGGGTTTACTCTCCAAACACAACTGGTTAGTGCCGAACTAGAAGCTAATTGGCACGTTTTGTTGACGTGACAAACCTTACTAATTGGCTGAGTCGGGTGGTGGCGGGTTTAACGACACATTTATATTCATGCGATATAAGCCAAAAACCTCCATCATGGATAATATTGGTCGCGTCTGACGTGACTTTTGTTTCTATCATCTTTACTGAACCTATCTTTGCAAACCAAAATAAGTTCTTCAAGCATTCTTATTAATTCCTTTCCACTGGTTCTTATTATTACAATGTCATTGGCAAAATCTGAGAGGGTGAATATTCTCTCCATCCGTGTCCGTGCCTCGACCTCCCCAATAAAAACGATGAAAAAAGTGACGGTGGATTAACTGCGAGAAGAGCGACTCCCCTTGCCCCGGTCACCTGTCCCGATGTGCACGTCGCCACTATTCCACGAGCAACCTCAGTGCGGCTCTTCCATCTCGACGACGGGTTTTTGTCAATTCCGCGTACAGCAATAACCCCGGCTTACGTCAGGGGAATGCGTTCCCGTAAAGGTGCGACAACGAATGTCGTAAAAGACGTCAATCGAAGCAATTGAGAGGGTAAGGGCGGTGGTCGAGGCAAAGGCTGAGAGAGGCGACGGATAACGAGAAAGGGACGGATGATGCTGTCAGTGACGTGAAATGTGTGGGCTTGAGGCGACGCAAATCGGCTCGCGTGTTTGCGAAAGCGGGAGACGTAAATCGGGGTATTACTGTAATTCGATTCAGGCCTCGGTGGGTGAGATGCTTGGTGACCGCATCAGCTTCCATTAAATCAAAAGACTGTTCAGAGTATGTAATAATAATGATGATATATGGGCAGCCTTGGAGTGCGCTGTACATGACGATGTTTAATAAAATATTGCTTTGGAAAAAGGTAATGGGTGCTCTCGCTGAAATGCAATGTTAAGGACGTACATTTATTCACGCGCCTGTGTGTGTTCTATATTTTATATTTTTAGAACATAGAGAGCATACACACACACAGTCAAGTCATGGCACCTGGGTCTGTCCCATGCCCTCCTGCCTTGAAGTGCACTTAGCCTGGCACAAGCGCCGTGGTGACGTCACCGCCACTTAGAGGCGAATGACGGTTGTTGTTGTTGTGCGTGTGTCTTTACGATGAAATCAAAAAGGTATTCTATTTGTACTCGGCGATTCTGAACTGCCCCTATTCCTTCACCTTGCCTGCCAAAGCCACATCTCGTGAAACCAGATTTACAGGTGACCTGGTCAGAATGGCGCCCCCCCCCTGCCCCCACCGTGGTCGCCCCCCTCCTCCCCCCCACCCCGTGATCCGTGGATCAAGCAAATCACTCGGGATGCCGGTGGTGTACGGGCGGCTAGATGCAGTTTATGCGAACGCTGCGAGTCGCATGAGGTTACGCGTTTGGCGCAGCGGTCCTTCGCTGTACGTGACGAATGAACGAATGAATGGCGGGACAGGGTTCAGGCTGCATTACCGCTCGGGGGGGGGGGGGGTAGGAACCACGTGACCGTATTTCACCGTGCTAGTCAGCGAAGGGTACTGGCGACGGGATGCCTGCCCGGCGCGGGCAGCGTGCACCGCTCACGCACGCGGGCGCACACTCACGTGAAGGTGAACGCCACCAGGGCTCCGCTGACGACGATGAAGTCCAAAATGTTCCAGAGGTCACGAAAGTACGCTCCTCGGTGCAGAAACAACCCGAGGTCGACCATCTGCCAAACCGACAACAACCGCCGCCGTCCGCTTGAACCTTAAAGACTCGCACGTGCCCAGCGGCGCACGCGGCAGCAGCGAGCGGCGATCGTCGCTCCGAGGCTGCCGCCACCAAACACGAAATGGCAGCCACACAAATTGGCCCACGATGAATGGTTCCCAGAATGAAGCGAGAACTCTGTTAACATGACTGGTGCTCGCAATTGCTATCGGGGTTTTAGTTTTTTTGTTTGTTAACCGACAAACAACCTTTGCACTGCCTGTGCAAAAGCTCCCCCAACCTTATCCAGACCAGCAGCTCAGAAGAGCTGAACGCGTGGCCATTTTTGCCACATGGACCCCCCCCCCTCGAGCGTTTCCGGTCATTCCTAACAGAACTAATCGTCACGTGCGCAGAAAGGCATCTGCACGGGCCCACTCGGACGCACAACCGTTACCTTGACGACCATCTCGAAGGTGAACACTCCGGTGAATACGAAGTCAAAGTACTTGAGCACCTGTGGGCACGAATGGGGAAAAGAACATAGTCACACGCGGTTTTGCCGACTCGAAAGTGTCATACCGTCATAATCGCTGGCTGCAATGGCAACGTAGAAGTCACAGTATTAATCCTTCTCATCCCCCGGCCCACGCTCACTGTCGTCCCTCAAAAATAATCGAGCTTCTTTAGGCTCAAATGTTCGGGAATTTGCTGGTATACGTGTTTGGTGTTGTGCAAAGCCGGCGACCACTTATTACAAGAATATTTATTATTTATTGATACAATTTTTTAAATCAATGATTTACCCAAGAAAGCCACACATGAGTCCGAACCCTCTCAGGAGCATCCTGCCACATTGGGATGTTCGGCAAACTTGAATAACATTTTATGTGTTTGTTGCAATGTGTGTGCATATGTTGAATTTCTTTCGGACCGTACGTAGCCAACCGGGCTAATTGGAGGTGCGGGGGAAGAACAACAAAAAGCAGTTCTTATTAAATTAGTTTTCAATCTAGATTTAAAGAACATTCCAGACGGCCACAGAGGTGCATCTGAAAGCGCGCGATGCGGTGACCATCTTTATTCAACGGCAGGTCAAAGGCTGCTGCAAGGATGACCGAAGTTCGCGTGATGATGGTTTATGCTCCTTGATGAGATTGGCGAGGTGTTGTGGTTCATTTGTGGCAGCCTTATAAAATGATTTTGACCTTGTAGGCCAGCGAGTCGGGCGTCTTACCCATTTAAAGTGAGAGAATAGCTTTAGATCGTTTCAACCCCAAGACCTCTAATCATTCGCTTTACCGGATAAAACTGCTCCTGCCGAGCGCCAGCTATCCTGAGGGAAACGTCGGAGGGAACCAGCTACTCGATGGTTCGATTAGTCTTTTGCCCTATACCCAGGTCGGACGATCGATTTGCACGTCAGAAACCGCTACAGGCCTCCACCTTTGGCCTCGCCCTGCCCAGGCATGGTTCAAGGGTGATAACTGCGGTGCCGCAGTACTTTCCTCTCTGCTACGAAAATTATCATCCTGCCACGTTTTCCAACAAGCGACAATGACGTGACATTTCAAGCCTAATGACGAGTTTGATGTCACATGGTGCCGTGACGTGGCGTCACGAGGTCGCGTCGCGCGCAATCACTGGGTGCGGCGCGTTCATTTTTGTGCGCTGCCACTGCCTTGGCCGAAGAGGCTTCATCTATTTAGCGCCAGACTATCGTAACTCTTTGATAGATTTGTTGTGTTTTCTAAAAGAAGAGTCTATCAATGCAGCACAACTTTACAATTGAGCTTAATTCACACTTGTTTCTTCCCCCACCCCCTCCCCCCGGTTCTCCCCTTCCCTTCCTCCCTCCTCGTCTCTTTTGTTCCCCCAGTGTGTTAGTCACCTTCCCCCTTATCCCCTTTCCCCTCCCTCTATAACTCTTCATGTTCCCGCCTGGCTCCTGGTCCCACAAACGGCAGTTGCTGCTGCTGCTGTTTGCAGGATTTCTGCTCCCCCTCCGTTCTGTGATCGCCGTTTTGTGCCGGTCTCGTGTTGAGTTGTTGTAAAAAGTTAAAAGCTCAATTGACATTGCGTCGTCTTCACAAGCATTATCGTAACCCTGCCGCTGCGGACGGACGGACACACAGAGCGAATGCATAGAGGAGGCCACGAGGCCTCGGGGGCCTGGCCCCTCACGTTGTTGTGCAGAGAGTCGGTGCGGACGGGGTCCTCGGCCGCCAGGGCGATGCTGCTCATGGTGATCACGGACAGGATGGTGATCTCAAAATACCGCAGGTTCACCACGTAGTGACACGCGCGCCGAATCCTGCACACGCACACAAAGGCAAAGATCCCCCCCCCCCCCAGGATAGCCTCAACAGACTGTTGGGGCAAGTTGACTCGGCCTAAATTAACAAGATGAGTGACCAGTCCAAAAGTTTGCTTACGGTATTAAATGAATGCTGCTGAAAAAAATCACTCCTCGAAGGCCGTGGCAGATGGTATGTGTAAAACATATATTTCAATGATTTTGTGCAAGGACAGATATGGGAAGGAGGGTTTTTATAAATGTACAAACAGGACTGTTGAAACAAACCCAAGCAGGTTGACCCTGGCCCCATGACTAGGTGACTCCGTGACCTCGTGGGTGTAGCGGCGCTTCCTTAGTGAGACTCACGTGTGGCATGTTACACAGTGTTTCAAATCCGTGAATGACGAGAACACCCTAGCTGGGTCTCCGGCCGCGTCTTTGGCCACATTTTCTCAAATCATCGGTGGCCTGAATAGCAAAGTTTGCACACATTCAGTTCCTTTCAGCTTGTGGTCACGAATAAGGATCGGGACAGCTTTTGTAAATGCATTGCACATCCCTGCGCGTGTACGTATAAACCTTGGACTTCTTTCGCACCGTACGTAGCCAACCGTGCTCATCGGAGGTGCAGTGTTGTTAAGTCGATTTACCCAGTGGCGTTTGGGGGCTCGCACAGAGAACCCTCGCCGCCCGTGCGTGTGTGGAGCTAAACCGAGAAGAACTCGAAGTCTGCGCTGTGCAGCACCGTTATGGCTGAGAGGACATCTTCACCTCTACCCTTCGGCGCGCCACTTTCTTTTGTTATCGTTGCCATGTGAGTTCTCGGTCTACATCGAGAAACCAGCTTGCAATGGATGGTGGTTCATTGGTTGATGTACGCAGTGTGTGTGCGTGTGCGCGTGGGGAGTGATGGTGTAGTGGTTAGTGCGCTGTGCTACGAACCCCGGCGACCTTAGTTCGATTCCCGCTCAAGGCCACCAATACCAGTGACGATTATTTGAGCCCATGCCTGGGCCTCCCCTAGTTGAAGACTCAGCCTCAAATGAGTGCCTGGTGCGGTGTGTTAACATTGCCACTGGGGGGACAAACGCGGTCGGTCGTGGTGTTGGCCACCCACCCCTTCATGTGCCGTGCCGGCCTTTGTAGGTGTTCACTAACAGCACTTGCCCCATAAGTCCGTTAAGGCTACACAGGGGATCTTTGTCTTCATCTTTGTGTGTGTGCTTGTGTGCTTGTGTGCGCGTGTGTCTGTGTGTGTGCGTGCGTGTCAGTCTGTGCGTGTGGTCTGTGTGTGTGGTCTGTGTGTGTGCGTGGTGGGCATGCGTGCGTGTCACTTACGGGTTGGTTGGACTAAAAATGAACATGGAGCTAAAAGGCACCATGGGCTTTGGTCCACTTCCTCCTTCGTTGACATCCCCTCCACCCTCGTCTTTCTTCTCTGGCAGCACCTCCAGCTGCACGCCAAGGCTGTTCACTGCACGCACCGATCAGAATCAGCGCCATCGTAACCTCCGATTAGCACGGTTGGCTAAGTAGGGTGCCCAAGAAGTTCAACATACATACATACACCACCACGGCTATGTTGTGAGAGTCATGAATGATATTCCGAAGATCATTCATCTGATGAAAGTGAAAGGTGCCCTGGGTCTCGCTCGCAATGGGACATGCTGGTGACAGACTGACACACATTGAGAATGTCGCCGCTGTCTTTTTTATAGGGCACCCCGTGTCCACGCTATGCAATACATCATCCAACTGCTACAAGCAACCCAAATAGAACACGGCAAAATTCTACTGTATGAGATCAAGTATCTGCAGTTATCGCAGCAGACAAGAGCCGGCTTTTTCTGACACATTAGCATGTTCACTCCCAGGACATTGCCAACCTATGCAACACAAAATGCTGTCAAATAGTTCATGGATAATGGCACTGATGTAGTGTATCAGAAGGCACAGAAGTGTCTAAATTATTACTTCCAATGCCATCCAAGTCACCGGTGGGATAATATAATTCTGAAAGTTTCTTTGCTGTGTTTCATGTGATCATGCCTGCAACGTCATTCGAATAATTTCAAAAGTCCAAGTGATGTCCTGCTCAAATGAGCACTGGATTGGTGAGCGCAGCCAATGCTGTAGACGCCACCCCAAATCATCATCCGTTCCCTCCTGCCAAATCGCTCTGCAGTGGCAGAGTCGACGACACACGACGACCTCTGCTCTTACAGTCTTGCAGCGCCTGACTTTGGGTATTTCCACTGGCATGAGATGAATCATAATGTAGGGAGGTAACACTCACTTTGCATGTTATCATAATTCAACAGCAACTGATCACGTATGCGATGGTGACATTGCCCAGCGGCAGCGCAATCGCTGCTTGTTCAAGAGGTTCACAGTTTAAATCGGGCAAGACGCCCTGTTCAATATTGTGGATGTCACACTAAAACAAGACTAAGCACTTTTTCTTTTTCGTGGAAAGGCCCACTGAGCTGTATAGCTCTTTTTCAGAAGCGACCTGGCCACGAATGAGAGCTCAACGTAGTGGCTAATCGTGTGGAAATTTATAGCAGCCAATTACTCTAAACCATGTTGATTCTAATGTGGAGGGAAAAGCCGGAAGGACCAGGGGAAAATTCCACACGACCATGGGGACAGAAACAGGCACATTCCAAATATACAGGCGTCGGGGTCGGGATCGAACCCACGATCTCCTGCATCACAGGTGAGGTCGTTGACATCTCACCACCATGGCGCCCAGTAATAACCATGAAATACAACGCGCCGTTTACTCAAAGTACACAATTTATATACCATGAGGCCTTTTAAATTGAGTTGACCACTGCGTGCCGGCATCATGGTCAAGTTTGATCAAATTAAATGTCCACAAATTATTCAAGTACAATTGCACGTATAAATGATCGCCACCGCCCGCGACTGTCAAACTACGGCAACGAGGCGCAGGGACAGTTGCCACTTAGGATTGTTGAGGTGAAACATGGTGGAAGGTGGTTTGAGATGCTGAGGCATTTAAGCAATGCTGTACTATTACTATTATGCGTGTTTCCCAACAAAAGCCTCACAAAGTCTCAAGACTTTTTCAGGAGGAGGGTCCTGTGAAGTTTTCACAGTATGGGGTGGGGGGGGGGGTGGAGGGGTGACGTTGCTACGTCTAATCTCCATCAGTAATAGGCAAGATTATTTTTTTGCATTGCCGGGCCAATACCAGTTAAACTGTACGTTATTTTAACAAATTGAGGAAACTGACAAACCTGGAGAAAACCTTATCCATAACAGAAGTAGTTTTTTTATGGTTAGATCACGTAAATGTGTCCTTAAACCCACCATCACCTGACAAGGCCAATTAGTGAGGTTTGTCACGTCAACAAGAAACATGCCATTTAGGTACTAGTTCAGCACACCGATTGTGTGTTGGAGAATAATCCCACAACATTGACAAAGAAAACCTCTGTTATGGATAACATTGGTCGCGAGAGCCTACCCGTTAAACTAGAGAAAACCTACGTAGAACAAGTGGAATAACACAAACCCAGAAGTAGAAAAGTGCCCAAGTCAGAAATCGAACCGAGGCATTCCTTGCTGCGGAAATATGACAATCATTCGACGCTCACAGCACGTGGCTCTCGGTTGGGGATGCGAGTTCACGTTCACACACAGAGGGGAGACCTCCCCCCTGCCGTAGCCCCCGCCCCTGTCCCTCACTACTTGCGTGTGTACGCGAGGGCCTCACTGGGGATGCTGTTCTCCTGTGACTGGCCGCTGGGCGTGCCTCCGAGCGTGTGCGGCTGTGCCGTCGTCTCGGTGACGGCTCGTCGGTTGTTGAGCTGGTTGTCGGCGTCTTCCGCCTGCTCGGGGATGGGGGCTTCCAAGGAGCTCTCCGGCGTCACGGGCTGGTGCCTGCAGCCGGTGAACGTGCGCGGGTATCAAAAACAACAGGAGCACGTTTTTCGCGATGGTTATTTATTTTCCCGCGATTCGAAAACCACGGTCGGAAAATCTTGCGGCGGGGTGGCGGTGGTGGTGGTGGGTGGTGTAGGGTGGTGTTGGATGGTGGTGGGTGGTGTTGGGTGGTGGTTTGTCGAAATCAAAATTATCGTGATGTCGAAGCGGTCGGAAGACAAACATGTAAACGAGCGGCTGAACAAGAAGCTTCACAGTCTGTTGCCGTATAGCAGCACCCAGCCTGATGAAGATTGGTTGGCTCCGTGTTCCAAAGGCAGATTTGACTCCTCGTGCCCTCGACTTGATCGGACGGTTCCACGATTCAACGGACCAAAATCAACGGTCAAAGTTGACTTTTTTTTAACAAGTCTCAGTGGACTGAATAAACTCACAAATTGTGTCAAACTTGGCGACAGGGTCGATTAAAGACTGATAGACAGATTTGCCGATTCAAATTAAAAATTTAGATTGTTTTTTGAGGACCGGTGTGTTATGCTGCACCTGGTGTACTGCCAATACGTCCATTTGGGAAAAATCAATTGTCACATGAGAGTCAAACCTCGATCTATTGTCACAACTCGAATATATGTGAGGGTTTGTCGGTCACAAAACATACGTGAACCTCTCTCCCCTACCCGCCCGGGTGTCGAGGTCACCATCTCCTGGCATGCCAAGTATGGCAAGACGCAGCAAGTGGGTTATAGTGAAACATTGGATTCCGCATTTAGCCCCACCAGATTTGGCCAATAAAAAAAAGTGAAATACGACAAAATTTGTAAACAATAACGTACGTACTAACATGTACTTTATACAATCTGTTATGCTGAATCTATTACTGGTAGGAACGAAGTGGACCAGACCACCAATAGATTAATGTGTCCGTCCGTCCGTCCGTCCGTCTGTCCGTCCGTCTGTCCGTGGGAGGGGTGGTGTTGAGGGTGGTGTTGGAAATGAAAGACTACGAGTCTTTAAATCTCACAGCGTTTCTTGTCAAAACAAACACTTTTAATTAACGTTACACTAGAATACAGTAATTTTTTCTTTAACTCCTCTATACCCGGTCGATATCTCTGTACCGGTACTAAGTATTATTCCTACCAGCCCACCCCGCAGGGTCCTGTTATATTGTCCCCAACTCACCACTACCGCCTGCTGCTATGCGTACCTACACTACCCCCCTAGCTCAACCCGCACCCCTACCCCGTACGCGTGAATGTTGAGTGTCTCACGGACGCGCACTAGATCCTCATGAATACTCACAGCCCTGTAGATTGTGGTGCACCATCTGCTCTTGATGTTCAGGTCTTATGTAAGGTTCAGCTCCAAAAGTCATCGGATAAAATTGGAAAAATAGTAACTATCCAATTTTATCACTATTATGAATTGATTGCCTATGGGGGTGTTCACTAAGTAGTGGAGTGCATTAAGCCGATTGCTGCTTTTCAAAGTCATTTATCAGTCCCCCGCTTTTCTCCACAAGTAGACTCGCTAATGTCTGCCTGGTAGGTAAATGCTTCTGTGACTCAGATTCTTGGGTTAACCTCTGCGTTCCTTGGGTTTCTGGCTCAGTTTATTGCCATTCCCCCCCCCCCCCCCCCAACGTTTTTTTTTTGAGTAGGTGTCTCGCTGAATTGAACCCTTTGGGGTTGACGTGTATGCTACTAGCGACTCATGCTGTCTCGCTCACGTTCAACTCGCATTAGCCAAAAGCAAGCCAAAGCCCGTGTCTGAAGAGAAGGGGTGAAGGGCTCAAAATAAAGAGGTGGGGTATAAAGAGAAAGGGGCGGGGCATAAAGAGGAAGAGGTGGGTTTTTTTTTTACTTAAAACTTTCGTGACTGCAGGAATTCATATTCTTGGTTCTTTCGGTAAAGTCATGTAGATAGAAAATAAAAAATAAAAACCAAAAACCCACGACGTACATGAAATTCGTGATCTGATCCCATCTGTGAAGGACAAGATTCCTGACATGCAATACCCCGGCGTCTACAAACTAAGCTGTATCTGTGGCAGCAGTTACACTGGAGAAACTAAGCGACATGTCTCGGACCGTGTTCATGAACATAAGGCAGATTTTAAACACGGTAGGACAGTATGGTCACGAATACTCACTGCTGTAAAGTCTGCCTCTATAAGCCATGTATGTGGAATCTCCAATTCCACGCGATGGAGCCAGACAAGCGTACGTTTCAAACAACACAAAAATGTGTCCACGTTGTTTGAAAAGTATGGCTTTCCAGCCTGCAACTATTCTGTTATGATGGGTTGTTCTCCTTGTTTACAGATTTCCATTGGATGCAATGCCACACATATTGACATTTTTTAATTTTCACTCCACACCACACACACATGCTGTCTAACCCACCTGGCTCTGCACACGCCAGATGAATAGGTCGTGCTGGATTTTTAGGGATTGACCCAAAAACTCCCAATGGCCATCGAATGGATTTCCAAACTCAACACACATTTATAATCAAATTGCTCTTCAAATGCCTTAGAAATGAAACTCAAAAAACGGCGAGGTTAAAATCTCAGATGGAGGTCAACTGGCTGGGGGGAAGTGGGCAATGAAACCCTTGCAGATTTTACACTAGAGTTGTTTTAATTATAACCAAAACAATGTCGTTGATGCACAGCGGGCAACAAAATAATTAAGGGTTGACAGTGAGAGTCCTGTGTGTGCAGAACGCTTGGCAAGAACTGCTCTCGAACACACGCATGTGTGTGTATATGTGCAAACACAAGTAGTTTGCACCAGCACACGGCTCAGCGCACAAAGACAAAAAACCCCCGTGTAGCCTTAACAGACTGTTGGGGAAAGTGCTGTTACCAAGCATCTATGAAGGCCGGAACGGTACACGAGGGGGTGGGTGGCCAGCACCACGCCCGACCGCCTTTGTCTCCCGAGTGGGCGATGTTTAGACACAGCACCAGGCACTCATTTGAGGCTGAGTCGACCAAGGGGAGGCCCAGGACTGGTTCAAATAATCGTGCCTGGTGTTAGTGGAACTTTAGCGGGAATTGAGCTCGGGTGGCCGGGCTCACATCTCAGCCCGCTCACCACACTGCACTGCTGCTCCCGACAGACACACACACACACGCACCTCCTCTTGCAGGTGGAATGTTTCTTCTTGTGATGTCTCGGCTGTTCTCCGGCTCCCTGCGGCCCCTCCGAGCGACCTGGCGCCCCGTGCCCACCGGCCCCATCCGGCCTCCCCGACTCCCCCGGCCTCGCCGGCCCATCCAGCACCCCCCCCTCGGGGAGCGGGGACAGCGGGGGCTGGCGTGGCAACTGCAATCCGTTGACATCATCGTCAGCCGGGCTGTACCTGTGGGCGCAGCGAGCGATTGGAGGTGCCGTTGCAAGCGATCGTCGTCACGGCGTGCGTCTGGGTAGGCACGGGTGACCCCAGCCTCTCCAGCCCAGTGCCACCGAGCATGACCCAGAAATAGAATATTTATTCATACTGGAGGATTCCGATGAGCTATAAAGCAAGTTTTTCGCACATGTCCAGTAAAGGCACAGGGTCAGAACGTTACAGCAACAAACAATACAAAAACACGACAGTGCAAAGTATAAAGGTAAACAAATCACTTACAAAATATACCAATAAAACGAAACAATGTTTTGTTAATATTACCAGGCAGAGCACACGGAGCTATTAGCTTCTTTTTCAGAAGCAGCCTTCCCACAAATAATAGCTCAACGAAGTGGCTTATCACGTGGAAATGTACAACAGCCAAATACTCTTAAACGTGTGATGTTGATTCTAAACAGTGGAAGAAAAAATCGGAGGACCCGGATAATAAAATCCACGCGACCACGGGGAGAGAGACACCGCAAGCTCCAAATATACAGCAGGCGTCAGGGTTGGGATGGAACCTCCGACCTCCTGCGTACCAGGCGAGGTGGTTAACATTACGCCACCGTTGGCGCTCCTCAAATTCAGCATCCGCGCCGACCGCCCCGACACGTCCCCTTTGCCCTACGCCGCAGTAGCTCCGCGGACCCTGCAGTGCCGTAGGCAGGGTTTGCCCTGGAATGACCCACATCGGAGGGAAAATGCTCTTCGAGATGTTTAATTAATCATGCGAGATGGTTTTCTTGGGAACTCTTCCTTGAAATATTTACAGGCCGTGTCAGGGCATTTAGCGACTCAGCCGTCAGGCCAACGGGAAACCTTTTTGCGGCTTGCACAGAAATCCTCGACGCACGTTTAACACAAAGCAACGCAAAGTGTCTCACAACGAGCACACATTGGGTACTTTTAAAAGTAATCATTCGTTTTCAATAGAGAAAGTCGAGAATTTTTCTTTCATGAAGCCTCAAACTCAAACTGGTCAGCTCAAGGCAGGAGCTGAAGTGTGCTTAGGTTGTGTCTCTGTTTCAGCACAGACATTTAACTATTTTTTTTATTTTACCAGGTAAGGCCCACTGAGCAATGTCGCTCTATTTCAGAAGTGACCTTGCCCACACATGATAGCCCAACGACACAGTGGCTTATCACGTGGACATTTACAACGCAGCCAAATACTCTAAATGTGCAGGGATAAACTGGAGGACCCGGAGGAAAAATCCACACGACCACAGGGAGAACATGCAAACTCCAAATATAAGGCATCAGGGTCGGCATTGAACCCATGACCTCCTGCATATCAGGCGAGGTAGTTAACATCTCACCACATCTCGCCTGCCTTGTGTTCCTACCAAAGCATACATTAATGCTGAATTAAAACATCAGCCCAAGTCTGTTTAATCTACACATCAAAACGATAATGGATTGCTATTAATCAGATGTTTTCAACTACAACATTAAAAAGTCATGTTTTGGTAATGTGTTCATATTTTAAACATTTACATTTGAAAAAAAAACTGCTCACAATTAATAATCATGATTTTATTCCTATGCATTAATGTTAAAACATTTCCAAAATATTATAGATGTGTGTGTATTTATTTGAAGACGTTAAACTACATGACATTTAATATTCTGAACTATTTTCAATCGTTTGCTCTATCAACGAATGAAAAAGTATATTAAAAATAATTAAAACCAGTATATGCCGACACAGACAGCAGCACCATACTGGCAATGTGACGTACAACCTGAATGGTACGTAGCATGGTGCACGGATAATTTACCTGCGAATGTGATGGTGGTGATTATGGTGATGGTGATGATGGTGATGTCGGTGATTGGAGTGGCGTTTCCTTCCCCGCCCTGTCTCCGTATCTCTTTCCTAGGGGGCAGATGAATCACACAGATCATAACAGATCACCACACCACTTTCCTGCAGCCAATCATCAACGATATCATCATCACAATAGCAAGCCAGACTGCGAGAGTGCACTCACTGCTACATAGTGCACGTACGCCGTAGTGTCCATGCTAACGTGACCGGTATAGTTGCCCAGTTGACACACAAAAGTGGCTCCAGGTCAGGTCAGCAGGGGGATTCCAAGCCATTCGGGGGCGATGAATGCCGTGCAGGTTCCAACCGAGTGATTTGCGGGTAAGTTTTCAAATTGGTATCAAATTTTCACAATGACGCTACCTCTCGCGAATGTTATCGCGGGATATTCAACGTCCGCAGTGAAGCAGATGGCAACGTACGTTTTTTTTTTACGAAAAATAACCAAGACGGCCGCTGAATTTGAACTGTGAACCTCTGCGCTGCGCGTGGCGAACTCCCGACCGCTGGGCCGCGTCGCCACCCGTGACTCTCCCCGACTGCGCGTCTGGTTAGTTCCTGCTGCGTACCCTCAACTGGGATCACACGCAGCAGCAGCGACACCCCCCCCCCCCCCCCTGCGGTGAATGCGTGGCAGGACCCTCCTGAAAAAGGGTCTTGAGTCTCAGTGAGGCTTTCCTCGGTGAACGAGCGTAACTTTACATATTGTCTCACAGTTACTCGAGAGCGAGTGTGCACGCAACAAATCTGGAATTAGACTCCACAATAAAACCACTGACTTGGAGGCATGAAGATGATGATTGTAGTGACAATGATGATGCCATTTATATATTGGGGAAAAGCTTACCACGTTAGAAGGGCTAATTCAGGAGGGTCCTATCGGATTCGATCCCGACCCTGACGCCTGCTGCTGTATATTTGGAATATGCGTGTCTCTCTCCCCGTGGTCGCGTGGATTTTTATCCGGGTCCTCCTGTTTTTTCCTCCACATTTAGAATGAACATAACGCGTTTAGAGTATTTGGCCATGATAAATGTCCATGTGACAAGCCACTTCATTGACCTATTACCATTTGTGGCCAGGTCACTTCTGACCTATTTCGCTCGGTGGGCCTGACCTAGTTCAGTTTTCAGTTTAGTTTAAGACGTGATTGCCAAATTAATGGGGGTTTATATGTGGCAGAACAATGGAGCATTCAGAGAAACCCCCCGCATGCGAGGGTGGCCAAACCCTGGCTTGCCATCTCTCAGCGAGCCAGGGTATGGGCACCTTCTCGACACCCAGAGCAAGGGAGTTTTCACAACATTCACGTGGTGATCCACCAACCCTTGGTGGATCCAGTGCACTACATCGCAGGCGAGCACTACCACGGCCTGCGTGGCACCACCGCGGCCCACGCTCCACCACAGCCTGTGTGTCACCGCGGCAGCGAGAGCGCCGCTGGGTGACCGTGCGGGCACCTGGCCGGGCTCCACTGTGGCGCCATGGCTCCGTGCTCTCTCGGGGTCCGAGTCCTGGCTGGTCGCCGCGGCTTTGCTGTGGCCGCGCCCCCTGCGATGGTTGAGCCCGGCGCCGTCGGTGCCCCCCTCGACATTCGCGGCAGCGGCGACACCCGGGCACCGAGAGCCGCCCTGCTTCCGCTGGGGAGCTACGGAGAGCGAAAGAGCCCGCACGCAATGAGTACACAGTCAGGAGTACACGCACGGTGAGTACACACTCAGTACACACACGGTGAGTACACACTCAGGGGTACACGCATGGTGAGTACACACTCAGGAGTGCACGCATGGTGAGTACACACTCAGTACATGCATGGTGAGTACACACTCAGGGGTACACGCACAGTGAGTACACACTCAGGAGTACACGCACGGTGAGTACACACTCAGTACATGCACGGTGAGTACACACTCAGGGGTACACGCACGGTGAGTACACACTCAGTACATGCACGGTGAGTACACACTCAGGGGTACACGCACGGTGAGTACACACTCAGGGGTACACGCACGGTGAGTACACACTCAGGGGTACACGCACGGTGAGTACACACTCAGGGGTACACGCACGGTGAGTACACACTCAGGGGTACACGCACAGTGAGTACACACTCAGGGGTAAACGCACGGTGAGTACACACTCAGTACACACACGGTGAGTACACACTCAGGGGTACACGCATGGTGAGTACACACTCAGGGGTACACGCACGGTGAGTACACACTCAGGGGTACACGCACAGTGAGTACACACTCAGGGGTAAACGCACGGTGAGTACACACTCAGGGGTACACACACGGTGAGTACACACTCAGTACACACACGGTGAGTACACACTCAGGGGTACACGCACAGTGAGTACACACTCAGGAGTACACGCACGGTGAGTACACACTCAGGGGTACACGCACAGTGAGTACACACTCAGGAGTACACGCACGGTGAGTACACACTCAGGGGTACACGCACAGTGAGTACACACTCAGTACACGCACAGTGAGTACACACTCAGGAGTACACGCACAGTGAGTACACACTCAGTACACGCACAGTGAGTACACACTCAGTACACGCACGGTGAGTACACACTCAGTACACACACGGTGAGTACACACTCAGGGGTACACACACGGTGAGTACACACTCAGGGGTACACGCACGGTGAGTACACACTCAGTACACGCACGGTGAGTACACACTCAGGGGTACACGCACGGTGAGTACACACTCAGTACACGCATGGTGAGTACACACTCAGGGGTACACGCACGGTGAGTACACACTCAGTACACACACGGTGAGTACACACTCAGTACACGCACGGTGAGTACACACTCAGGGGTACACGCACGGTGAGTACACACTCAGTACACACACGGTGAGTACACACTCAGTACATGCACGGTGAGTACACACTCAGGAGTACACACACAGTGAGTACACACTCAGTACACGCACGGTGAGTACACACTCAGGAGTACACACACGGTGAGTACACACTCAGGAGTACACACACGGTGAGTACACACTCAGTACACACACGGTGAGTACACACTCAGTACACACACGGTGAGTACACACTCAGTACACACACAGTGAGTACACACTCAGTACACACACAGTGAGTACACACTCAGTACACACACGGTGAGTACACACTCAGTACACACACAGTGAGTACACACTCAGTACACGCACAGTGAGTACACACTCAGTACACACACAGTGAGTACACACTCAGTACACACACGGTGAGTACACACTCAGTACACGCACGGTGAGTACACACTCAGTACACGCATGGTGAGTACACACTCAGTACACACACGGTGAGTACACACTCAGTACACACTCAGTACACACACGGTGAGTACACACTCAGTACACACACGGTGAGTACACACTCAGTACACACACGGTGAGTACACACTCAGTACACGCACGGTGAGTACACACTCAGTACACGCATGGTGAGTACACACTCAGTACACGCACGGTGAGTACACACTCAGTACACACACGGTGAGTACACACTCAGTACACACACGGTGAGTACACACTCAGTACACACACGGTGAGTACACACTCAGTACACACACGGTGAGTACACACTCAGTACACACACGGTGAGTACACACTCAGTACACGCACAGTGAGTACACACTCAGTACACACACAGTGAGTACACACTCAGTACACACACGGTGAGTACACACTCAGTACACGCACGGTGAGTACACACTCAGGGGTACACACACGGTGAGTACACACTCAGTACACACACGGTGAGTACACACTCAGTACACACACGGTGAGTACACACTCAGTACACGCACGGTGAGTACACACTCAGGAGTACACACTCAGTACACACTCAGTACACACTCAGTACACACACGGTGAGTACACACTCAGGAGTACACGCACGGTGAGTACACACTCAGTACACGCACGGTGAGTACACACTCAGGAGTACACGCACGGTGAGTACACACTCAGTACACACTCAGTACACACTCAGTACACACTCAGTACACACTCAGTACACACTCAGTACACGCACGGTGAGTACACACTCAGGGGTAAACGCACGCGCGCAATGAACGCACAGCAGCAACTTTGGCTGCTGTTCGCCGCCAAGTGCCGGTGACATCACCATGGCGCTTGTGCCAGGATAGGTGCACTGAGGCCACGTGACGTGTGGAAGGCTCGCTGGCAGGAGGTCACGGTGTACTTCCATACACTTTGCTTGCGATAGCAGTTGCATTTTAAATGAAAAGACAGTTAAACAGTGAACAACCTGCAGTGGTAACCATGCGAGTGGTCTGAATGTGATGAGTAAGAAACGCGAGCATTGCATAGTTAGAATGACTGACTGTGCATGCAGTTGTGTGACCAGTCAGCGAAGACACGCAGACCACGTGTCGTGCACCTGCAGCGCTTCAATTACTCCGAGGATTGGGGGGACCTGGACGGGGGGGGGGGGGGGGTCAGGGCTCCAGGCTGGGAGGTGGAAGTGCACACGCGAGATTCTCACCGCTCGATTCCTCCGAAACGTCACTTGGCTTCCAGCCCTCTCTCCCGTCTGGGTACGCACACTGTCAACAAACATCAACAGTTTACTCCATGGGATAAAAAAAAAGTATATTATACGGATTACACATAGACCTCCGATTATAGCACGGTTGGCTACGTACGGTGCGAAAAAAGTTACAAATACCTACATTGAATAACAAAAGCGCCACGTCGGAAACCAGACCGACGCTGTTCAAATGCGTTCGGAGTCGTGTCGGAAAGATGCGTCGTAAATCGATCCATGACGGCGCTTGTATAATCATCGTAAATGTGCATCGTCGTAAACTGGAGACCACCTGTACTTTGTTATAGTTTTACGTATAATATTACAATGTTTCAACAGCATATAATCCCTTGAGATGGAACATCTCATTTGCAAGGGTGTGCAGGGTGTCAATTACACGCGCAGGAAACACGTAGTGACACGTATACAAACACTTAGAATCTATAACCCAGACAGTTTGCATGTATATAATATATGGATGTTACAAAACCATCCAGAGAAAACTGATGCTTTTAGTTCCAAATCACATTTTTCGTGGAATTCATCATAAAAATAAGTACACCGATGTCACGGAATCCAAAGAAAATAAGGAATAATTTATTATGGCAGGTACATTTAAAGTCACGTTCCCAATGCGTGTTTAAAATAATATGTATTAACAAGACTCAAAGACATTCAGTTGATGGCAAGCTGGCGCAGTAGTAACACTTGTGCCTCACAGCAGAAAGGGTCTGGATATGATTCCCAACTCGTGCGCCTTTCTGCGAAGACATTGTAGGCCTCGAGTCCCCCTGCTTGTAAAAGACAGCAGCCGCAGGAGGCTCAAATAGATTGTCTCTTCACAGCAGCAGCAGCAACTCTGATGCCATCGCACCCCGAGATGCGTGACGTGTTTGAAGACAGATACAAAGGATTCAATCTTTGAAGTAGAAAGGAATCAATACACTCTTCATTTTTAGACGGCATGGCTGCACGCGGCGTGTTTACGCGTCACACTCAGTGTGGGCAGAAGTCACACACGGTCGCATTTACTCATCATTCCACAAGCAACCCACGTGCAACTGATACATTCTACATGAACACCATTGATGTATTTATTTATTTGTTTGCCCAATGGGTTTGGCTGTTGGCGTGATATTGGTGGAAATTCACACTCTACAAGTTATAGATTTAAAACGTGTCCATGTCATTTACATGTCTTCTATGAATGTGTGTGCACGTGTGTGTGTGTGTTCGTGGGGAGCGGTAGTGTAGCGGTTAGCGCGCTGCGCTATGAACCTGGCGACCCGGGTTCGATTCCCGCTCACGGCTAACACCAGTGACGATTATCTGAACCGGTCCTGGGCCTCCCCTAGGTCGACTCAGCCTTAAATGAGTACCTGGTGCGGTGTGTAAACATCGCCACTAGGGAGACAAAGGCGGTCGGGCGTGGTGCTGGCCACCCACCCCCTCGTGTACCGTTCCGGCCTTCATAGGTGCTCGCTAACAGCACTTGCCCCTACAGTCTGTTCAGGCTATACGGGGGATCTTTGTCTTTGTGTGTTGAGACAGTAGGGAGGACAGCTGCGTACATCCGCCAGTCATCTCAGTCAGTCAACCAATGGCACCTGGGTCTGTTCCGTGACCTCCTGTCAGGGAGCCTTCGACAATTCAAGTGCACCTGGCCTGGCACAAGTGCCGTGGTAACGTCACCGCCACTTTGTGGAAAACAGAGGCTGTTGTGTACGTGCGTGTGGGAAGCGGTAGTGCAGTGGGGTTAGTATGCTGCACTACGAACCAGGTGACCCGGGTGGAATTCCAACTCACGGCCAACATCAGTGACAAATATCTGAACCAGTCCTGGGCCTCTTCTAGGTTAACTCGGCCTCAAATGAGTGCCTGGTGCAGTGTGTAAACATCGCCACTGGGGAGACAAAGGCGGCCGGGCGTGTTGCTGGCCACCCACCCCCACGTGTGCCATGCCGGCCATCACAGGTGCTCACTAACAGCACTTGCCCCAATATTCTGTTAAGACGATACTGGGGGATCTTTGTGTCTGTGTATACGTGTAGGTCTCTATGTGTGTACACGTGCCATTTCGTGTTTGCTCTTCACGTGTCACCTAACACCTCGGACTCCCTTGCAAACAAGATGTTCCACCTCAATGGAAGATAGATAATGAACAATGGTTATATAATTATTATAATTATTATATTCTTATAAATGTTGACTTAAAACTTTCGTGACTGCAATAATTCATAGTCTTTGGTTATTTCGGTAAAGTCACGTAGATAGAAAAATAAAAAATAACGTGAATAAAAAAATAAAATAAAATAAACACTAATGTAGACTGTAGCCTGGTTTTAAATCGAAGTGAGTGTACTGGCAATCTATAATGTAGACTGTAGCCTAGTTATTAAGTTTAGTGAGTGTACTGGCAGTCTATAATGTAGACTGTAGCCTGGTTATTAAGTTTGGTGAGTGTTCTGGCAGTCTGTAATGTAGGCTGTAGCAATGGTTATTAAGGTGAGTGAGTGTACTGGCAGTCTATAATGTAGACTGTAGCCTGGTTATTAGGTTTGGTGAGTGTACTGGCAGTCTATAATGTAGACTGTAGCCTGGTTATTAGGTTTGGTGAGTGTACTGGCAGTCTATAATGTAGACTGTAGCCTGGTTATTAAGTTTAGTGAGTGTACTGGCAGTCTATAATGTAGACTGTAGCCTGGTTATTAAGTTTGGTGAGTGTTCTGGTAGTCTATAATGTAGGCTGTAGCAATGGTTATTAAGGTGAGTGAGTGTACTGGCAGTCTATAATGTAGACTGTAGCCTGGTTATTAAGTTTGGTGAGTGTACTGGCAGTCTATAATGCAGACTGTAGCAATGGTTATTAAGGTGAGTGTACTGGCAGTCTATAATGTAGACTGTAGCCTGGTTATTAAGCTGGTGAGTGTACTGGCAGTCTATAATGTAGACTGTAGCCTGGTTATTAGGTTTGGTGAGTGTACTGGCAGTCTATAATGTAGACTGTAGCCTGGTTATTAGGTTTGGTGAGTGTACTGGCAGTCTATAATGTAGACTGTAGCCTGGTTATTAAGTTTAGTGAGTGTACTGGCAGTCTATAATGTAGACTGTAGCCTGGTTATTAAGTTTGGTGAGTGTTCTGGTAGTCTATAATGTAGGCTGTAGCAATGGTTATTAAGGTGAGTGAGTGTACTGGCAGTCTATAATGTAGACTGTAGCCTGGTTATTAAGTTTGGTGAGTGTACTGGCAGTCTATAATGCAGACTGTAGCAATGGTTATTAAGGTGAGTGTACTGGCAGTCTATAATGTAGACTGTAGCCTGGTTATTAAGCTGGTGAGTGTACTGGCAGTCTATAATGCAGACTGTAGCAATGGTTATTAAGGTGAGTGAGTGTACTGGCAGTCTATAATGTAGACTGTTGCCTGGTTATTAAGCTGGTGAGTGTACTGGCAGTCTGTAATGTAGACTGTAGCCTGGTTATTAAGCTGGTGAGTGTACTGGCAGTCTGTAATGTAGACTTATTATTGGTTCTTTCAGTACTATTTGGAGTTTGCATGTCTCTCCTCTCCCTGTGGCCGCGTGGACTATCCTCAGGTTTTCCCCTCCACATTTAGAAACGTGCGTTTAGAGTATTTAGCAGCGATACATTTCTATAGGCTGGTATAAATGTCCACATGACAAGCCACTTCGTTGGACTATCATTTGTGATGTCCAGGTCGCTTCTTAAAAATAGCTACAACAACAGAGCTCAAGTGGGCCTTACCCACTGGTACAAATTTGTGGGAAAAAAAATTGGAAAATAAACACCAATGGGCTGTACCTGGGCAGGAGGGCGCGGGGAGACGCTGAGTGGGCGGTCCAGGTGGCTGTGCGAGTCCGGCCCGATGTGGAGCGAGTAGGCCATCCGCCGCTGGGCCGCGGGGTCCAGCTCGCTGCAGCACCACGGGACACAAGAGAGCGCTCGGTCCCAACGGCAGGGGCCTCCCCCAGGGGGGCAGTGGTGGTGCTCGTCAATCGGGGGGGGGGGGGGGCACTGTAGACATTATTTTAGAGGTGGGGGGGGGGCATTTGAATGTTTCAAACTGCGAGTGAGATGACACAAAGTGTGTAGAGAGGCATGTAGGATGATGATACGACTGAGAGTAGGCGAGTAGAGGTGATGAAGATAAGGGATTGGAAATGGAAGGCGTGGAGATGTGAGAGATACAGACGAGGCATAAATGCATGACAGAAGCCATGCAGAGGGCATGAACACGTGGGAATCTGAGATCGATGTATCATGGCGATGGAGTGATAACAAAATGGCGATATAACATGAATATAGACATACTGTACAGCCACACATGCTTCCCCAACATATCAAGGGCCTCGGAGCTGCATTGGGGCCCTAAGTTATTGCTTCATAATTTTTACTCGTCACGTGTACGGTCTATTTTAAAGTGAGAGAACAATTCTGATATACAAGTGGGAAGGCAGCAGCCAGGCGGTGGGCCGGCGCTACCAACAATTGCCAAAGTTCTGCGGTCCCCCATTTATTAAGATGTTTTCAGCCAATGAATGAGTGTTTGTGAATGTGAGAGGAAACCGGAACACTCGAGAGAAACCCACGCATGTTAGAGGGGTAAAAACACTATCCCTGTATAGATGGCAACAGATGGAGATGAGTCCACTTGCTGTACCACCATCTCCTGGCAAACTAGGGTACGGCACCACCTCGACGCCCGCGGAGAGGGGGTTTCACAACACTTGTGCGGCGATCCACCAATTCTCTCTGACTCCACAGCGTTGGACTCGAGGCCACGTGCCTAGCCACCGCCACTTATGCTTAGCGCTACCACTGCTACGTACGTACGTACATTGAGTTTCTTTGTCTTTGTGTATGTATGGAGGTACGTTTAACTTTTCCAGTTTCCGACGATGCACATTTACGATGATTATACAAGCGCCGCCATGGATCGATTTATGACGCATCTTTCCGACACGACTCCGAACGCATTTGAACAGCCTCGGTCTGGTTTATGACGTGGCGCTTTTGTTATTCAATGTAGGTATTTAGAACTTTTGTCACACCACCGTACGTAGCCAACCACGCTAATCGAAGGTACGGGGGAAGGACAGCAAATAAGCACAAAAATAAATTCTAAAGAAATTAGTTTTCAATTGAGATGATTTAAAAGTGCATAGCTCAAGTGGCTTCTTAATTTAGATTTGAAGTTTTCGTGACTGCAGGGATCCATACTCTTTGGTTATTTCGGTAAAGTCACGTAAATATAAAATAAAATAAATTAAATCACGACGTTTCGGAAGCAACACAAGCAATCATCAGGTGGGAAAACCACAGCAATCGAAACGTCGTGATTTAATTTATTTAATTTTATACCTACGTGACTTTACCGAAAGAACCAAAGAGTATGGCTTCCTAATATCGGAAGAGCGTTCCAGACGGCCGCAGAAGCGCATCTGTAAGCGCGCGATGCGGTGACCGTCTTTGTTCGACGGCCAGCCAAAAAGCCACTACTGCAGGGATGATGGGAGTTCGCGTGATGGTGGTTTATGCCCCTTGATGAGAGGAGCATGAACCACAAGACACCGACGGAACGCGACAACGGAGTAACATTTTAATTGCGGCCATACGACTGGCTCGGCATGTTGCATTGTGTCGTTGGTGGCAGCCTGACATTGGTGGCAGCAATGTGTGTGTTTGAGGGTCACGTCAAAAGGGCTCCAGTTCGATTTCCAACGGTCCGGGATGATACGGGCGGAGTCGCGGTACTGACGGCAAGGAGGACGGCGTTGTTCTAGAGTTTCTTTATCGCCGTCATAGTCATCCTGATCCATAGGCCGTAAGCCCGTAGGTGTCCACTGCACATTTCGTCATCTGTTTTCACTTTCCTCTGTCTGTGAGTGCCAATATGCTCAAGTAGTGGCCACATCTTTCTGGCACCGATCTCTTGTGATATCGTCGTCTTCCTCTCTTTCCGGTTCCTTCCATTTTTCCATACAACAACAACACACTTTTAATGTTTCCTTCATCAAAAGAGTGTCATTGTTACGGACCATCCTGAGTGCAACCATCCTTGACTACACAAGTGAGTAAGGTGCCGAGTAAGGAAATAGACAACCAGGGGAGGTGGTTAAGTGCTTGGAGTGGTAACGCTCGTTGTATAGAGAAGAATCTCGATTATCTGCGCTGTCAGGGAGGACGGCCATGGATAATTAAAAATCGTGGATGACCCAAAAATATCAATTTCCCATGGATCTCTATGCCAAAAATCACTAATACATTATGTTTAGCTGAAGAAAATGCAGTTTGTTAATCATTGCTATTCTTTCGATTTATAACGAATACTAAAGATCAACTGATCTATGTGCGCGCTCAGTGATAACACTTTCCAGCTCCAGCACAGAAAAGTCCGCCCACTAAGTGCATAGCAGCAGAGCCACGCCAATCAACATCAACCAAACTCGGCCCACTGTTGTCACGTTATTGAACTACTGTGCTCTAGTGGCGATCACGTGGATTTGGGATTAACCGGAGCAGCATATTTGTTCAGTTTAAGCTCGTTACTTGTAATAACCATTTCCAGGAATAACAATATACGTCTGTTTTTAGATGATTATTTTGGGTACAAAGGAAAATCCACGCTTTGTTAATTTACGTCAAAATCTCCGGTACCCTGTTAATCCGCAAATAGGATAAACCGCACGCAGATAATCGAGAGTCTACTGTATTGGGGCATGGGCAGTGGTGGAACTGGGTCGGAAGGCCCCGGAACGCCGTTGTGGGGAGCGAATATTTGAACCCCAAATGCGTTCCAGTAGGAATCAAGGACTCATCATGTATTGTGTGTATTGTGGCGTGTGTATTACTCTCTGGCCTGTGTGTGTGCGTGCGTATACGTTTAACATTTATGAAAATTTGTAATTTATATTCTTTCACAATTTCTAATTATTGTAAAAAATCTTATTTAAATCACCTATTTTGGTCCTCCCTAAATTTCGGCAAACTTAACACATTCCTGCAGACGGAGCTGGTAGGAACGTTGGGTTGCTCGGTCAATGGCCAGGGTCAACGGCGGCGTGGTGTATTTCGCAAATATGCCCGACTGTGAGGGCGGGCACAAGCCGGCGTGTGTAGGTTAAACGTTGAGTTTTATAAGGGCACCACGAGGTGACCAGCCCCTCCCCACCCAGCCCCACCCCTCCCACCCCCCACCCAGCCCCACCCTCCCCACCCAGCCCCTCCCCACCCAGCCTCACCAACTTCCCTAGCCATGCCTCTGTATCAGCCAGCCAATAGAAGACCCAGACATTGGTTTCATCACTACAGAATATAGATGCAGTAGTCCCTCGGTAAACAGTGACATCGGTTAACGGTTTTCCGGTTAACGTTTCGCCTCCCCTTATGGTTTCAAGTAATGTTAAAATTTAGATTAACGGCACGTTTACAATATGGAGCTAATTTCGGCCCATCCCAGCGCTCTTAACTGGGGCTGAGCCGTGCCGTCATGCCAATCAGGGACGCCCATTTATAAGCGTTTAGACCTCGACTTGCTTTGTTTACATCGCATTTTCTATTTTGCATCGTTGACAAACAGCTCTCTTGCAGACTCAGTGATTTTTACTTATTTTTAAACTTACGTGAATTCGAGTAACAGCTATTTCGGTGGATAGTAGCTTTAATGGAACAAATACAAAAACGTTAACCGAGCACTACTATACACTCAATATCTACTCTTTTTTGGTGTTAATTATTAAAGGCCACGACAAAGGAATGACCTCTAAATGAGCGCTGCGTGGTGCTCATTGGTCGGTGACGCGGCCAGAGCAGTCGCCCGCTCGTCCCTCGTCGCAGAGGTTCATGGCTCGAATCCAGCGGCTGCCCTGGTTAATACCGCGGCGTCAATTAACCATGAAAACACCGCGCTTCCTCTGCTTCACAGTGGACGTCAGAGATCGCGCGGTGCCATTCGCAAGAGTCTGGCATCCAAATTAGAAAATGACACCGCAAATTTTACCCCAACCAGAATGTTCATCGAAACCATCAACCTCCTGTGAAGGCTTGGCATGGACCCCTCCTGAAAATTAATTATGGCACTCAGCGAGGCTTTTCTGGGTAAATGAGTGGCACTGTCCAGTGCCCCCTCGTTATTCGCGAGGGATACATTCCGGAGATGCGCGTGAATAGAAAATTTTGTAGATAATGATACCAGCCTACGAAAGCCTACCTTTTTAATGAATAACAAATACATACGTAAATAAGCTATTAAATACGTGAAAAGCATCTTATCACTTGATCTCGCATCATTTGATCTCTTCCCTTTCTCTCATCCCTTTATCTCTGATCACTTTAGCTCTCATCACTTAATCTTATTACTTTCTCTCTCTATCTCTCTCGATGCAGCAGCCATACAGAGTTCCAGACGCGATTCGCGAATAAGCCCAACGCCAAGCAACGGGACAACGCTGCGACGTCGACGGGGGGGGGGGGACCTACGCTTACGCGGGCACGAGGGTCAGGGGCAGAGTTGAGACGCAAGCATGAGGAGTGGGCACCGCCACACCTGTACGGCCTCCCGCACCTGTACAGCCGCCCGCACCTGTACGGCCGCCCACACATGTACGCCACCCGCACCTGTACGGCCGCCCGCACCTGTACGCCACCCGCACCTGTACGGCCGGCCGCACCTGTACGGCCGGCCGCACCTGTACGGCCGCCCACACCTGTACGGCCGGCCGCACCTGTACGGCCGGCCGCACCGATACGTCTGCCCGCACCTGTACAGTTGCTCGCAGCTGACCCTGAGGGCGTCCGAGCTGGAGCGGCGCAGGCGGGTCGAGTGTTGCTCCCACACCGACAGAGGGCGGCTACGGACAATGGGGGGGGGATGGGGGGGGAGACAGGGTTTAGAGTTTAGATTTATTTGTTAGGCGGATGATGGTCCCGTTCAGCCAGTTTATAGACTATAGTACAAGGGAGAAAGTGGTGTGATGGCCAGATGTGTATAGTATATTAGGTTGGTAGTTTATGGGTTTGAGGGCAGTGGTCGTGTGTAATGTATTGGGTGTGTGGTGTAAGGGTGTAAATGGCAGGGTGTGAAGGTGAGTATGGCAGTGAATGAGCGTGCAGGTGAGCGTGGAGGTGAGCGCGGAGGTGAGCGCGGAGGTGAGCGTGGAGGTGAGCGTTTGAGGATACAAAATAAAACAAAGCCAGCACTTAGGGTGTGCCAGGTATGTAATGTGGCGTGTGTATTGCTCTATGGCCTGTGTGTGTGTATGTGTAATGTAGTAACTCGGCGGGAGACGTCTTGACGGGTAGCACACTCTTTATTTTCACCAACTTGTAGTTACACGGATGACTAACACCCACTTCGTTGCACGGGTGACTAACACCCACTTAGCTACTCGGGTGACTCACACCCACTTCGTTGCACGGGTGACTAACACCCACTTAGCTACTCGGGTGACTCACACCCACTCAGCTACACGGGTGACTAACACCCACTTCGTCGCACGGGTGACTGACACCCACTTAGTTACTCGGGTGACTCACACCCACTCAGCTACACGGGTGACTAACACCCACTTCGTTGCACGGGTGACTGACACCCACTTAGTTACTCGGGTGACTCACACCCACTCAGCTACATGGGTGACTAACACCCACTTCGTTGCACGGGTGACTGACACCCACTTAGCTACTCGGGTGACTCACACCCACTCAGCTACACGGGTGACTAACACCCACTCAGCTACACGGGTGACAAACACCCACTCAGCTATACTGACACGGGCTCTTGCGCCCCGTAGCCTTCCGGGACACACCCAGCCGGGGGTGCCCGTCTCGGCTCTGGGTACCACCGTCCCGACCCACACGGGCGTCGGACTACGGGTCCCCCAGTCTCGGCTCCGAGCCACACAGGGCCCCGGTCCTCACAAGGACGGCGGGACTAGGGGTCTCGGGCCACTACCTCCTCCACCCCGTCTTCGGTCTTCAACTGGTTAACACTGACCACGAGTGCTCTCGCGCGTCTCCCTTTATACCCCTCCTGCGGACGTCGCTGAGAGCACCCACTTATCTGACCAATCACTGCGCACTCGCTACGATCCTCTTTTTCCAGCTTGTGTGAGCGCGCCTTACCACCGGCGCGCGCGTCCATGCCACGCCCACATCGCGTGCCCAACCCCGCGCCCCGTGATCCATCACTGTCGGCGCACGTCAATACCACCACTACATCTGTATACATTGAACAGGAGAGCAACATCAATGGTGGTGGTGGCACGGTGATGGCGTTACCTGCTGGGTGTGTTCACGGTAGACAAGGGGCTGATCTCTTCGGCGTCCTTTTTAATCGACAACAGCTTCTTGTTCGTCGCTTCCTGCTCCTCCTCTTCATCCTGGTGAACGTCAGCACGAGAGCGGGCGTCGACCGACGTCGTCCTGACACTGCTGCCACACTCGTGTCGTGCGCGCCCCCCACCCCCCCCTGCTGTTGACTGCTAAATAACGGCGCTGGATGTAATGAATCTCTGCCCGGGGTGGGCACTCTGGCAGCATTTAGCATCAATAACTGGTAACAGGAACCTAATTATAATGACGTCTGACCGAGTCATTTCACAATTGAATCAAAACAAATTTAAGTATAAACAAAAAAAGCAAACAGATCGGATCGAATTATCAGCCCGGCTGGATTGTGTCCGATGAGCTTAATAAGCTGAAAGGGAGCAACAATGTCCGAGTTACTGTGTCAGCTGTTGCCAGAATTACAAGTAAAACGTAATCATTGTTATTGTATAGACAACATACATATGGAGGCAAGAGCAGGCTGCAGTGCTTTGGGGAAGCTGATAATGAATGCCAACGTAGGATCGTGAATGTCTCCCGTGCTATGCCGAAAACTGTCAATATATACACACTTATATATACACACTTATATATACACACTTATATATACACACTTATGTATACACACTTATATTTACACACTTGGCTCTTTGCAGAACTCATGGTGTACTTTTTGGCTCATGGTCTGTTACAGGTTGGCCAACCCTGCTCTAGGCCCCACCCCTTCCTGTCCGTGTCCTGCCCCTTCCTCTTTAGACCCCACTCCTCTCTCTCTCGGGCACAGGCCTTGTTCAAAGCTTGTTTTATAAAGGCAGTGCTGCTCCCCCCCCCCGCCCCCCTCCGTGAGACGGCGAAATTCTGGGCTAATTCTAAATTGATTATAGAGCGTTAGTGGGTGGCGGAGGGAGCTTGGAAGGGGGGCGGGGGGGTGGGGGGGCAAGTGTGCGTGCTCACAACAGTCGGTAGTGGTTGAGGGCGCGGCTTCACGACGACGATTTATTTTATTTTCTACCTACGTGACTTTACCGAAAGAAGCAAAGAGTATGGATTCCTGCAGTCACGAAAGCCTCAAATCAAGATTCAACATTCCTCTTAGAGTAATTTAAAAGAGATGGCTTGACTAGTCCATAGAATCCAAGCTAAACTAATTTTGTACTTTACCAGGTAAGGCCCACTGAGCTCTACGAGCTATACAGCTCCTTTTCAGAAGCGACCCGGCCACTAATGAGTAATGACAGCTCAATGAAGTGAATGAACGTCACGTGGAAATTTACAGCGGCCAAATACTCTCACCGTCTGTGACCGCCAACACGACAATGGCCATTAAGTTGCATCGGGTTTTCCGCGCACACGTGCAAGCCTTGGCAGGGGCGCTCACCTTGGTGAGCTCCTGGGCGTTCGCGAGGTTGTCCACGGCAATGGCGAGGAACACGTTGAGCAGGGTGTCTGGCGAGCGACGCTGTCAAGGGGTCACACTCACTGGACAGCAGCTCGTGCCGGCAATGCCCCCAGCGCAGGTTCGGTCTGCTGCGTTGCACCGAATGTGCAGCGAGGCTTTAGGATATTGTCAAACTCTGCGTCTTTAGCAACTCGTAACAGATATTCATCCTCTCCAATCCCTCTTCTTGCCAAGTGGATCTCTGCTCCCCAATTGGTTCAAACTTCCTCTTATATGTATCTTCTCGGGATGGAGACTAAAATTTACATTTGATCTCTGATGTAACATCAGTGGACATTTGCACCACACAGACTGAGGAAACTGGACTATTAGCAGCAGCAAAGTTCGGAGACACAGTTCCACACGTGTAAATCAAATATTACGTTCGAGATCATCTTGCATGAACTAACTCAACATGGCGTATCAAAGCAATAGCTCACGCCACAGGAGTCTAAATGTCCACTGCAAGAGTCCGTGGCATGAACTGAGCCTGAACCGCTGATGCATTGCGAGCGTGCGACGTCCTTTGACACGACGAGGCTCATCGGGGCGCGTGCCCTAAACCCAGACGCACGAGTCCCCGCGCTCTCACACCCGGATTCGCCTATCCTGCACCCAATTCGTGCTTTGATTTGGACGAGAGGATACAGTTCCCAAAGAGGGTGAGGACGATGAAATAGCACGATGCCATCATTCCCTTCTTCACCCCGCCCTGGGACTTGATGCCATCGTACATCACGGCATTCCAGTCCTCCCCGGTTAGAATCTGGACGCACGCACGCTCGGTTATTACATGTGACGGCGTCCGCGTCCGGCACGGCGACGCTAGTGCACCAGGGTTCTGTGACAGAATCGCGTTCGCTCATCCACCGGAATTTGTGAGAGAGCCGGTCACGCTTTGTCTCGCCATGCAGCAAAGCGCCAACCCGCTTTACAACCGCTGAACACAAACACATACACTGATATTAGACGAAATGTACAAATACCATACTGATGCACAGCATACCATCTGATTAAATGACGGATGTGCTGAATTTACAGCGAATATACAAATCTTCAACCCTTTTCGCTAATCAAGAGTTGACAGTTTAGGCAAAGAGGTTGCCAGCGTATGTTCATCAGACACGGAGGTGAACATAAGTAAAACGCGCATTCTCGACATGAGTGGTTTACACCAAACACACTTTGTGTTGAATTACGTGATTGCGCAATCTCTGAATACTACAGCAAGTCACGTGCGGACGTCTAACGGTGAAAGCGTCCCATTACAGAAGCACGCATACGGTGACTCAACAGAACGGCGGCATACAAAATCACTGAAAGCCAAAACAAAGCTACGTATTTTTTCCACTAAAATGAGCAATGGTGCTCAACGCCCGTTTACAGCGCTGCTGAGTCAGTGGTGGAAATTTCACGTTCCTACGGCAGGGGTGATTCTGTGCACAGGACAACCAGTGTTGACATCCACACAAAAGTAGGAAATTATTGAATTGACCCTGGAGAGATGATGGACTGCGTCAATCCCCAAGCAGGAGTGGAACTCGCAGCCTTGCGATTGCGAGCCACGCGCTCGCTCTACCGACGAGCCACCTGGGCGGATACAAATCACCACCGAAGCACCGTTTCTCTCCGATGCAAATGCTGAATATAGCCATCGGGAGAAAAACAAAACAAAATCGTCCGCAGGAACATACAGAGAGTACAGCAGCTGACCCTGTGGTGCCACGGCATGTGGCGCTGTGCCCGTCGGTTAGTCACGTCAAATTAACGCGCGCACTCGCGGAGTCGCGCCGCGTTAACAACGACGCATCGCTCCGACGCATCTCGCCCGTGCCCCGAGCTGCCCCCGTCACATGCTGCACGGATCACCGTCACCACCGCGCGCCATTCTAAGCAGAGACACCCTTTTGGAGACTGTGACCTCCGCAGAGTTGAACTCGGGACTCTTCTCTGTGTGTTTACCGTTAGGTTTGTTCAAGGAGGAGAACCTCACCGAGTCTCAGGCTTATTATTCAGGATGGTTCTGCAGATCTTTGCAGTCAGCGGTGATGTGGCTGTGTGTAAACCCAAGTGAGTGACTTGCAGGTGATATTTTCGGCTTTCGGATGTTTGACAAATACCAGTTAAATTGTGGGTCCCTTCAGCTGTGGCATGAAACCAGGGAAGCCAGTGGGAAGCCACAAGGGGACGAGGGGAGAGCATTCAAACTTCACCCAGGAACGCGCACAGGAGCCAGAAATCAAATACAGGGCCTCTTTGCTGTGGGGCACGAGTATCACCACTGAGCCACCGTTTCAGCGTAGCTTTTAGTTTTGTCTCAACTCCACGTAAAGAGTAAATAGAGCTGACAGAATCTTGAGGATTCAGAGACGTTTAATTGCACTGTTAAATGGCCAAAGCAGTAGGCCATAATGAGACGAGACAGGCGTCAGGATATGCCCTGGAGATATTCACTGCTTACGAATATAGTTGAGAAAAACAACTCCAAAATTATTTTAATGACTATACAATCCCTCCCCTTGCTCTGACAACACGATTGCTGTTGAGTTCCTTTGCAGTGCTGGTATTTTTCTAGGCCATGCACTGCAATGACACTAAGAAAGCTGAAACCGGTCCACGGTTTTCCTGATTAAACAAAGGCTGGTGGGAAACACTGTTCCAGAAGGCTGACAAGACCGACTCACCATAACATACAATTTTGGTGGCAAAACAGGGCCTTATTTTACGATTTATCGTTTTCCACAACTAACCCAGAATGCACAAAACAAAGCTTGTAAACTCTATGGCACTGCTTTCTCATCCAAAAATGAACTTAAAACATCGGAACGTTTCATTTTTTGACTAGTTGCTTCCACGCAACATTTATGCAGCGGGTGCATTACACAGAGTCTGGCCTCGGCCATAACCCCATGGAATTTCCACAACCGGGTGAGGATTGCCAGCCCCTAGTCAAGCCACACTGGCTTGACTAGGGGGACACTTTGACATCTGCCGTTGACAGCGCGAGGCGACAGCAGGGGCACTGGGCGTGAGGACACGGGGAGCATCACGATGAGCCCACTTGAGTTCTGAGCCACGCTCTTCCCGCAACTTCGGTGCCCGATTCAGTTTTAAACCAGGTTTTTCCAATTTTTCATCTCTTCTTGTTATTGTCATTTTGTTTGACGTAGGGTCGTTTAATTTTACAGCCAAATAATACTTCCAGAGAGAATCCGTGCAGCACAGAATGACACTGCGGTGCAACAGACTAAAGTATTTCTAGATTTGAAGTTTCTGTGACTGCAAGGGTCCGTACTCTTTGGTTTTTTCGGTAAAGTCACGTAGGAAAAAATTAAATTAAATTAAATCACGACATTTCGGAGGCAACACAAGCTTCTGTCTTCAAGAAGATGGAAGCTTGTGTGACTTTACCGAAAAGACTTAAGTATGTATGTTGCGAAGAAGAAAGAACAACAAACGAAACAGTGGTGCAACGATGCTACACAGCATAGTGCAGCTGACAAGATGTTCCGTGATCGAATAAAATTCAGTGTCACTAAATCTAACTGCGGGTGTGTGTATACTCCTGAACCTCTGAAACATGAGACCTGACCCACGACCCCCGGTGAAAGAACAGGTGTAATGCCCACGGGCTCCTGTTGACAGGCATTTTAGTTGTGTAAAAAATTCACCCGTAAAAACAAAATTTTCACTATAAATCCTTTATATGCGTGGCTTGAGATGGCTGCCACCTATGGGTCAGATGATTGTCTGCCACCATTAAGCAATTGGTAATTAAATATTTTAAAAAAATTCCCTAAACAGTGTAAAATTTTGGAGAAAAAAATTTCACGAAAATTAATTGTCACGCACAACGAGTCTGTGTGCAAAATGTCAGCTCGATTGGATCACGGGAAGTGGGTTAAAAAACGACCGAAAGATTTGCACGGTCGTAAGCAAGCAAGCAAGCACTGCAAGCACGCGAGCAAGCAAGCAAGTGAACTTAATATAAAGGATTTACAAAAAAAGTTAAGTGGTCGAAATTCAATTCCACATTCCTATGCCGGGTACCAGTCTATTACCGGACTTCCACATTTGACTTCCCAATCGCTGGTTCTTCATTTATTCACTGTGTAGGACTAAATGAGTCAACACTTGACCGGGACTTTGACTTCTGACTGTGAGTCGACAGGGTCGCCTGGTTAATAACAGGGCCTCCACCTTTGTCATGGAACGTGTCGACTAGCCGTCCCTACCAGACACTTTCATCTTTTCATACATTTGTACCAAGTACCCATGCATGCCTGGAATGCCCTGTGAGTTACGTAAAACAAAGGAAATACAAAGAAAGACACTTAAAGGCGCACTGGGAAATGTTGTGACTTTCAGCCATGCAGAATGGCTCGAATTCAAATCTGTAAATAACCATCATGGCAGAAAACTCAATGCTGGCCAGAAGACAAATAGTTAAGTACACAGAGTTGTGCAGCACCGCTGGAGCAATAGCTGTCCTCAGCCTTATCCAGACCATCAGCTCAAAACAGCTTAATGTGTGTCCATTGTGTCATTAAACTAATCTAAAATATTGTTTTATTTTACCAGGTAAGGCCCACTGAGCTATGTGGCTCTTTTTCAGAAGCGACTTGGCTATCACAAATGATCGGTCAACGAAGTGGCTTATCGTGTGGACATTTATAGCAGCGATGTTTCTAAATGTGTAGGGAAAACCTGGAGGACTCGTAGAAAAATCCTCGCGACCACGAGGAAAGAGAGACACGCAAACTCCAAATATACAGCAGCAGGCGTCAGGGTCAGCATCGAACCCACGACCTCCTGTACACCAGGCGAGGTATTTCCCATCTCGCCACAATTAGGACCACCGACCCAAAGAGTTTATTTCCCCGCTGCTGCCTGTGTGGGATGACCACATTATCTCATCTCTTTGTATTGGTGGTCTCAACAACAAAACGCCACACGTGCAGTTATTTCGAGCTGGTGGTCTGGATAAGGCCGAGGACAGCTTTTGTGCAAGGAGCACTGCACACCTCTGCACGTTGCTGCATCCACAACAGTCTCAAATTCGTGCAAGCGCAGCCCGTGGCTGCAGCCTTCGGCGAGTTGAGAATCATGGCAGTGAAGCGAGAAACATGGCAGTGAAGCGAGAAGCATGGCAGTGAAGCGGGGCCCCCCTCCCTGGAGCTCCTGGTGCATGTGAGACAGTCTAGGCCCAGTGCCGGATTATCCTCGTAGCAAAAGTAGCTACATATGCTATGGGCCCCGCACTTTCAAGGGCCCCGCGCTAAATGCTTTCAAGCTATCAATTCCGGTTCACTGATTCTGCACTTGCTCTATTACGAGAGTACTATACCGCCTTCAACTTGTATGAACGACTGGGTGTTTAGGGTTAGTGATTTGTCATTATCTGGCTGTATAGAAAATGAAAAAATACAATTACTTTACGATGCAAGTTAAAAATTTGTGTTTTAATATTTATGTTTTAATTTATTTAGGGCCCCTTTATAACATATGCTACAGGCCCGCACTAGCTTAATCTGGCACTGTCTAGGCCACCTGCACGATGGCCCTTGACTGTCTCAGGCTCATGCAGGGCGTTCAGAAGGCCCCATCTCGATTCCACACGGAAAGAGAACGACGCTGCGTTTTATCGCGTGCGTGCTTGGCAGTCGCTTGTAAAGCAAGCGCAGATTTGCAGGGGCTGGGCTGCGTCAATGAGCATTTGTTCTCTCTCTCAAGCTTTCTCCACGCGACATTAAAAATTCAACTCGAGGAGATGGCCGCAGAGGCACGTGGTCAACGCTCGAGAGGGGAAACGTTCAATGCCGAGATAATTTTTTTACAAGAATCTTCCTTTGCTCTTGGACAAATGCATGATAGAGAGACATGTGAACACCTGCAGCTGTGTGAACACCTCTCACCTGGAACACAGTGAGGATGGCTGCTGGGAAAGTATCAAAGTTGGTTGGGGGTGTGCCCTCTTCGAAATTGAACCTGCAGTATACACGCGCACACACACACGCGTGCACAAACAGCACTGTCACTCTACTACTAAAAAGTAAAACTACTTTTATTTTATTTTACCAGGTAAGGCCCCACTGAGGTACATAGTTCTTCTTTAGAAGCGATCTGGTTATCACAAATGATAGCTCAACCAAGTGACTTATCATCATCACGCAGAGAAAAACTCTAGGCCGCAGAGAAAAACTCACACGACCAGGGGAGAACATGCAAACTCCAAATATACAGCAGCAAGCGTCAGGGTCGGAATCAAATTCACGACCTCCTGTATACCAGGCGAGGTCGTTAATATCTCGCCACCATGGCAGGGCGGTGACGTGGCCCAGCGGTAGCGTGCTCGCCCCTCATTGCAGAGGTTCGCGGTTAGAATCCAGCAGCTGCCCTGGTTATTACTGCGGTGTGTAACAACCACGATACTACCACGTGCCGTCTGATTCGTCATTCGCAAGAGCAGACCGTCGTGTGCGGGCAGCAGGGTCCAAATTTGCAAAAAATTGGAAAATGACACTTCCAGTTACTCAATTGGGATTCTATACACACGCAGCATTAGCAGCAGCAGCAGCAGCAATCGTCGCCAGCTTTTGAGAAACGAATGCCCCCCCAGGTCACTCGTGCCAATGAGACTGTTCTGGGCGTCATGGCGTTCTCACCGGCTTTAACTGAAAAACACTTAAAACTCATATTGATGATGAGTCACATTCAGGCCATCCGTACTTGCACCATCACTTGCTCCCACGGCGAATGCGGATTGCAATTAAGCCGCGTTTAAATCGTAAGATACAAGCGTTCTCACAAGCGAACTGTAAAGCGTTACTCCGTTTTATATTATTGTAGTGACTGAATGTCACTGTGTGATGCCGGGCTTGCAAGACCACAGGCGGATAATGTGTTGTCATTATGTGCAGCCCGGTTACTGGGTGTAGTACCGGCCCTAGCGGGGCTTGGGTGAGCGCTGGTAAGCGCAGAAGCACCACGTACAGTGTGCGGTGCGGGCTCCCGGTGAGGGAGCAAGAGGGAGCGTCAGCCAGCCAGGGCTACGTTGGGGCATGATACGCTGGTTGACCTGCCGAAACGTGACCGGATGATATTGGAGAGGGGCCACCGGGAGACGGGGGACGCTGGGTGGTCACGTGGTATAGATGAGCTCTCGGGAGCCTTCGGGAAAGAGCTCGAGAGATCTAGAAGGTGGGCGGGGCAAGGGGCGGAGCCAGCCTCAGCCTGGACCGATATAACGGGGGCCCCGTGAGGGGCTCGGGGTTCTTCGGGTTGTTGGTGAAGAAGATCCACGACGGGTTGAAGAAGCCTCTAGCCACGCGGTCCAGGACCCAGCTCGTGGTCCAGACGGGATAGCGGGACCGTGTCTAGTTCTGCGGTAGCGTGGTGAGATGGGCGTTCAACACCCGAGTGTGGGTCACGTGATGTTGTGTGTTGAGTTGATGTAATAAGTAGTGTTGCTCCCAAGACAACGTCTGCGACTCAGTTGGACTCACTACATTATCATCTTCACGATGGAAATTCGTTGCAATTACAAGAATGCCAGGAGTGAGGAGCAAACCAGATGATCAAGACCCGTTTTCACAGTCCCGGTAAATGTAATATTATTACAACGACCCAGGTTCGATACCCGTTCACGGCCAAGATGATTATCTGAACTGGTCCTGGGCCTCCCATAGGTTGACTCAGCCTCAAATAAGTACCTGGTGTGGCATGTAAACATCACGACTCGGGAGACAAAGGCAGCTGGCCGTGGTGCTGGCCATCCACCCCCTTGTGTACTGTGCCAGCCTTCATAGGTGCTATGCGCTAGCAGCACTTGCCCCAACAGTCTGTTAAGGCTACAAGGGGAGATCTTTGTCTTTGTTCATGCGTGCACCACTCACTGTCCGCCAAAGAGCTGCATGCCGAGCAGGGCGAAGACGACGATGAAGAGGAAGAGGAGAAAGAGGAGAGAGATGATCGACTTCATAGGAGTTGAGCAGGGACACGACGAGGTTCCGCAGTGATGCCCAGTACCTGCACAGTGCACGAAGCAGTAGTAGCGGCGGCAGCAGGCAGCAGCAGCAATAGTAGGCAGTAGCAGCGACAGCAGTAATGTCAGCGGCAGCAGCAGGTGGCAACAGCAGCAGCAGCACCAGCAATAGTGGCAGCAGCAGCGACAGCAGTAATGTCAGCGGCAGCAGCAGGTGGCAACAGCAGCGGCAGCAGCAGCAATAGTGGCAGCAGCAGCGATAGCAGCAGTGGCAGTGCAGCGGCAGCAGCGGCGGCAGCAGCAACAGCATCACAAGGGTGCGGGAGTCACTTGACATCATGATCCAACGACACTAACCAGAGCGGCCAAGTACAGGTCAAACGACTCCCGTTATTGACAGGGGTGTGACGAGGCCGTCATCCAGGAGTGGATTAACAAAGGGACTATACAGGTGTTTCTGATTGTTCGTTCCACATCTGTGTGTAGGTGTTTTGCTACGCGATGTGACGGGCCCGCGCATTGTCTCAATAAAAAAAGAGAAGGATGTTAAACATTTCATGGACGGACAAAAGATGAGTAACTTAATGGCTAACATGAATGTATTGCGAACAGCAGCAAGAAATAAAATCAAATCAATGAGAGTGATTCGAGAGAGGCAGGGTTACATTTCTTGGACATAGAATGAAACCGAATACTGCTTTGGCTGGGGAAATAAAAGGTACAAGAAGCCAGGAAAGAGGGTGAATTGAGTACACAAGTAATTTTTATAATTTGATGATACTCTCTGGGGGGTATCCAATGCAATATTCTTGAGTAAATATCGTAGGCAGAGATGTACAGAAGAAGGCCATCATCACCCACGTTTTTGACAAAGCTCGTGGCTCGCAGGGAGAGAGATATGTTGAAATCAGTGTTCATATTTTCTACCGTAACCTCGAGTGACCCATGCCCTCTGTGCCTTGATTTTTCCCAGCACAGGGGTGGTCATCAACAAATGATGAAGTAAAAGTTATGGTGGCCCTCCTGCGTTTCTTCCCTTGGTTCCACTGCGTGATCCTGTTTTTCGTCAGCTGTGACTCAACTCGCTCTCGCTCCCACTACCGGCCTCGTGCACGCACAACGACTTTCTGAGGGAGTGGCCCTCAATACAGGCCTCCCCCTCTTCAGGATCCCAAGGGAATATACCTTGCATCTTATCCATTGGTCACGTGACTCTGGCAATTGAGTCACGTGCCTGCCTAACGGACCGCCCATCTATCCTAAGCCAATCGTGACCCAGCAACATTCTCAAAGTTTAACACCCCCTAATTACACCCTCTCTAACACTGTAGTGCGAATATATGCACCATTAATGAGTAACACAATCAAATCGGTTAGATTTAGTAATTTTTTGTAACATACTCTTGGTTTCAGCGTAACCTTGTGCAGTACTTCTGGATCACGTCACGGCAGAGCCCGATACGAAATTAGGTTGAATTGAATTAATGGCACAACGGTGAATTCATCTGGGCTTGTCACTGAACGATTGGATGTGTCCGGCGCTTGGAATTTACCGTCGCCACAACTCAAGCTTTGCCTATCGGCCGAAGCCCGCGGCTGTTTTGTGGCTGTGGGAGCGCCTCATGCCAAACTTCCTGTTATGTGTGTGTGAGGAAGGGAAAAAAAAACACCCAAACTGACATTCGGATGCCCTTCCAACAAACGGTCTCTGTGGTTTTTATTTAATCTTCTCCACTGCTTACTACGATGTGGGCAAAAATAAATTGTGAAGTGTCACGCTTGGGCCCGAGAGGAATGGCCAAACACTAAAACACCCTGAACTGTCCTGTAAGGGCAACGTCATCCCCCAGGTCACATGCAGACACTTTGTGGACGTGGCAACTTCAAGCGACCGGATGTTAGAGTTGCGAATCATTTCGCAAATCTTCGTCTTGGGACCTTTTTTGCCAGTATCAAAGTATAAAAAGAAGAACAGGTTTTACCCTCTCTGGCAATAAAACCGGAGGTGTTAAGATGTTCAAACACAAAATAGATTCCTTTTGCAAGGCATCAAATCTGCATTAACCACACGTACTTGTGGTGAATATACAAACATGCTCTGATAAATAATATATACATTGTCTTTAAAACTGATTGGCCTACACCAGAGACAGCCTTCTTTTTGGCCTTGTCTCACAAGTGTTAGACCAGAGAACGCCAAAAGGCGAACAGCACAGAGACGATGCAAGTATCACATATTAATAGCTCCGGGTGAGCAACGATATGTCTCTGGTGTAGACCAATCAGTTTCAAAGACGATGCAAATATTTCAGAGGATGCTTGTTTACATGTTTTGCCACAAGTACGTGTGGTTAATACAGACTTGATGTCTTGCAAAAGATATACAAATATGCGTGTGTGGTGTTTGAACATCTTAACATCTCCTGTTTAATTATCTGAAAGGGTAAAACCAATTCTTACCAAACACCTTGCAATGTCCTGTAGGCGCAATGTCATCCCCCAGGTCATGTGCAGGCGACCGGATGTTTCAGTTGTGAACCATTTCACAAAGTCTTCGTCCTGGGACCTTTTTGTTGCGAGTGAGCAGACCAGACTCTGGTGAGACTAGGCCATAAAGGAGGCCCATCTCTGGCGTAGGCCAATCAGTTTGGAAGACAATGCCATACATTATGAGAGCATATTTGTTTGCATGTTTACCACAAATACGTGTGGTAAATCCAAATTTGATTCCTTACAAAATTTATTGATTTGGTGTTTGAACATCTTTAAGACCTGTTTTATTGCCAGAAAGGGTAAAACCTATTCTTATGTTTCATAAGTCTTCGTCCGTTTCAGAATCGCCGTGCTCCGACATTCATGTCGCGATGCTCTTCATAGTGACGAGGCTTCTGGAAGCCGTTCAAGGGTTCTGTTCCCTGCTTTCACCTTCCAGATGTGCAGTGCGTCACGGCGTGCCGGGCGGTACTGGTTGTTGCCACGGTAGCGAGATGCTAACTACCTCGCCTGGTAAACAAGAGGTTGTGGGCTCGATCCCGACCCCTGACGCCTGTATATTTGGAGTTTGCGCGTTCTACCCGTGGTCGCATGGATGTCTCTCCTGGTCCTTTGGTTTTTCCGTCCACATTTAGAATCAACATACGTTAAGAGTATTTGGCTGATGCAAATTTCCACACGATAAGCCACTTCGTATAATTTGTGGCCAGATTGCTTCTGAAAAAAAGCTATATGGCTCAGTGGGCCTTACCTAGTAAAATAGAAATAGTAATAGAACACCGACATACGTATGTATTTATTTAATTTCTTATATTTGCCCCGTGTATCTGGCACCCTGTGAAAGTCACGCGTAAAAGCGATCACAAAAATAAAACCTTCCATATCTGGCTCGATGCTCCCACCCCAGCACCGCTTTTTGGCTGGATTCCCTCCTCCCCGTTCGGATAATCCCCAGACCGTAACCAATGGAGGAGGGTTGAGAGGAAGATTCTCCTCTGGGAACTGTGGCGCTAGGATTATGACCTTTCTGCTTCAACACAATTATTCGAGTTTAGTCAATCAATCAAACGTCATTTAGTAGCGCGTCCCTTCGCGATAAAATTGTGACAGAGCGCTTCACGGATGGGCGCATTAGAAGTAACAACATAAATAACCAGACAATTCACCTCCTTCCCATATCTGTCCTAACGCGTAACAAATTTAAGCATTGGTCACACGTCCCTATTGGCCATGCGGCGTTCCGGGAGCGGATCCCTTTTTTTAGCAACGTTGGGTGTTTTGTGAAAGCAAACTCTCGATGTTCGGTGTCTCATCAGCAGAGTGAGGTCCCCGCTTGAAACACTGATGGTGAACTCAAAGACGTTTATGGCCAAGGACCCCTCTCTGTTCGATGAGGGCCCGAGTTCGACGCACAACTAGACAACACGTTCCACGGAATAATCATAATGACGATGATGAGCTTCGTGTTCTATCGAGGTCAGTTGTGTGGACGATTATCCACCAGGGCCAAGCATCTGCTCTGTTCTTGAACCATGTGGTCCCCAATCAGGAACTGCCAGTGCTGTTCCTCTCGGCCTGTCACTCATGAGCAGCGATGCCCTGCTGCGGCCGCACGTGTCTGCTCGTGTTTGTGTCTGCTGCGGCCGTGCGTGTCTGCTCGTGTTCGTGCGTGGGATAGGGGAGCACGGTCGGCACGCAAAGAAGATGACGACGACGATGGCGCCACAAACAAGCGAGCGCAGGGCTGTGGAGTGCAAACGGCCGAGTGCAGCGGGGTGTGAGGTACGCACTTGGTGACCTTGAATATGCGCAGGAGACGCAGGGCGCGCAGCACGCTGATCCCGAACGCCGATCCCGGGCGCAACCACGACACCGCCATCTCCACCATGCTCCCCACAATCACCTGGGCACACGCAGCATCCCCCCCGTGTAGCCTTTAATAGACTGTCGGGGCAAAGTGCCGTTCGCGAGCAGCACTTACGAAGGCCGGCACGGCACACGAGGGGGTGGGTGGCCAGAACCATGCCCAGACGGCTGTGCCTCTCCAAATGCTGATGTTTACACACAGTGCCAGGTGCTCAATTAAATCTGAGTGGACTTAGGTGAGGCTGACGACCAGTTGAAATATTCGTCACCGATGTTGGCCGTGAGCGGGAATCGAACTCGGGTCGCACAGTGCGCTAACCACTACACTACCGCTCCCGACCGGGGCGCGCGCACACACACACAGCACACACACACACACACAGCACCTTTCACCATGATCCCCACAATCGCCTGGGGACACACAGCATCCCAATGCGCACAGCAACCGTCACGGGAAATGGCCATTCGCAGGCAATTATGAAGGCCCGTGAGCTTTGGAAATTCAGCAGCAGCAGCAGTTATTCATTCCACCTCACCTGAAGTTTCCGCGTGTAGCTTTCACGATTGATGTCGGTTTTTTACGTTGCAATTCACGGCGCCATATGGACGTATTGGCGGTACACCAGTGCAGCATAAAAAATACACCGGTCCTCATTCAATGGTCCAATGATGTCGCTGTTGCCACTTGAGTGAGCTGCAGACTCTCTTATCATCAGAATTTGCACTGAGGATTCAGCAGCTGCTTTCCCATTCGACCATGTGGTGGTGACACTGTGAGTCGTAATCTTTTGATGGCACCGTCCGCCAAGAAATTAATCCGGAAACGAATCGAGGAACGGCCCGACCAAGTCTCTCGGGGACAGGAGGAGTCATATTTTAGCTTTTGGAGCATGCAGCCAGCCAATCGTCATCAGGCTGGGTGCTGCTATACGGCAACAGACTGTGAAGCTTCGTGTTCAGCCGCTCATTTAAACATTCCTCTCCGCACCGCTTCGACATCACGAGAATTCTGATGTTGACGCACCACCGCCACCCCACACGATTTTCTGACCGGGGCTGCGAATCGCAGGAAAATAAATAATTAATGCTGAAAATGTGCAATTTTTTTTTCAATACTGCACACCACCGGTGTACCGCCAACACGTTCACACGCAAGAAGAAGAATTGAATCTGGCATGACGCACAGTGGCGTGGCGAGTCCACATTGGCCTGAAGCGGGGCTCTGCGTTTGAAATCTGGCAAAGGTGACATCGCAAGAAAGGCAACGGGTCGCAAAGCACAACAGGCAGAAGATCCCTGCAGCTGCTACTGCATGGAGCGACAATGCCAGGCAGCTCCTACCCGTACTGTGCAGTTGATGATGTATGTGTGTATGTCTTTGTGTATGTATGTATGGGTGACGTCACCATCACTCAATGGCGAATGGCGGGTATTGGTATGTGTGGGGAGCGGTAGTGCAGCGGTAAGCGCGCTGTGCTACGAACCAGGGGACCCGAGTTCGAGTCACGGAAAACACCAGTGACGATTATCTGAGCCGGTACCTGGGCCATCCCCTAGGTCGACTCAGCCTCAAATGGATACCTGGTGCGATGTGTAAACATCGCCGCTAGGGAGACAAAGGTGACCGGTTATGGTGTTGGTTACCCACGCCTTCGTGTGCCATGCCGGCCTTCATAGGTGCTCGCTAACAGCACGTCCCGCAAAAGTCTGTTTAGGCCACATGGGAGATCTTTGTCCTGTTTTGTATGTATGTTGAACTTCTAGCTAAAACCGCGGTCATCGAAAATGCCTTTGTCTCCAAATTCGCAAATGACTCAATTGGGGTTACAAATAACAATCATCGCCCCACCCCCTCCTGGCAGACTAACACCCCAGGTCACTCTTACGAATGAAACTATCCTGGTCTTGATTTCTCCCCTGGTTGTGCGAGATATACTTGAGCTTGAAGCTCCCCAGTGCTGATGTTTTCACACCGCACGAGTTTAAGATGCATGTTGAACTTCTTTCACACCGTACATAGCCAACCGTACTAATCGGAGGTGCGGGACGATCGAGTCAACCGCGGGGAGGGTTCGAACTCGAGTAGCCGGGTTTAGAGCGCAGTGCGCGAACCACCAGTCCACAGCTCCCCACGCACTTTGCACACACACACACGCGCGCGCACACACGTACGTGCCCACACACATGCGCGCACACACACACACGCGCAAGCACACGCGCGTGTGCACGCAGAGGCCACGTGCTCCGACTCACTCCAAAGTCGAAGCAGTTGAAGGCCGAGTGGAAGTAAGGGCGGGGGCCCAGCCCGTAGATCTTGAGCATCACCTCCAGGAGGAAGAGCGCCAGGAACACAAACTCCGCGTAGTCTGTACAGAGGGACGCGCGAGAGCACGGCACGACGGCAGCCGCGTGAAAGGGGCAGCACCGAGCGTAAGGGGCAGCACCGAGCGTGGCCGAGTGCCCCCAAGGCCACGCCGATGGCTATTGAGATGACAAGTGCTCATGTGCAGGGCTGGGACTGACGACGTTGCCGGGGGAGCACAAGGTGCACGGACACAGCACTTTGGTCACTCAACGTCAAGGCGAATTCCTGCTCAAATGAGCAGTGAGGCGGTGCTCGTGTGTGAACTTCTTTCGCACCGTACGTAGCCAAACGTGCTCAATGTCTCTGAGCCAGTGCTGGAAATACATCGTTGCCACAGGTGTGACGAGTCTATTCATTGGACAAAGTGGGGACGCTCTTCCTTACAATATGAGGAAGCCACTGGAGCTATGCACTTTTAAATAATCTAAATTGAAAATCCATTTCTTTAGAACTGCTTTTTGTGGGTGGTTTTGTTGTCCTTCCCCTGCACCTCCGATTAGCATGGTTGGCTACATACGGTGTGAAAGAAGTTCAGCAAACATACATACAAAGTGGTACTCGTTTTAATGTCCACCCCCAACCAAGATTTGTACTCACATCCTTCTGACGGCGAGCCACTCGCTCTCCTGCTAACCACTCGGTTGATTGACATGCGATGCATGCTCACTCACACACAATGACTGAATTCTGGCCAATGCATCATCCACCCTGGGGCACTATGAGTTGTAAGTGGCGCGTTGTGAACAGGAGGGTAACTTCATTAACAAACCTCTCGAAATGTCAAGCCCTACAAACGGATTTAGTCGCAGCAAGAAGTGGATGTTGACATCTTCGTAATTATATTTAACATCCAGACTGGGGGCTCGACTGGGACAAGAGGCGACACTGACAGAGAAGATCCGAGAGAGACGAGTCCTGCCGTGCGGACACAGCGTGTAGAAGACAATACCAGGTGTCACGCGCACGCACGCACGCACGCACGCACGCGGAATGAGTAATAACTATTTTTATTTTACCAGGTAACGGTCCCACTGAGCTACGTAGCTCTATTTCAGAAGTGACCTGGCCACAAATGATAGCTCAACAAAGTGGCTTATCACGTGGACATTTATAGCGGCCAAATACTCTAAATGTGTGATGTCGATTCTAAATGTGGAGGGAAAAACCGGAGGACCCGGAGGAGAACATGCAAACTCAAAATATACAGCAAGCATGAGGGTCAGGATCAAACCCACAACCTCCTGTATACCAGGCGAGGTAGTTAACATCTCGCCACCGTGGCTGCAAGACCTCCTCCTGCCCACGCCCGTGCAAGCACACCGAGCAGCGGCACATCAGCCTCTTAAACGCGGTCACCCCTTCTCATGTCAGCAATCCCATTTTCACGTGATTGTCAACGTCATCAGCACAATCGTTGTCACCATCACGTGACATCTCTGTAACTCAGTGGCAACGTGATGACACTTTAATCGCTGTACGCTCAGGTGGCCTCGTGTGACAGGTACATGTTTTTGGACAGTTCACACCTATGATTCGATATTGCACGTCAAAAAGCATGCGAGCAAATTTAATTGACGTCTCTAGACAATGACAAAGAAGCCCCGTATAGACTCATCAGGATGTTGGGGCAAGTGCTGTTAGCGAGCACCTATGAAGGCCGGCACGGCACACGAAGGGGCGTGTGGCCAGCAACCACGCCCGGCCGCCTTTGTCTCCCCAGTGGCGATGTTTACACACAGCACCAGGTACTCCTTTGAGGCTGAGTCGACCTAGGGGAGGCCCAGGACCGGTTCAGATAATCGTCACTGGTGTTGGCCGTGAGCGGGAATCGAACTCGGGCTTCCAGGTTCGTAGCTCAGCGCGCTAACCGCTACACTCCCCATTTGTGTCAGGTCCGAATAAAACTTCAACTCTTAGGTCGGCTGATTGCAGCTGGATTCTTTGAAGAATAAAGCAATTCACTTGAACGGACAAGATCTGTTGTGCAGTAGCAAACCATTGCCCTGTGGTTATTTTCTACAGGCCAGGGTTGTGCAATCCCTCGGACGGAGGAGGATTTCTCTACCTTTGAAGACTTTGTAGCGTCATCAATTCCACACGGTGGTGGAGGGTGTCAGAGGAAACAGAATGCGGTGCAATTTGCGATGTCACGAGACATCACGATGGGTGGGGGCTGTGTTAATCTGCGTGTCACATATCATCTTATTTTTTAAATAAACAATTTCCTTTATGTATGCTTTCAAGTGATATTCCTACAGATTAATAATATCCACAATGGAGGTTTTTAGGGTAGATCGCGCAAATGTAAACCCGCCACCACCCTGACACAGCCAATTAGTAACGTTTGTCACGTAAACAAAGCATGCCAATTCATTACCAGAACAGCACACCATTGTGTTGGTGAGTATAATGTTATCCTAACATTATTTTAGTAACTAATATGTGCATGTGCAGTGTGTATGTGTGCGTGCATTTGTTTATCTGTGTGCGTATGTTTGTCAGTCAACCCATGGCACCTGGGTCTGTCCCGTGACGTGGCAGCGAGCCTTCGAAGACTTCACGTGGCACCTAGCTGGGCACAAGCGCCACGGCAGTTGTTGTTGTTGTGTGTGTTTGTATACGTGTCAGTTGACCACCCTGGACACCTGATCCATGTCAACTTATTAGAATAATATTTAATGTAGTTATTCATATGTTTAAATAGACGAGCCTGTACCAGGCCCCATTGCAGCTCCTCTCAGACGGGAGGGAGAGCTGTTGTGTGTAATGTACGTTGAACTTCTTTCGCACCGTACGTAGCCAACCGTGCTAATCGAAGATGCGGGGGAAGGACAACAAACTAAACACAAAAAGGCAGTTATAAATAAATGAGTTTGGAATATAAATTATTTCAAAGCGCATAGCTCCAGTGGCTTCCTACTACAGTAAAGCCTTGGATTGCGAGTAACTTGGTCTGCGAGTGTTTTGCAAGACGAGCAAAGTTTTTAAGTAAATATTAATTTAATAAACGAGCGAGGTCTTGCAATACGAGTAGTACGTGTATACGCTTTGTCTGCCGAGCATCACGTGATCACAACTGATATACGAGTGCTTTGATATACCAGTGCTTTGGATTACAAACACGTTTGCGGAACGAATTATGCTCGCAATCCAAGGTTTTACTGTATCTGAAGAGCGTTCCAGACAACCGCAGCAGTGTATCTGAAAGCAAGCGATGTGGTGACCGTCTTTATTCGACGAACAGTCAAAAGACTTTGCGTGATGGTTTATGCTCCTTGACGAGCTCCGCAAGGTATTGTGTGCAGTTAGTGCGACCTTAGAAAGAATGAGTTCAACAACCGCAGGCCAATGCAGCTCGGTGAGCACTGCACTGCCACGGGTGGGTGCGGGTGTGGGGGTGGCCACCACCACAGCGATTCACCGCTGAAGACCGTGAACATGGGTGGCCCAAAGGGATATTTTGGTGGTGCAGGTTGCAAGTCATTACCTTATCTGACTTTCATTTACACAGTGCCTTAACCAAGACGCTGAACAGAGAATTATCGTACAGTGAAATAGTGTGATGAGATGAGTTGATGAGAAGGATGCGATCGCACGATGAACATGACGATGCATGAAATAACCGATGATGAAAGTGACAATGAGTGGTTGACGACGAGCGAGTGAGATGATGGATGGGTAGGGAGGTTGGAAAGAGGGATGGAGGTAGCGATGGGGAAGGGAGGGGGAGTTGGGGTAAGCGAGGGGACAATCAGTGAGTGAGTTCTACGGGGAGAATGAAACACAGCGAGGGAGGCCGATTGTTTGACGTGTAGGGGGCAGCCTGTTCCAGTGCGAAGGGTGCCAAAAGCGAGAGAGAAGGGAATGGTGATTGGGCACGCGGGAGGAGGGGGAACAGACGAAGACGGCAGCTGGGATCGTGAACGGAGAGGGCGAGAAGGAGCGTGGAACGAGATGAGGGGAGCGAGACGACACTTGGGGGGGGGGGGGGGGGGCGAGACCGGAGAGACTTGTTGTCAAGCCGGGGGGAGCCAATCGGAGAAGATAATGAGACTGCAGAAGTGCCGGCGTGCGTGCGTGCGTGCGTGCGTGTGTACGTGCGTGCGTGCGTGTGTGCGTGTGTGTGTGTGCGTGCGTGCGTGTGTGCGTAGGTGCGCGCGTGTGTGTGCGTGCGTGTGTGCGTGGGTGCGCGTGTGTGTGTGCGTGTGTGCGTGCGTGTGTGCGTGCGCGCGTGTGTGTGTGCGTGTGTGCGTGCGTGCGTGCGTGTGTCTGCGTGCGTGTGTGTGTGTGCGTGCGTGCAAGCGCTCACGCAGGAAGACGGAGAGCTCCTCGGGCTGGTCGTGGTGCACGATGGCGACGCAGAGCGTGTTGAGGCCCACCATGAAGAGCACGCCCCAGTAGAAGGCCTGCTGACTTGACCATGCGGCGGATGGAGAAGCGCAGGTGCTTCTCCTTGCGGCGGAAGTAGGTGGCGCCGCCGCTGTGGCGCCCGCTGCGCTGGCTGCCGTGCGCAAACGGAGAGTCTGCTCGCGCACGCGCAGCACGCACAGCACGCGGGGGGGGGGGGGGGAGGGAGCAGCCCCCGTTGGCGTTGGGGGTGGCACTGGAGGGGGGCGGCGAAGCCCCCCCACTCCACTGGCGACTAAAAACTAAAACTAAATATTTTTCGTTTTACCAGGTAAGGCCCACTGAGCGACGCTACGTAGCTTTTTTCCGAAGCGACCTGGCCACAAATGATAGCTCGACGAAGTGTGGCTTCTCATCGTGCGGACATTTGTAGCGACGAAATGCTCTAAACGAATGTTGATTATAAATGTGGGGGGGGAAACCGGAGGACCTGGAGAAAAATCCACGCGACCATGGGGAGAGACACGCAAACTCCAAACACACAGCAGACGTCAGGGTCTCTAAACTGGATTTGCAAATAAGGGGGTAAATTGAAGTCAACTCGCTCGCCTCGATCCGCCCCGCCCTTCCCCCCACGCATGCGACCGAGTGGCCGGGATGGCGCTGGAGCCACGGCCGGCTCTTGACCGGAGATGGCCGCTACTGCCCCCGCCTGGCCTGGGGTCATCGGCAGGGGGTCGGCACGAGCGTCGAGAGATGGGGGCGGGCGGAGCGCTCACCCACGGACGAGTTGTCGCTGAAGTAGCCGTCTCCCTCCTCCGCGTTGATGAGGTCGTTACGGCTCCGCTTCACCGTGGCCCTGCGGAGCACTGCTCACACAACATCACCGGCATCATCATCATCACCGGCATCATCATCATCACCGGCATCACCAACATCATCATCAGCGGCATCAACAACATCATCATCACCGGCATCACCAGCATCATCATCACCGGCATCACCAACATCATCATCACCGGCATCACCAGCATCATCATCACCGGCATCACCAACATCATCATCACCGGCATCACCAACATCATCATCACCGGCATCACCAGCATCATCATCACCGGTATCACCAACATCATCATCATCATCACCGGCATCACCAACATCATCATCACCGGCATCACCGGCATCACCAACATCATCATCACCGGCATCACCAACATCATCATCACCGGCATCACCAACATCATCATTATCACCGGCATCACCAACATCATCATCACCGGCATCACCAACATCATCACCGGCATCACCAGCATCATCATCACCGACATCACCAACATCATCATCACCGACAACTTCACCAACATCATCATTATCACCGGCATCACCAACATCATCACTGGCATCACCAACATCATCATCACCGGCATCACCAACATCATCACCGGCATCACCAACAGCATCATCATCACTGGCATCACCAACATCATCATCACCGGCATCACCAACATCATCATCATCACTGGAATCACCAACATCATCATCACCGGCATCACCAGCATCATCATCACCAGCATCACCAGCATCATCATCACCGGCATCAATAAAATCATCAAAGCTTTGCTTAAAACACAATTAATCAACAAAACTTTGCATTGAAAACCTGAAGAAAATGTTTTGTTAATTCTACGTTCACCCAATCAAATAAACCCACGATAAAAATAATATATTAAAAGCACCAACTATAAAACACGTCTGGATTAAGTTGCCGTAAAATAATAACACCTCGATCTACACCATCATTATCACCACCATCATCATCGCCATTGTAATCGCCATCACCATCATTACCACCATCATTCCCATTACCATCATTAACAAGGACAAAGATCCCCCGTATAGGTTTAACAGACTGTAGGGGCAAGTGCTGTTAGCGAGCACCTACGAAGGCCGGCACGGCACATGAAGGGGCGGGCGGCCTTCATCACGCCCGGCCGCCTTTGTCTCTCCAGTGGCGATGTTTACTACACACTGCACCAGGTACACGTTTGAGGCTAAGTTGACCTAGGGGAGGCCCAGGACCGGTTCAGATAATCGTCACTGGTGTTGGTCGTGAGTGAAAATTGAACTCGGGTCGCCGGGTTCGTAGTGCAGTGCGGTAACCGCGACCAATACCATCATTAACACGGCCAATGTCACCATCAATCACACCACCATCACCACCATCGTGATGTTTTGGTAGACAGTGCTTGCCCTGCTTCCCCTCGTGCGAAACACATTTAGCTGCTGTAATATATTTTGGTCTCAAAATGTGAGGTCAAATGTCTATTTGGTGAAAGACAGGCCCTGCCTGTTGATTCAAAGTCACCCCACAATCCTCCGGCACAGGGCACGATGAATGTCATGCGGATGAGGAGAGCTTACCATCGAGGGCTGACCTGTCCTCTGCGTGTTTGTCTTCCTCTTCCAGCATAACCTCCTCTAGAACACACAAAGAGACAAAGATCACCCCCCCCCAACCAAGCAACGGTACAGCCTCAGTGGGTGGGTGGCCAGCACCACGCCCGGTTACCTTTGTCTCCCCAGTGCTGATGTTTTACACACCGCAGAGGAGGCCCAAGACCTGCTCACACGTTCGTCACCAATGTTGGCTGCGAGTGGCCATTGTGCTGGTGGTGTGGTGTGGATCAGGCTTTTGAATATGCAACGCACATCTTTGTGTGTTGCTAAATCTACTTGTGTGTGCGCGTGTCGGTGGGACGACAGGTTTCTACCGGTAATACTGCAGACAAGTGGCCAAATCGCCACTACTTCACTTGCCATTGCAAAATCATCAGAACGGTTACATCTGTCGACAACTTACATTTGGTCGTCATGGTAAAAAACGGACACGGCCATTTTCTTCCTGCTGTTTTGGTCAGTGAGGGCGTAAGCTATGGTGTGAGTTGCAGTGAGTTGTTTTTGTGGTTGTTCTCGTTTTTTATTTTTATTATGAAGCGTTTTATTCTTAGCAGACCACCCTGAGTGCGATCATCTCTGACTTCACACGTTAGTAAGGTACCGAATAAGGAAATAGACTACAACATATCCTACACCATCACGAGCCTTGGCCTATGTGCTGTGGTGGACCAAGGCCTATCGTATGCAAGTAGCGTATAGGAGCAGCTCCGTTAGAATGGGGCACTCCTCACTGAGGAATACACCTCGGCTTTGAAACATCACAGCCCCTCGATGCGCTATCTGGCTGTGTCCTGGAGAGGCCAAGGCCTCAGGATTGGCAGGCGCATGGTGATGCAGGTTTCAACGTGTCACTTTCTTGGACCTTTTTTTGCCAGTATGACCGCTACACTATCGCCCCCCACACGCACGTGCGCACACACACAACAACCGGCATTCGCCACTAAGTGGCGGTGATGTCACCACGGCGCTTGTGCCAGGCTATGTGCACATTAAGGCCATGTGAAGAGGTCACGGGACAGACCCAGGTGCCATGGGTCGACTGACTTAGTTGACTGGCCGATGCACCACCTGTGCCGCCGAATGTGCCAACTTGCTGTGTTTTAGCCACCCGGAACTCCGCTCGTTGTTGTGAGCGTCACTCCTCTGCCCTGCGTTGTTGCTGGAGGGCGACTGCCTCCAACAGTCCAGGAGCGTCATTCACCAGCCTCCTCCACAGAGGACGACCTTGACACCGCTGGTACCGGTCATCGGCAAGTCCACTCAGCTCCACGTCCTCCTGTACCACATCACTCCATCTCTTCTCGAGCCCGTGCCATGCCCATTAAGCCCCCTCTCTCCAGCCGAACTAAAGCTGTTTAGGCATGCAGTGGCTGGGCATGCGTGCTACGTGACCCGGCCACACACACAAACACCCCGTCGCTCACACATTCGCGCAAGCTGCTAGCTCACCAGCTTTGCAGATCCACTCGAGGTAGCCGTTGAGCTCGCGATCCAGCTGTTGTTGCCGGCGAAGCTTCAGAAAGGCTCTCCTGTTCTCCACTCTCTCTCGCTCCTTGGCAAACTCCCTGCACAGCCAAACCCGCCCGCCGCGTTACTGCCAAACAACCGTTACTGCGGCCATTCTCAACGACGATAATCATGGCAGGACCAACATCACAGTCGGTGCAGTTACTCTCAACATCATCGCCACGGCCCACACGTTTACTTGGTGGCGAAGTCGTAACACTCACGCCTTACAGCAGGAAGGGGCCTGGGTTTGATGCCCTACATGGGGAGTGCCTAGCCTGTTGTGGAGTTTGTAAGTTCTCCCCACGTTCTGCACGGAACACCTCCAGGCTCTCCACAAGTTTTAACTCATGGCTTCAAAAAAAAGAGAAGACGCAATGTAACCGGCGCTGGCCAAACATCACAATCCTGAACAATTAGCTGCAGATTACTCAGTTGGGAGTACACGCAGCAAAGAGGGCACCCCCGACTGCCAATGTCATGTTTCCGATGTACATGGCATAGCAGGTACTGTGTGCTCGCTCACTGCTTCTGCATGCTTTTCTCTGGCCACGTTAGCTACGTTGCTTTTCCGTATCACGTTCAGAATTCTGATCGGGCTCCACACCCCTGCTCTCGTCCTCATTGATATTTCAGCACTGTGATCCCGGTCCTCCTTCAACAAGCGTCATTATGCCACATGCTCTGATGTGCGTCTCAGTTGTGTCAATTCAACAGAAGTCATAACTTGCCTGGTAAAACTTGATGCACGTGACTTACTTGATTCACTTCATTGTGAACCCTATTATTTATCCATCTTCAATGCATCCGTCAATGATTTCCTGGAACGTATCTATGTGCGTTGAACTTCTTTCGCACCATACTAAATTTCCATTGGTTGCAACAGCACAATAACGAATTCGACTTGTAGCATGTTACCGCACAGTGTCCGCTCGTTCTCTCGAAGAGGGAGAACGATGCAGAGGGGCGAGGAGGAACCCAAGATGCATAGCGGGAAGGCAGCCCGCCACGTGGTGACCCCGAGCCATTCCCCCCGAGCTCTGCAGCCCTCTATATATGAAGGCGTTATCAGCCAATTAACCCTTTCCCATTTCGAGACGTCTGCAAGTTGCAGGATGGGTTGTCCCGTTCACCACTGAATCTCGCAACGCGCAAGCGGCTCGGCATTAATTATATTTAGAGAGATGTAGCAGCGCCGTTGTTTTTAAAGACATTGTTACTCACCGTAGAGAACCGTAGGGACACGACTGCTGCACTCTATGATAGCTGGCACCAAACTGTGCCACACGCCCTCCCGGATGGCCTTGTGGGAGCCTTGGTACCGATACAGTTATTTTATTTTAGTTTTTCTTCAGATTCCGTTCCCATGACGTGCACGTACATCGTCAGCATGGGAAAGGGTTAAGGAGTGTCTACATGTGAGAGGAAACTGGAGCACCCAGAGAAACCCCACACATGCGAGGGGACAACACTCTATCTAACACAGGTGGAACGGATGGAGATTAGTCTGCACCTGGTGTACCGCTTTCTCGTGGCAAGCCGGGTCACGGCATCTCGACGCCCGCAACATTTGCGTGATCCACAAACCCCTGCCTCCACAATCCTGGATTACGGTCGTGCGCCACCACCGCCCGGCTAAATATATTCAATCTCGGCTCATGCTGGATTTGAACCCGGGATACGTCTCGCACCCACAGAGAAAATCTTAACATTAAGTGCGGTGGTTCTCAACATTGTTTGGCTACTTTACCCTCCCTGTTGAATTTAATTTCAACTGAGAGTACCGCCTTGCCTGAACCAAAACACGGTTCTGAGGAAATTCATGTATGAATAATGAACATCGATATTTTAACCAATTGCCCATTTTTGCGAGGTATCCCTAACTCGCTGGCAACTGCAAGCGAATACAAATAAAATCCAACGGACGCTCTGCACGCGTTACATACTTCGTTTCTGCTCGCTGGCTACTCTTGGTAACCACATTGTTTACGATAAATGAGTTTACAAAGGTCTTTAATATCGTCCCAGGTTAACATGTGGATTTAAATTTCATTGCAGTTATTTTTAAATCGGCAGATGCATACATCATTATTCACCAATGTCTCTCATGCATGATAGCACTTCACGCATTTGTATATGACCTCACGTACCCCCGGTTGAGAACAACTGCTCTAGAGAAACAAACCAACATGGCTATGTACTTATGATCTAAGCAAATCACAAGAGCAAGTATGGCAATTGTTTATGAGGATCGTGAATAAAACAATAATAATATGCAATTTAGAGGCCAACCATCCGCATGACCATGGCAGATTTAGGAAGGTTTTATAATTTTGCTTGATAGTATCAATCAGATTAGGGACACCTACATATGAAGAGGGTTGTTGTTTTAATACATTTTTTTAATTCCAAAAAAATATCTTTACCGCAATGGCACATGATACACTGAGATTGCAAAGAGAAAAGTGGTCAAACGTAGATCGCAAGATGAGTCGGACAAGGAGGTGTGCTCTTGCCCAAGTTATTTGCAGCAACGTTAGAATATATATATTTTTTCCCTCCAGAAAATGTAACGGAAAATTCGCGGGATGAACGTAAATGGCGGAAATATATTGACCTGTCTGAGAATTGCCGAGAAATCCACGGCTGTGAAATTCTAACAGTGGTATTTTTTTGACGGACGGCTGAAGATAATGCCATGCAATGAATATTGAAGATGAGGAAAGTCTGTCTCCTTGTTTGGAGGCATGAGAAATGAGGTGGTGGATGGAATGTTGGCAGGGGAGGTCATTTATGGAGCAAGGGCTTTCAACAGCTCCCATGGATGTACCGTGGAAATGCTTGACGCTTTCAGTTTTAATATAGTCCCAAAAAGCTAAGAAATCTATTTAATGTATTAACAACAACGACAGCAACAACAGACCTGACAATGGTTTAGAATAAAATACATTAATTCCAAATGAAGATTACTATTCAGTGGCAGTACGTAACAGATGAACAGACAAGGAGCACCCGAGCCGTCACTCGCTGTCGCAGGTGCTCGTGCGTCGCTCTTGTGTGTGAATACCATTGCGGAGATTGACACGCACCGTATATGCTCGTTACAAACACACCGCACGCGCCCGCACGAGACGCACGCGGAACGCGAGCAAATGCGGCCGCTTCGTAACACGAGATGGGAACAAACGCGGAGCGCATGAGCGCGCGTGGACGGCTCCCTACGCCAAGAAGAAACTCGCGCGTGTGTGTGTACACGCGACGGTGAGGACGTATTGAGTTCATATTACAGATAGAAGTATGTGCACACCCCTTTGGTCAATCCACTGCTGGATGAGGACCTCCACATGCCGTGCGTGTGGGAGGAGTTATTTGACCGTGCTTCACCAAACTGGTCAGTGCTGGACGGTCAAGAATTTGTATAGAAAGACAAAGATCCCCCGTATTGCCTTTACAGACTTGGGGGGCAAGTGCTGTTCGCGAGCACCTATGAAAGGCGGCACGGCTCACGAGGTGGTGGGTGGCCAGCAGCACGTAGCAATGTTCTTTACGCACCACACCAGGTGCTCATTTGAGGCTGAGTCGACCTAGGAAAGGCCCAGGACCGGTTCAGATAATCGTCACCGGTGTTGGTCATGAAGGCGAATCGAATTCGGGTCGCCGGGTTCAAAGCGGAGAATGCTAACCGCCACTCCCGCTCCCAATTGATTTTGTATCCACACATGTAATTATTTTAACGTGCAAGCAGGTACATGTATGAAATAGAAAGACGTTACATTTTTCTCAACAGAAGCCACATCTGTTCATGCATACATTTACCCGAGCCACTGTACATATAAATCATTCACCCACGGAAAGATTTGAAATCTTCCGCACACACACACACACGGCACGCGCGCCCAGGCGCCCAGGCGCGCGTGCGTGTGTGGGTGTGCAATGGGACTGCGTAATTGACTGTGCAAGTGCTTTTGAATAACGGCCTGTGTCCATTGTTAACATTTTGGAGATTACTGGGAGCACAGGTGTGTGAATGTGCGTAAGAATGTGTGCGGGGAGTAGTAGTTGTGGGGAGCGGTTAGCGCGCTGTGCTACAAACCCGGCAGCCCGAGATAAATTTGTGCTCAATGCCAACACCGGTGATGATTATCTGAACCGGTCCTGGACCTCCCCTACGTCGACTCAGCCTCAAATGATGACCTGGTGCGGTGTGTAAACATCGCCACTAGGGGAGACAAAGGCGGCCGGGCGTGGTTGCTGGCCACCCACCCCCTCGTGTGCCGTGCCGGCCTTCATAGGTGCTCGCTAACAGCACTTGCTCCTACAGTCTGTTAAAGCTATACGGGGGATCTTTGTCTTTGTGTGTGCACGCGTGTGTGTGAGTGTGTGTGTGAGTGTGTGTGTGTGAGTGTGCGCGTGAGTGTGTGTTCGCACGCACCCAGACAGGACTCCCAGGGCGAGGTTGAGCATGAAGAAGGACCCGATGATGATGAGGGGGATGAAGTAGAGCCAGTTCCACGTGTTGCCCAGCGCGTCGTTGGTCTGCGGCGAGACGCGCACACGCACACGCAGCAGCAGCGTCGTCATCGTCGCCGTCGCTCACAACGCGAACGCTGACCCACGCGGGCCCACGACCGTCGTCAACCACTCACGTCGTGGCGACCTCGCCGCTCACGTCAACTGCCGCGGTGGTACTGTGCAGTGTGTACGCGCACACAGACGAAAGCCGTCACACTCCCCGAGATGTAAATAACGACGCAAACGGTCACCGACAACGTCTGCATTAGCTCTGCCAAACCGGTGAGATGCCTTCACCCAGCTGAACCCCTCACACAAGAGCTAAGGTGGTTTAGTGTGAGCACATGCATGTACGGTGTGCACACAAGTCAACGTGTGAGTTTGTGGCCATCTGCATGAGTCTATGGGTCTCTGTCTGAGTCTGTGGGTCTCTGTGCGAGTCTTTGGGTCTCTGTGCGAGTCCACGGATCTCTGTGCGAGTCCATGGATCTTTATATGATATATGGGTCTCTGTGTGAGTCTGTGGGTCCCTGCGTGAGTCTTTGGGTCTCTGTATGATATATGGGTCTTTGTACGAGTCTATGGGTCTGTGATGAGTCAATGGATCTCTGAGTGGAGTGAGCGGTGGGTGCGTGTATATGTGTGTGTGCGTGTGTGCGTGTTTGCGTGTTTGCGTGCGTGTGTGCGTGCTGAGGCCGTGTAGAGAACTGAGTGGGTGCGTGCGCGTTGTCGCCACACCGCCGCGCCTCCTCACGTTGTAGAGGACGTCCACCCATCCCTCCATGGTGATGCACTGGAACACGGTCAGTCCCGCAAAGAGGATGTTGTCAAACTGCGTGATGCCGTAGTTGGGGCCTTCCCAATAGCCCTTGCACTCGAGGTCCTTGGGGCAGAGGCGAGCCGGAGCCTCCAGGCCACACGGGTCGCTGTCATACTCTGCGACACACGTGGCACGGGGCACGCCAGCACAGGGTACACGCCAGCACGGGTCAGCCAGTACAACATCAACAAGCGCCGTTCACCACAAAGTGACGGTGATCGTGCCAAGCTAGGTGAACCTTGAGGCAGTCACGTGAATTGTCAAAGGCTTGCTGGTAGGAAGGCATGGGGCAGACCCAGGTGCCATGGGTGGACTGACTGAGATGACTGGCAAGATGCAGCAACTTGCTGCGATTTAGCTGCCCGGCGCTCCGCTCGTTGTTTTGAGTGTCGCTCCTCTTCCCTGCGCTGTTGTTTGAGGGCGACTGCCTCCAACTGCCCAGCAGCGTCCTTCACGAGCCTCCTCCATAGAGGCCGATATTGACACCACTGGTACCGGTCATCGGCATCCTTCTGTACCACATCACTCCATCTCTTCTCTAGCCCGTGTTGTGCCCGTTTAGCCCCCCCTCTGTCCGGCCAAATAGGAGCCGCTTGACCAAGCACAGGTCACACCAGCAGGTGACAACAGCACAGGTGACAGCGCCAGTAGGCTGTGAATGTTGCTGTGTCCACTCATCACGGCCAAATGTAGTGGTGTGCACCAAGTAGAATGGAGCTAAAACTATAAACTAAACTATCTTAAATTTTACCAGGTAAGGCCCACTGATCTGCTATGTATCGATTTTTCAGAAGCGACCTGGCCACAAATGATAGCTCACGTGGTGGCTGGGCATGCGGTGGCTGGGCACGCGGTGGCTGGGCATGTGGTGGCTGGGCACGCGGTGGCTAGGCATGCGGTGGCTGGGCACGCGGTGGCTGGGCATGCGGTGACTAGGCATGCGGTGACTGGGGCATGCGGTGGCTGGGCACGCGGTGACTGGGCACGCGGTGGCTGGGCATGCGGTGACTGGGCATGCGGTGGCTGGGCATGCGGTGACTGGGCATGCGGTGACTGGGCATGCGGTGGTTGGGCATGCGGTGGCTGGGCATGCGGTGGCTGGGCATGAGGTGGCTGGGCACGCGATGGCTGGGCATGCGGTGACTGGGGCATGCGGTGGCTGGGCACGCGGTGACTGGGCATGCGGTGACTGGGCATGCGGTGGCTGGGCACGCGGTGGCTGGGCATGCGGTGGCTGGGCACGTGGTGGCTGGGCACGTGGTGGCTGGGCATGCGGTGGCTGGGCACGCGGTGGCTGGGCACGTGGTGGCTGGGCACGTGGTGGCTGGGCATGTGGTGGCTGGGCACGCGGTGGCTAGGCATGTGGTGGCTGGGCACGCGGTGGCTGGGCACACGGTGGCTGGGCATGCGGTGGCTGGGCATGTGGTGGCTGGGCACGTGGTGGCTGGGCATGTGGTGGCTGGGCATGTGGTGGCTAGGCATGTGGTGGCTGGGCACGCGGTGGCTGGGCATGCGGTGGCTGGGCATGTGGTGGCTGGGCACGTGGTGGCTGGGCATGTGGTGGCTGGGCACGCGGTGGCTAGGCATGAGGTGGCTGGGCACGCGGTGGCTGGGCATGCGGTGACTGGGCATGCGGTGACTGGGGCATGCGGTGGCTGGGCACGCGGTGACTGGGCATGCGGTGGCTGGGCATGCGGTGACTGGGCATGCGGTGGCTGGGCATGCGGTGACTGGGCATGCGGTGACTGGGCATGCGGTGGCTGGGCATGCGGTGGCTGGTCATGCGGTGGCTGGGCACGAGGTGGCTGGGCACGCGGTGGCTGGGCATGCGGTGACTGGGGCATGCGGTGGCTGGGCATGCGGTGACTGGGCACGCAGTGACTGGGCACGCGGTGGCTGGGCACGCGGTGGCTGGGCATGCGGTGGCTGGGCATGCAGTGGCTGGGCACGTGGTGGCTGGGCATGCGGTGGCTGGGCACGCGGTGGCTAGGCATGCGGTGGCTGGGCACGAGGTGGCTGGGCACGCAGTGGCTGGGCACGTGGTGGCTGGGCACGTGGTGGCTGGGCACGTGGTGGCTGGGCATGCGGTGGCTGGGCACGTGGTGGCTGGGCATGCGGTGGCTGGGCATGCGGTGGCTGGGCACGCGGTGGCTAGGCATGCGGTGGCTGGGCACGAGGTGGCTGGGCACGCGGTGGCTGGGCACGCGGTGGCTGGGCACGCGGTGGCTGGCAGAGGTGTGGACTCGAGTCATGTGACTTGGACTCGAGTCAGACTCGAGTCATGAATTTGATGACTTCAGACTCGACTTGGACTTGCATAACAATGACTTTGTCCCACCTCTGAGGTGTGGACTCGAGTCATGTGATATTGGACTCGAGTCAGACTCGAGTCATGAATTTGATGACTTCAGACTCGACTTGGACTTGCATAACAATGACTTTGTCCCACCTCTGGTGGCTGGGCATGCGGGCTACATGACCAAGCACAGGTCACACCAGCAGGTGACAACAGCACAGGTGACACCGCCAGTAGGCTGTGAATGTTGCTGTGTCCACTCATCACGGCGAAACGTAGTGGTGTGCACCAAGTGGAATGGAGCTAAAACTATAAACTAAACTATCTTAAATTTTACCAGGTAAGGCCCACTGATCTGCTATGTATCGATTTTTCAGAAGCGACCTGGCCACAAATGATAGCTCAACGAAGTGGCTTATCACGTGGAAATTTATAGCAGCCAAATACTAGAAAAGACGTGGTGATGTTGATTCTAAATGTCGAGGGAAAAATTGAAGGACCCAGAGAAAAATCCACGCGACCCACGGCGAGGGATACAGAACAATGCAGACTCCAAATATGCAGCAGGCGTCAAGGTCAGGATCGAACCCACGACTTCCTGTATATCAGGCGCAGTAGTTAACATCTGCCCACCTTGGCATGGCGGGGCACAGTGGTACCTGTGTTGTTGAGCATGCAGGTGGTGTGGAACTTCCCCACGTAGAACTCCAGCCCGATGATGGCAAACATGAGGATGGCAAAGAACAGGAGCATCCCGATCTGCAGCAATGGGATCATCGCCTTCATAATGGACTTCAGCACCACCTGCAGGCCTGCACAAGTGCACAAAGACAAAGATGCCCCGTACGACATTAACGGATTGTTGGGCCCAGTGCTGTTGGGACTAGCACCTTTGAAGGCCGGCACGGCACACGAGGGGTGGGTGGCCAGCGTCACGCCCTCCCACCTTCGTGCTCCCTAGTGGTGACGTTCACACATTGTACCACGGCTGAGTCGATTTCAGTCGATTGCACCAGAGTCGACCTAGGGGAGGCCCAGGACTGGTGCAGATAATCGTCACCGATGTTCGGCGTGAGCGGGAATCTAACTCGGGTCGCCGGGTTTGTAGCGCGGCGCAATAACCACTGCTGCTTATCGAAAGCTGATGTTTGCACACCACACCAGCTACTCATTTAAGGCTAAGTCGACCCAGGAAAGGCACAGAACAAGTTCCGATGTCACTTGCCACTGATGTTCACTCACGTGACAGGTTCATGGTGCAGTGCGCAAAACACAGCACCGGCGCTCCCCCCCTTCGCACACCTCACCACAATTATCTGCATCGCCAGCATCGAGACCTCACCCAACACACACAGATTTGCTGCATTGCATGCACAAAAGCCTTATGCAGACTAAACAGCTCCATGGAACGCCACGCGTGTCCATTCTGTCGTTTTAGGGGAACCGAAAAAATGTGGCTCCCAAAGGAAATGCGGCAGCAATGAGAATTTGTGACGGTAGAGACAATGGGAGGGAGAGACGAGGGGAGGGAGACAGTGGGAGGGAGACGATGGAAAGGAGAGAGGTGAGGGGAGGGAGGTGACGGCAGGGAGGCGACAGGAAGGTATTCGACAGCGGGGCAGTGCGAGGGAAGAAGCAGAGAGAGAAGTGTTGTGACCTGGGGTGAGTTGTTCTCTTCAAACTGAAATCAGGGCCATTCATAGGCACGGCCGACGTTGAGGACGCAATAACGATTACTCCTTGAGCATCCCTACTGTGACCGCACACACCCCCTTTCCCTCTGATGCTCGGTTGCTGAACTCTTGACGTCTCCAGGCAACCGTGGTGATTTTACGACCAATATTGCGATCCATCGGTTGGTTTCCTTAATAGGGTTAGATCGCCCGTGTTGCAAAAAACGTCTAATTCTGTTCGCAGTAACCCTCCAGCACCCGGCAGGGCCATTCAGATCGAGTTTTCACATCATGGTCAAGCAAAATAAGCCACGCAAATTTGGTTTATCGGTAAAACCGTGAAGTTGAAAAGCAAGCAAATTCGGACAATTTTACCCAGCATTTCGCTGGAGGCTGCAACCAGCGTCACGAGGTGTTTAACAAAAGCTCAGCTCTCTCGTGGCATATTTGCCCATGTGACAACTTAATTTCATTGGCTGTGTCGGGCAGTGGAGGCTCATCGTTACTTCAACAATGACATTAAACCTACACGACCCCGATTGTCTCCGCCCGCTCTCGGACGCCACTCGCCCAAACGTGAGCACCTCTGTGAGCGCCTCCAAATGACTCTCATTTGGAGACCCGTCAACAGAAATTCTGGGCTCCAGTTCACAGCAGCAGCAGCAGGAACAACAATGATAAAAATTATTAATTTTTATATCAGCGCCTTTCATCGATAGATCATAAGGCGCTGTACGGGTGGACATTTTAACACCCCATATAGAACAAGATCAATCAGGGCAAACCAAGATTAAAAGATATCTGCAATGTTGGCTGGGAGCCACCCATCCCCACCCCCCATCATGTGTAAAATAAAATATCCGGCAATATCCGAGGGCCTCGCTGTGGAGCCACGCACGGTTGTAGCCCTTCCATGCCCTCTCGTCAGGCGTCATCATTTCTTCATTTTCCACCTCCACATTTTATAAGGGTCGCGCTCATTACACACAAAGCGCTTTGCCACAAATGAAAACCACAACACCTCGATGATCTCGACAAGGAGCATAAACCATCATCACGCAAACTCAGCTCATCCTCGCAGCGGCAGCAGAAACAGCAGCGGCGGTGGCGCCGGCTGCTTTTGGCTGGCCGTCGAACAAAGACGTTCACCGAATCGCGCGGCGCTTTCGGATGTGCTTCTGCGGCCGTCTGGAACGCGCTTCCTCACCCGTATTAGGAAGCCACTGGAGCTATGCACTTTCAAATCTAGATTAAAAACTCACTTCTTTAAAACTAATTTGTGTGTTTAGTTTGTTGTCCTTCCCCCACACCTACGATGAGCACGATTGGCTACGTACGGTGCGAAACAAGTTCAACACACACACGTACAGATGACTCAATTGGGATCCTGTTCAGCAACATTTCCCCACTACTGCGACAACTTGGCAGGACCCGCCTGAAAAAAAGTCATGAGACTCTATGAGGCTTTGCTGAGTAAAGGAGCATCAATAAAAGTCCATTATTTTGGGTGCCGATGAGGCAACAAAAAATGGCAATATAAAACAAATTCGTGTTGCATTCTGAGATTATTACATCGTGTACCAGATTGAGCATAGAAACATTCAATAGCAACAGAATGTCCGAGCACTTATCATCATCCCACGCTCCACGGTGCTGAGTATTCCACTCTTTGTTGGGGGATGGCACGGCCCAGCGACAGCACGTTCACTGCTTGTCGCAGAGATCCGTAGTAGGAATCCAGCGGCCGCGCTGGTTATTACTGGGTGTGTGCTCACCGTAGCGTACACACCGTCTGCTCACTGGTGGAGCCAGTAGGGGGGGTGGGGTGGCACGTGCCCCCCCAACGATCCGATCGAAATCCCTAATTTCGATCAGATCATTGGGGTTTCTTAATAATAGATCAGCATTTTGCGACGCCCACTACCACTGTGTAGCATATTATTACGTGCCAGGGACTCTATGAGATGATAGGACAATAGTCTGAGTCCATAATTGGCAATAAATAACGGCAAAGCAGTTATAAGTGACTCACAGAATTGCATGCAGTTGCGTATACAGTACACGACTTCCCTGAAGGCATTCACCTTCAGCGAGCGCGATGCCGATCACACACGGTACAAATTCTACCCTCGATCGAAGGCTGCACTATCGCCACACACGCATCGAATAAAAAGCAAGGGACAAGTCCTTACTTACTAACAACTCCTATTATTTTTCATTGCTGGAGGGGTTGCCCCACTACCTGAAAATCTTGGCTCCGCCATTGCGTCTGCTTGACAGTGGACGTTAAACATCCCAGAAGGTTATTAAAAAAAACTAGGCTCGTTGCGTGCCGGCACCACCGCCAAAGTTTGCCAAATTTCAACTTTTCCTGCAAATGACTTCGTTGTGAATGACACACGATAACACCGCTCCCTACTGGCAGACTACTCCCCTGTCCACCCGTGACACGTAACGCCTTCATGCTGGCCCTGCGCTATGAGCGTGGAGCAAATACTCAAGGCATACACGCGGACTCCAAAGGGTTCAAAATACCGTGAGACGGTGACTGAAAGACCTCGGGACACCCAAGGACATCTGCAGCATCATTTAAAGAACATCACAGTGGAAAACTCTAACTCCCCTGCAAGAGTATACAAAACAAATAAATAAGGAAAGATACATTTTCTAATTGTAATTAAACTTACTTCCGCTTTCTTAAGAAGCGACCATTTGTCGCTCTCCAGAGTAAAGCCGTGGCGCGCAGCAACGTTTAACGTCACGCAGGAAAGGGCGAGAGGACTTTTGGATTAAAAGGGAAATGGAGGGTTATGGGCCGAGGCTGCCGAGCAGCAAAAGGATAATATCCACCACTTGGTGAACAGCCCCCCCATCGTAAATTTAATAATCATTACCGTGTATCATTGTATCTACGTACGTTGAGCTTATTTCGCAACGTACGTAGTCAACTGTGGCTAAAAGTCCCCCGCTTTGTGCTCGTAGAAAGTCCTCTGGGTGAAGACCGAACTTCTGGCGCGGACCCTGACAGAAGAAGAGATGAACCCCCGACAGCTGCTGCAGCTGCTGCCGGTGACACCGCGCTGCCACCGAGGGGCTGAGTGTGTGATGTGTGAAACCAAACGAGACCAATCCATCGCACGGCCGTGAGACACTCAACACTGTGGACAGCCGCGAGTCTCGCTGGTCATCCTTGAGATTTGACGTGTATCTAAAATGCATTACGTTAATGGTCATTTTCATTAACGTAATGCAGTCCAAGCATGCCTCCTTCGGTAACCTTCCCTGCGAATTTCCAACGTGACAACCACGAAGCCCGACACCACCGTCTTGAGTGATCGTGCCCCGTAAAATGACAATGAGATCGTTCACTTCCTTGGGCCCACGTTTGACCACATCCCCTCGGGCAGACACGGTCACTAGCTGCAGGACCGAGAGACGTTTGTGGGAAAATTGTACGATCGTAAATGTGTGTTCGCTAGTCTCGGCATCGCTTGCTAAAAATGAAACTAAACATGCAGTTCCGTCAGCAAAATATTGCAGCAGCATTCGTTTGTGAAATGTATTCCCGAACGCAAACCTCTCTCTCCCCGGAAAGGTCCTGTTCAGGAAAATCTCCTTCTGTCTCTCCAAACTCAATTCACTCCGTGTCTTCACTACCTCATTTTCACCAAAAGCCATGTAATGAACTGGTCTCCTCCGTGTGGTAAATGACTGCCTTCTCTGCGTGTGTCACCATAGACCAGTGTATCCTCCACAATACACGTCGTTTGGGGTTAGATCGCATTAAATGTGTCGTTAAACCGCCACAACCCGACACAGTCAACTAGTAAGGTTCGTCACGTAAACAGAACGTGCAAATTCGTTACGAGTAAAGCACACCGGTGTGTTGGAGAGCAAATCCACAACATTTACAGTCTATCCTCCGATAACCACCGTGTGTGGGAATCTCCAGCACACTTCCTTCCTGGATCTGCTCTTACATCTTAAGCCTCCCCAATTCCGTACGATCCAAATTGTCACTGCCTAGGCTCCTCGGTGTGCCTTACCTGGTAAAATAAAAAAAGTTTCTCGTAGTTTATAGTTTAACCTTTTACTCAGTTGAGGTCGCTCCTTCTTCACTGCTGCCCTCAGTCTGGAACTCCCTTCCCTCAGCCGCCCGTGCTGTTGACTCCCTGCCCCCTGTTCAAGTCCAAGCTCTGAGACTTTCCTCATTTCATCCTCCGCCTTCGCTTGACAGTTGCTGTTTCACTACAAAATGAACGTCTCCATTCCCCCGGATGTGGGTAGTCTCGAAGTGTAATAACGCTATACAATATATTTAAATTAAGTGCTATATTAATCCAAACCTTACCGCATCGCAAACTTTCATTATCTAATCTGCAGGAGAGACCGTGCTGTAATCCAACGCTGCTGCTGCTGCCCGCAGGTGTGGGGGACGGTTCCTCTCCGTGAGAAACAACGCCGCGGTGCATTGAGGGCAAGAGTGAAACTGTCAACGTAAACTCAGGTGTGGGGGACGGTTCCTCTCCATGAGAAACAACGCCGCGGTGCATTGAGGGCAAGAGTGAAACTGTCAACGTAAACTCAGGTGTGGGGGACGGTTCCTCTCCATGAGAAACAACGCCGCGGTGCATTGAGGGCAAGAGTGAAACTGTCAACGTAAACTCAGGGTCGTATTATCCAATGGGCCGCAGTAGGCACTGTGCCTATGACCTACGAAAACTTAAAGGGCCTACAAAAAAAGTGACCACGTTTTTTGTTCGTTTCATAAAACATTTAACCAAGATATCTTCTCCAATAAATATATTTATAGAGCAAAAGGAACGGCACAGTGTTTCAAATTAAATCTGCTTATCTGCAGCACACAGCGCGCTCCCATCGAATGAAGGCACAGACTAAATAATGAACGTATCAGTAACGACATCTGTCCAGCTGCTGGACGAAGTACCGCGTGAAACAAGCGAGTGACAGTGTCGGTAGAAGCAACATGGGGCAGCAGCAGTAGCAACTGTAAAAAGCTATCACTGAAGGCCTACGAAACAGAAATGCCTGGGGCCTACAAGAACCTTTATCCTGCCCTGCGTAAACCCAGAGATCTGGCTCACTGCGTGGAAATAAAACATCACCAAGTCCCAACCAAAACGGGGCAAAGCCTTGCCGCCTCGGTGTGTAAACGTAAGCCAGGAGATGAAACGAAACATTTTAATGGACTATGAGAAACAAATGTAAGGTCGCGTTTCCATTGTTGCCTCTGTTTACGAAGGAGTTGAGAGAATGACTGAGGTTTCACTGGAAATAAATAATGTCCAAGCCACCTCTGTGACCTCTCAGATAGAAATCTTTAGCGCTGGCTTGTTTACACTTGCGCTGAATATCCAGCACCGTGATAGTAGAATTATCATGTGGAATTCCCTACCGTTGGCAATTCGTTTAACCAACAATGTACATACTTTTAAGTTGCATCTAAAAATATATAATTTTCTTAATTCGATTTTTTCTACGTAGCTCTCCTTCTCTCTTGGCCTTTCCTTAACATTACTCTTGCAAGGCGCCTTGAGACATTAGTATAAGACGCCTTAGAAATAAATGTACATTATTATTACCACGTATACTGTATGTTCACATACAAAACAAAGAACCCCCACCGTATAGCCTTAACAGACTGTAGGGGCAAGTGCTGTTAGCGAGCACCTAAGAAGGCCGGCACGGTACACGAGGGGGTGGGTGGCCAGCACCACGCCCAGCCACCTTTGTCTCCCGAGTGTCGATGTTTACCACACACTGCACCAGGTACTCATTTGAGGCTGAGTCCACCTACATATACATAATACATACAGTACTGCAATGGTATAATGTGGTCACACAATCGTGCAGTATTTGTTCAGGCGACATAGGCTTCGGCCTTATACTGGATGGAATGGGGGTCACATTCTAGAAAATAATTCTACAGGATGCTATGAAATCAAAGGGTTCCTTTAATATTAGATTTTTAGTTTAGGTCAGATTGCATAAGTTGTACATATTGTAATTGTTTGAAAGGAATATACATACTTTGTATAGATGTTAAGCGATTGTATACAGGGTGGGTCCACTGAACGATGTAGTGGTTTATCATGGGGACATTTATAGCAGCCAAATACTCTAAACGCGTGATGTCAATTCTAAATGTGGAGGAAAAAAACGGAAGACCCGGGGAAAAAACCACTAGACCACGGGGAGAGAGAGAGAGACACGCAAACTCCAAAAATACAGCAGCAGGCGTCAAGGGTTGGGATCGAACCCACGATTACAGTTGTAATCATTGAACACTCATCAACTATGTTTCGTCTCCATTCATTCGCGGAGGTCTCAGTCGTGGTTTGTAAACGGTGGATTCGTGGCAAAAGAGTAGAAAAGAACGTGAAAATTATAATCCATCAAATGTTAACGTCAAGAATAAACAATTGCAATGTTTTAACGCCAGTGTTCAAATAAAGGAAAAAAACACGTGTGCTGACTTTTGGGCAACTGTGTATATAGTCCAGAAGAGGTTTTTCTTTTGGGTTAAATTGCGTTAATATAAATGCGTCATTAAACCACCACCACCCGACGCAGCCAATAAGAAAGGTTTGTTACGTAAACAAAACGTGCCATTTAGTGACTAGTTCAGCACACAGGCTGTGTTGGAGAGAAAACCCACGACAACATTTACAATTCGAGTACCGTGACATTTCACCTATAATTATAACAACCAGCCTCATCAGGCGACAGCCAGATTTGTGTATATAGTGGTATAGAATATGCAACATAGCCATTCCATTGTACTATCTTCAGTTTGGTACAAAGCGCAATCATCTCTGGATGAAACATGTGTTTTATATCTGCAGTGTTTTCTACCATCTCAGCAAGAGATAACAGAATATTCACCGCACGCTATTAATATGCGCTGTGTCTCTGGGGTTCCATGTTCTCCCGGATAGTGCCCAATCCGAATACGCTGCTAATATTGCTTGCAGTTTTCAAGTTTCCGCTCCGCACTTCTGGAAGCCGGACCCAGATTTCATGACACTTTGGTCAGACTCAGCACGTACGAAGCCCAGAATTGGGCTCCACAGAGCAGCGGGAGATTTCACGGTCAGAGGCCAGAAACACTGTGCACTTGGCCGCAATTAATGTCTATGAGGACATGCAAGTTACCGTATGCATGGAGAGACTAAAAGAATACAGAATACAGAATCAGCAGGCAACAGAGAGGTGAAAGAAGACTGTGGGCTCCGATTTGTCCAGAGTGGCATCACGGGATGGTCATGTGGAGTGCTGTAGGGTGGCACTGTGAGGCGTGATGGTGAGGAGTGATGTAAGGTGGTGGAGAAATGTAAAGTGGTGTAGTGTGGTGGTATGGTGTAAAGTTGAGTAGTGTGGTGGGGTGGTATGATGTGCTGTAGTGAGGTGATGATGTGGAGTGGTTAAATGTCAAATAGTGTGGTGGTGTGGTGTAATGTGGTGTAGTGTGGTGGTGTGATGTAATGTGGTGTAGTGTGGTGGTGTGGTATAACGTGGTGTAGTGAGGTGGTGAGTTATGGTGGTGTAAAGTAGTTTGGTGGTGTGGTGTAAGGTGGTGTTGGTGTAAGGTGGTGTTGGTGTAAGGTGGTGTGGTGTGAGGTGGTGTGGTGTGAGGTGGTGTAGTGTGGTGGTGTAAGGTGGTGCAATGTGGTGGTGTAAGGTGGTGTAGAGTGACTTAGTGTAGCATTGTCGTGTGACGGGTACTCACTGGGAATTCCTGATACAAGTTTTAATGGTCTCAGTACACGCACTGCGCGCAGAGTTCGCAGGTCAAAGTCTGTGCCCATCATCGCCAACATACTGCACACACACACAAAGACAAAGATCCCCTGTAAATACTTTAACAGACTGTTGGGGCAAGTGTTGTTCGCGACCACTCATTCTGGCCGGCACGGTGTTTACACACTGCACCAAGTACTCATTTAAGGCTGAGTCGACCTAAGAGAGGACGTAGGACCAGTTTGGATATTCGTCACCAATGTTGGCTGTGAGCGGGAACCGAACTCAGGCCAACCAGGTTCCTAGTGCAGGGCACTAACCACTGTGACACTGCTCCACACGTACATACGTGCACACAGACACATGGTGAAACACGTGGTTTCTGCTGTGAAATCCGGTCGCCAGTGAAGGGAGAGTTATTTTGGGAAAGCAAATGGTCTCTAATTTTTGATTATTCAAGATGTTTTAAATAACACAACATTATGCTACATATGCATTTCAAAACTAACATAATATGGTTACTTGATTCTGCTTATGTTTACTTAATTGGAATGAACATTCACAGAAGGATGATTAATTCTCAGGAGTAACATCACTGTTTGAAGTGCAGAAGTGCAATTATGAAACATATTCGCCCTGGAGCAGCCCATCTCTGCAGACACATTGTAGAAACATCGTAGTGTAGGAAACATTGTAGCGTAGGAAACATCGTAGCGTAGGAAACATCATAGAGTAGAGTAGGAAACATTGTAGCGTAGGAAACATCGTACAACATCACAGCGTAGGAAACATCATAGAGGAGGAAACATCATAGAGTAGTAAACATCGTAGCGTAGGAAACATCGTAGCGTAGGAAACATCGTAGCGTAGAAAACGTCACAGTGTATTTAGCGGTGATGCAGTCTAGCGGTAACGCATTCGCCGATCGTTGCAGAGATTCATGGTTGGAATCCAGCAGCCACCCTGGTTATCACTGCAGTGTGTGTAGACCACGACACTGCGACGCGCAGACTGCTTCACAGTGGACGGAAAAAGATCCCCCGACGTCATTCGCAGGAGTAGTCTGTTGTGTGCCGGCGTCGCGTCCAAATTCGAAAATTACTCAGCACATTATTCAATGTGGACACACACAGCAGCCATCATTGCCCCCTACTGACAGACGAATGCCCCAGGTTGCTCCTGCAAACGAGTCTCGTCATGGTCCCTTGACTTTTTAAGACCAAAACAGGAGGAGGAATTCTCCACAATTCATGGCTGCTGCCTGATGATGCTGGTTGTTGTTGTAATTACCGGCGAAACGTCACGGTACACGCATTTTAAATGGTCGAGTGGGTTTGTTCTCCAACACACAACCGATGTGCTATTCTAGTAATTATCTGCTTCCGTGACAACCTTACTAATTGGCTGTGTTGGGTGGTGGCGGGTTTAACGACACATTTATATTTACGCGATCGAACCCACACAACTTATATTACGGATAATATTGGTTAAGAATGCCTACTACGTGTTAAAACTATCTCTAAAGTTCTCAAAACAGAATAACATTGACAATTGCACCATGGTGGCACAGTGGTTCATATTTGTGCTTCACAGCAAAAGTACCCCCCGGGTTCAATCCCCGACTAAGGTGCCTTTTCGTTCGGAGTTTGTATGTCCCTCCCCCTGTTCCGCATGGGTTCCCTCCGGGGTCCTCCGGTTTCCCCCCACAGCTAGACGAACACCCAATGTGGTATCGGCCAAAACATCCCAGTGCTGAGAAAATACCAGCAAAAGCACTCAAGTGGGATCACACATGCAGCAGCAGCAGCAGCAGCAGCTGCAGCAGCAGCAGCAGCGTCAACCCCCTACTGCGACAACTTGGCAGGACCCTTCCTGAGAGAAGAGACCAGCAAGACTTCCCTGGGTCAACACGCGTAGTAGTAATAATAATCAGAATTGAACCGCCAACTTGTTTAAATTACAGTATAAAGACAGATCCCCCGTGTAGCCTTAACAGACTGTTAGGGCAAGTGCTCTTAGTGAGCACATATGAAGGCTAGGAGATGGGTAGCCAGCACCACGCCTGGCTGCCTTTGTCTCCCCTGTCGTGATGTTTATACACCGCACCAGGTACTCATTTGAGGCTGAGGCGACCTAGGGGATGCCCATGACCGGCTCAGATAATGGTCACTGGTGTTGGTGGCCATGAGCAGGAATCGAACTTGGGCTGCCAGGTTCACAGCGTAGCGAGCTCACCATAGTACGACCACTGAGCCATAAACCCCGACCGTAAAGTTATCGTGAAACAAACATCGCTGTATCCACCACGCATGCTCACGCTGACACACCAAGACAATCTACACAGCGTTACTCGTGTGCACCCGCCCGTGCCATGACACAGAGCCCTGTAGCTGGAATGGGGCCTCGCAGGACGGCATCGTGTCCACGTCACACTGCTTCGCCCTTCAGCGGTTTTTGCCCTGGCAAGGGTTTTGGGGCCACCACCTTCTCCGCAGACATATTTCTCAGTCAGCTCAAGTCTATTAAAACTGCAGTTTGCTGTCATGAAGTTCAACACAATACCGGTACCGGACCCCGGCACAAAATCGACTCCTGCCACCTGAACTAAGATGGCAATTACTGGACTGTCAGGGTTAAAAACCTGGGGTTGGTGACGACCCGACCGGTGTTTACGAGGTTGGGTACCGATTCCAAGGCCAAGAATGTGCTCAAGTGAGCTGAACATCACCGTACACTGTAAAGCACAGCATGGTGGTTCATATATAATATGTGTGTGACCAGCTCTAAGACACTGGTGGGAATTCATCATTCCTATGACAAGGTCCAATCTCGCCACAGGACTGCATGAGACGCATGTTTATTGCTGAATCACTGAAACAAACTCCCTCGTGATAATTGGTTCTTTACCCTTCTATCTGGCAACAAAACTGACACCTTTTTTTTTTTTGTTGCCAGATAGAAGGGTAAAGAACCAATTATCATATTTTTACTGGCAAATGAGAAACTCCCTCGTCTAGTGTATAAGAGGTCGTGGGTTCGATCCCTACCCTGACGCCTGCTGTGTATATTTGGAGTTTGCGTCTCTCTCTCTCCCCGTGGTCGTGGACTTTTTCTCCGGATCCTCCGGTTTTGCGCTCCACATTTAGAATCAACATCGGGCGTTTAAGAGTATTTGGCTGCGACACATTTCCACGTGACATTTGTGGCCAGGTCGCTTCTGAAAAAGAGCTATAGAGCTCCGTGGGGCCTTACCGAGTAAAATAAAATAAAAATATTAGTTTCGTTTAAACGATTGGCTGTCATTAAATAACCATCCTTTGTGTCAACAGCTGTCAACACTGACATTGCAATTGAGGTGGATTGCTAACTTTATAGACATTACAATCAGGAGGTTATCGTGCATAGCGTCATAATACGTTACCAACAAAGGTTTAAAATTGAGGTTTGAATACTGCCCATTTAAAAGCAGGCTCTGACCACAAACTGAAATTTTGTTTTTTTAAACTTTCTTTTTATGTGCTTACATATTAGTAAAAGCAAACCCTACTACGAAAAAATCAACAGACAACATGCCTCCTTTCAATATTTGTCTCTGCACATAAAAATAATTTTTAAAAATGACACCTACGATGTTGCCGCGTGGCCTTCTGGGAGTATATTTTTTCAACATCGCTGGTTCAACACACAGAAAACTCTGGACCGGTTTCGAGGTTCGGTGTCTGCCACATGCACACAGACAAGGGCCCTCTGTTCAATACGGATCCTAGATCGACGCAAAGCTATACAAATACTTCACACAATGTGATCATGAGCGTGGACTTGTCAGGAATATAGATAAGTATATCAACAGACAAAGCGCCTCCTTCTGCTAGAAACGGCTGTGCTGTGCGTAATCGTTAATTCCTCTTTTGCCGTCACAGCTGGCGGAGAGAGGCAATGTGTTATAGAGTCGCACGCCGTTCGCACAATCTCTCTCCGTGGCAAAAACGCGACGGGCAGCTTTGCAAGCACCGCGCAATTGTGCTCATTCAAAACAGCAGCCCCTCGGGAGAACGTCTTCGCAAGTCGATTGCGCCCGCGGTGAAACCGTCACGATGATTCATTCACGTGCACAGCTGGTGGCCCCAAAAGAGCTTCAGTCGCCACTTCGGGCCCGCGCCGGGGACGGAGCCTCGTTCGTCCGGCCCGGGGGTTTCAACCAAAAACCACCCGACGACGATCGGATGGACGGACGGACGGACCTCCTCCCTGTCGTCTCCCGTGCGAGAAGCCATTGAGAAACAACGACCGCAATTCAGCGCGGGTGCACGAGAGTCGTGCTGCGTGGACGTTCTTGGTGTGTCGGCGTGATCGTGAGCGTGTGTGGTGGACACGGCGGTGTTGGTTTCACGGTAACTCGACGGTCGGCGTTTGTGGCTCAGCGATCTCGAAGCGAGGGCAGAATCCGGAAACCGGGACGGCGACTCCACAATAGCGTGGTGTGCGAAAATGCACGGCCGCATGTGACGCATGCGACAATGGTTTTGCAATGTCACACTATCACACGCCGTGGCAATGCGACACAGCTGGTGCATCTGCCAGTCGTCTCACGTCAATCCACGGCACCTGGGTCTGGTCCCATGACCTCATGCCAGCGGGTGTTCGATACGTCACGTGGCCTTAACGTTTACGTGGCCCTGCACAGGCGCCATGGTGATGTCACCGCCACTTGGTGGCGAATGGCAGTTGTTGTTGTTGGTTTTGCAAAATGTATGTTTAATACAAAAAAAAATACAGATATGCACAGGAAACTGGGTATCCATGAAGGACATCATCATGATCCATGGTCTACCCACTACTGGATGAAAGGTTTCACCAAACCACCACAATGTTTCACGCTCCCACAATGCAACAATCAACCGCGCACCGGCATATGAGCTGATTCCGTCGCTCCATCTCCCCAGTGGGCATCCTCTATCGGACGCGTTCGATCACTTGGCTACCACTCCGTCGTCACTATCTTGACCGTTGGAACATCGTCCCGTCCGAGGGACGCGTCCTGCCCAAGCCTCACTTGGCTTTTCCCGACAGTTTAAACAACGTCATTAAACCGGCGTGTGTTCTACAATCCTCGTGTTCTAATGCCGGTCTCTCATCGTCATTTCCAAGCTTGCATCTGTCTCTCTCCACTCTTCTTTTGCGTATTTTAAATTATTTTTTCTTAATCTTTCAAGATATTTTTGGCGTTGATAACCACGGCTACTGAACCACGCCTCACAGCAGGTGTTACACGCCGATTAAAAACATTCTCCTTCTGCTAAAGTGGAATCTTACTTTTCATTATTGGGTTCATCTGTCCCAAAGCAATCCAACCTGACCTCCTGCACGTCTTTATTTCATTATTTTGATTACTGGCCACACTTCATTACCTCACGTTCATAATATTCGGCCGTTTTCCAATTTGCGTCGCTCCCCAATGGGTTGTCTCCAACTGTTGAGCCCACTAGTGACCTTTCTTGCACGTGCTGTTCAAGATAACTCTCAAGGGTTGTTTGTTGTTGTTGTTTTTGTCTTAAGGAAAACACCTCACCTTACCCACGGAAGCATTTTTGAGACGATAACGGCCGGGTGGTTGACACGCCATCAATTGCCTTTAATCTGCAGATGGTCCAGACAGCGAACACCTTCAGTCGGCGTTCGCTGTCTTTACACTGCCAGTGGCCCTTTTGTTTCTGGAGAATCTCTAAGGACAACGATTATTATTATTCTGCATGTTTACCCAGTAAAGCCTAACGGAGTCTCAAGACTCTCTCGGGAGGGTCCTGCCAAGTTTTAAGCAGTCGGAGGTGATGTTGCTGTTATGTGTGATCCCAACTAAGCAATTTGCAGGTATATAAATATTTCAGCACTCGGATATTTTAGACAATACCGGTTGTTACCGTACCACGTGTCTCGGCTATGGGAGGAAACAGGAGAAGCCGGAGGAACCCCACACAGAAAAGGGGGAGAGAGCACACCTACCCCAACGCAAAAAGGCACCCAAGTCGCGTCAATCCAACTCAGCTCCTTCATGCGTTACCGCTGCGCCACCCTGCCGCTAAACTGCTTCCATACGTCGGGCAATTAACTTGGGTTTGTCGCAAGGCTACCGGACGGCAGCCTGCCGCCTCCTCGGAGCCGCCTCCGCAGAGCGAGGCGCGTGTGGCCGGCGTGTGCAGCCCCTCAGCAGCCTTCGTGCTGCGCTGCTCGCTTGGAGAGAACCTGGAGCCTCGGTGGCGAGTTTTCTCATGGCGCTGCACCAGCGTTTATCTTGCCCCACGGCGGTGGCGGCAGCAGCGGCAGCACAGGCAACGTTCACACGCTGGCAGAGCAATGCCCATTCATCCGCACGCTGCGCCAAATACTCACCCTGTCAGCACCACCACAAAGTCCATGATGTTCCAGCCACTGTGCAAGTAAGACCCTTTGTGGAACACGAATCCTAGGGCCAGGATCTTAATCGCCGTCTCCAGACAGAAGATGGCAATAAAATATGGCTCTGTCTCCTCCTGCACCCGCCAACAGATGCACGGCACAGACAAGACGGTGGTCAGCAGATCCACCAGCACAAGCCCGGAATGATGACATGGTATGAAGCGGCAGGCATAAATATTACCACAGAAACCCGAAAGCAAATGTGCACGTTTTCGACTCTAATTATGACTTCTATAAATATAAATGTAATTATGCTATTGTGGCGAGGGCTACCCTTTCATTAATGCGCTGGTGAAAGCTGTCGCGTGGATAAATGTGCGTAATAATTATAATCTACGGCGTCTTTGTTAATCCACTGCTGGATGAAGGCCTCCCACGCCGAGTCAGTCGCGACCATTGTTTTAACCATACTTCACTACACTGGTCAGTGCGCATCATGCCGGGAGGGGGGGGGGGTGATTTGCTAGGCCCGTTCAAGTGTCGCTTGCTATTAATGTCAGCCGTGGCTGGATTTGGGTTCACAGCGCAGTGCGCAAAACACTGCCCCACCACTTCCCCTACCGGGAACGTACACACGCATTGACAAAAAATATATGCTTGCAAAGTTGTACATGCATCTGGCTGCAGCTGCATGTTCGCACACACACACACGCCTCCTGCACGCGTATGTGCTTGAGCGTGCGTGTGTTCGGGAGAGTGCATGTGCGTATGCACGGGGAGCAGTCGCGCCGCGGTCAGCGCACCGTGTTATGAACCCAGCGACCCAATTTCGATTCCCGCTCACGGCCATTAAGTGGTGAAAATTTGAACCGGTCCTGGGCCTCACCTAGATCGACTCAGCCTTACGCGTTAATCTGGTGTCGTGCATAAAAATCAGCACTGGGGAGAAAGGCTGGCGGGCGCGGTGCTGGCCACCCACTCCCTCGCGTGCCGTGCCGGCCTTCGTAGCATTTCTGCTCGCTAACAGCACACGCCCCACCGCACTCTGTGAAAGGCGACATGGGGAATCTTTTCTCCCCAAGCGATTGTGGAGATCATGGAGGTGGCGCTGTGCTGTGTGTGTGTGCTGTGTGTGTGTGCTGTGTGTGTGTGCTGCGTGTGTGTGCTGCGTGTGTGTGCTGCGTGTGTGTGCTGCGTGTGTGTGCTGTGTGTGTGCTGCGTGTGTGTGCTGTGTGTGTGCTGTGTGTGTGTGCTGCGTGTGTGTGCTGCGTGTGTGTGCTGCGTGTGTGTGTGTGTGCTGTGTGTGTGTGCTGTGTGTGTGCTGCGTGTGTGTGCTGTGTGTGTGCTGTGTGTGTGTGCTGTGTGTGTGCTGCGTGTGTGTGCTGTGTGTGCTGTGCTGTGTGTGCTGTGTGTGTGTGTACTGTGTGTGGTGCTGCGTGTGTGTGCTGCGTGTGTGTGCTGCGTGTGTGTGCTGTGTGTGTGTGCTGTGTGTGTGCTGTGTGTGTGGTGCTGTGTGTGTGTGCTGTGTGTGTGTGCTGTGCGTGTGCTGCGTGTGTGTGCTGCGTGTGTGTGCTGCGTGTGTGTGCTGTGTGTGTGTGCTGTGCGTGTGTGCTGTGTGTGTGCTGTGTGTGTGCTGCGTGTGTGTGCTGTGTGTGGTGCTGTGTGTGTGCTGCGTGGTGTGCTGCGTTGTGTGCTGCGTGTGTGTGCTGCGTGTGTGTGCTGCGTGTGTGTGCTGGCGTGTGTGCTGTGTGTTGTGCTGCGTGTGTGTGCTGCGTGTGTGTGCTGCGTGTGTTGCTGCGTGTGTGTGCTGCGTGTGTGCTGCGTGTGTGTGCTGCGTGTGTGTGCTGCGTGGTGTGCTGTGTGTGTGTTGCTGCGTGTGTGTGCTGTTTGTGTGTGCGCTGTGTGTGTGCGCTGTGTGTGTGTGCTGCGTGTGTGTGCTGCGTGTGTGTGCTGCGTGTGTGTGCTGCGTGTGTGTGCGCTGTGTGTGCTGTGTGTGTGCTGCGTGTGTGTGCTGTGTGTGTGTGCTGTGTGTGTGCTGCGTGTGTGTGCTGCGTGTGTGTGCTGTGTGTGTGCTGTGTGTGTGTGCTGCGTGTGTGTGCTGCGTGTGTGTGCTGCGTGTGTGTGCTGCGTGTGTGTGCTGCGTGTGTGTGTGTGCTGTGTGTGTGCTTGTGTGTGTGGCGCGCTGGTGTGTGTGCGCTGGTGGTGTGTGCTGTGTGTGTGTGTGTGCTGTGTGTGTGTGCTGTGTGTGTGTGCTGCGTGTGTGCTGTGGTGTGTGTGCTGTGTGTGTGTGCTGTGTGGTGTGCTGTGTGTGTGTGCTGCGTGTGTGTGCTGTGTGTGTGCTGTGTGTGTGTGCTGTGTGTGTGCTGTGTGTGTGCTGTGCTGTGTGTGTGTGCTGTGTGTGTGTGCTGTGTGTGTGTGCTGCGTGTGTGCTGTGTGTGTGTGCTGTGTGTGTGTGCTGTGTGTGTGTGCTGTGTGTGTGTGTGTGCTGTGTGTGTGTGCTGTGTGTGTGCTGTGTGTGTGCTGTGTGTGCTGTGTGTGTGCGCGCTGTGTGTGCTGTGTGTGTGTGCTGTGTGTGTGTGCTATGTGTGCTGTGTGTGTGTGTGTGCTGTGTGTGCTGTGTGTGTGTGTGCTGTGTTTGCTGTGTGTGCTCTGTGTGTGTGCGCCCGGGTGGGGAGCGGCAGTGTAGTGGGTAGCGCACCGTGCGACCTGGGTTCGATTCCCGCTCATCGGTGACGAATATGTAAACTGATCCTGGACCCCCCCTAAGTCTACTCATCTTTAATTGACCACCTGGTACTGTGTGTAACCATCAGCATTTGGGGAGACATCGGCTTCTGGCCGTGGTGCAGGCCACCAACCCCTTCGTGTGCCGTGCCGGCCTTCGTAAGTGCTGCTCGCGAACGGCACTTTGCCCCGACAGTCTGTTAAAGGCTACACAGGAGAGGGGATGCTACGTGCCCAGGTGATCGTGGGGGGCGTGGTGGAGATGGCGGTGTCGTGGTTGCACCCAGGCTCGGCGTCGGGAGGATCAGCGTGCTGCGCGCCCTGCGTGCGATCTGTGTCGCTGTACGTACCAGGCGCAAAGAGAGAGGTGTCTTGTCATCGTTGGGGAGGTGCTGTTCCAGCGCCAGGACGATGCAGTTGGCGATGATCGTGGCCAGGATCATGTACTCAAAGGGAGTGCGCACATCCGTTAAGGAAGAGCTAAACACATGCGGTTACTGTATATCCACAAACACATCCACGCGCGCGAGCGAGCGTGCGGTGCGTACGCACGACGTTGTTACATATAGGACACGAGAGTGCCGCAAACGGATTCCTAGTCGTTCCGCGGGGACCATCGAGCGATATCGAATTGTACTCGTGGGTTTTCTCAGGGTAGTCGAGTTCTTCGCGCACGCAAACGCGAGTGATGCACGTGTGGCCAAGCATCCCCACGTTTTGAAATATGCAAAAATAAATCGCATTCCAGTATAATAGTAAAACTATTTAACGTGTCGTAGGCTTTCGGGACCAATATTATCCATAACCAGAGATTTTTGGGTTAGATCGCGTAAATATAAATGTGTCGTTAAGTCCGCCACCACCCAACACAGCCAATTAGTAAGGTTGTCACGGAAGCAGAGCATTACTAGTACAGCACACCGCTGTGTTGGAGAGTAACCAAACGCACTCGGCAATTTGCGGCGAGCGGGGACGAAGTGCGTTTGTCCACGGCGCCCCCTAAAGTGGTGCGCCGTGGAGCCGCAGCAGCTCAGAGCCGTCGAGTGGCCACAGAGCCGTACTCTCAAGGGAAGCCTCACCGCTGGACCCTCGGGGGAGGGTGGGGGGGCACTTGGTGAGCCTGGTGGTTACTGGGAAGAACGTCAGGATTGCCAGCTCCGACGCATCACGTGACCCGCCGAGAAGCGCGCGGTGGATAAGGGTCACCCTGGTGTTGTGTGCACGTTCATGGGAATAGCCAAAGGGAGTGTGCACGCTTCTCACCCCGGCGAGTATGAGCACGGTTGGCTACATACGGTGCGAAATGCATACACACAAGGTATCTTTCACGAGGTTTAGTGCCGATTCTGCTTCAGGTTCTCTTAAATGATGAGCAAAGCCATCATCACAAAAGAAAGATTAGCGCAGGATGGAACACGGCTCGATTTTTAAAACACACAATAGTGTGTGTGTGTAAACTGCTTGTGCCAATTCTCTCACTCTTATCCAGACCGCCAGCTCAGAAGAACTGCATGTTTGGCCATTGCGCCATTTTAGACCACCGACCTAAAACGTTGTAGACTGCGGCAAACTCAACAGGCAGCAGTGAATCCCCCAAGTGTGAGGGTACCAGTGCGCTCCATGTACGAGGCTCCAAGATGCAGCAGTGAACATTGATAACCATGCTGCGCTGACGAGTCCTAATAAGCACGAAGCCGGTCTACAGTTGTGTTTGGTTAGACCACCACCTGTTTGGCTGGCCACATTTTTATCAGGTCCCATAAGCTGGTGGTCAGCGTAAGGCCATGCGATTCGGCACGCCTTTGTGTGTGCATGCGTGAGTACGTTCAACTTCTTTCGCACCGCACGCAGACAACCACCTCGCCACCGAGGTGCAAAACCCTCGTGTGTTGCTACATCTCTTTAGCTTGTTTTTCTGATGTAAGGACAGTACGGGGCCTAGTGGCCGTAAATATTGATTGCAGCGATGAGGACAGGCAGGGTCAAGTGAGGTAACTTGGTGAGGAGTCAGCGCAGGGGTGGAAATGGACCCCCCCCCCCCCCCCCGAGGTGTTATAGTGAGGCAAAGGAAATCTCCGACAGGAGAGTTCGGGAAGAGGGGCGTGGCAGAGCCGAGGGGACATAAAAGGCAGCGCAGAGCGGGGGTCGAGGCTGCCGTGGGGGAGTCGGAAGTCGGGATCGTCGCTGTTATCACTGTGGATTGTCCTCATTGTCTGGGAATGCTAGCGAGGGAAGTTAAATATTTACGCCGTAGCTGCTACATCGACGGCTCCTATATAGTAAGCCAGCTGTGTGGGGAATGTTGTGTAGCCGATACTTAGTCGTCCAGTGTAATATAGTCAACCTGTGTCCATCTGTTAAATGTTATAAAATCTGGTGGACTGTGTTTTATAATATATAACTTAAGAAGACAGCGTTTCTGAGTTACACTACCATGCTACCCCCCCACCGCTGCCCCCTCCCCTTCCCACGACCGCCACCCCCTCCCACCGCCCACCCCACCACCACCCCCCGGGCGAGGAGGATATGGCCACTCGGTGAGGCGGCGCGCGTGTTTCCGCACCGCGTTGTCCTCCCCGAAGAGGAAGAGCGAGCGGTTCTGCGTGAGGCAGTTCTGCCGCACGGGTGTCGGGTTGTAGAGCGCCATGGTGCGCGCCCGCTGGGCCATCGTCTGCTTGTACACGCGCTGGGGGCCCGGCCCGCCGTGGGGGCCCACGCCGCCATGAGGGCCCGCCCCGCCATGAGGGCCCGCTGTGAACACATGCAGCAGCAACAATAGCAGCAGCAGCAGCAATAGCAGCAACAGCAGCAATAGCAGCAGCGGCGGCAGCAGCGGCGTCACGCACGCCAGTTAGCCCCTCGCTCGTGAACGGGGCCTATCGCAGGCCTCGTGGCCTGTCCATGCAAACAACTAAACTACTAAAACAATGTTTTTTTTTTATTTTACCAGGTAAGGCCCCACTGAGTGAAATGTAGCTCTTTTTCAGACGCGACCTGGCTATAACAAATGATTGCCCAATGAAGTGGCTCATCATTATCGCGTCGAAATGTAAAGCAGCCAAATACTCCAAATGCATGATGTTGACTCTAAATTTGGAGGGAAAAACCGGCGGGACCCGGAGAAAAATCCATGCGACCACGGAGAGAGAGAGAGACACGCAAACTCTGAATATACATCAGGCGTGAGGGCCAGGATCAAATCCACGACCTCCTGTACACCAGGCGAGGTAGTTAGCATCCCGCCACCGCGGCGCAAAACGTTCGTTGGGACGGATGGAGTGGCAGGGTGGCGAAGTGGTAACATGAGTGCCGCACAGCAAGCAAGACCTGAATTTTAAATCCCTAATTCGAGGCTGTCTCTGTGTTGAGCTTTTGCATGTTCTTCCCTTGTCCTGCAAGGGTTTCTTCCGGGTTGTACGGTTTTTCCCCCATAGATTAAACCATGCAACGTAACTGGTCTTGGCCAAACAACCCAATGCTGAAAAAAATCCTGAAAATAACTCATTTTGGATTACACACAGCAGCAGCAGCAGCAGCATCGCCCAAGCAACTTCAAAAACCTGGAAAAACCCTCCTGAGAAAGTCTTGAGACTCAGCGAGGCTTTGCTGGTTAAATAAGCGTCGTAATAATAACAATACAATTATAATGAAATGTTAATGAGTGCAGTAATAAATACCGACGAGTCACACGTGAGTGCGGCTGCCTGGGTCCTCGATTTAACCTTCAATGGCCCTCATCTCCATTGGTGGAACGTCTTAAATTCCACTAATCCTATGTCAGGGTCAAGCTTGTCCATAGAACAACCATTGTGGACTTCCTCCAAAGGGGGGTAATCATTTGATCAACCCTGGGGGGACTACTACGGACTGAACCAACAAGTTGTTTCAATTAAGCCGCGATGCACGTTAGCCAGCAAGCATGTTAGCTTGTCAAATAAATGCACGAAATGTTCTTTTTTTTACGAAACCTCTTTGTGACACAGCCTTCTAGGAGGGCATCTTATCAGCAGCATCGGTTCAATTGACAGTGAGTTACTCATCAGCAGTCAACCTTGCTTGAAGCAATGCTGGTGAGTTGCCTGATGTTGATTGACAGAGCTTGCTTGCATTTGAACAAATTATGCTAATGAGATGCATTCCCAGAAGGCCGTGTGGCCATTGGGTTGTGCAAAACAAACCTCATTTTACCATCAGAGTATGAGAGCTCGGGGCAAGCATCTACACTATGGGGACCTCATTTGCCAGTAAAAATATGATAATTGGTTCTTTACCCTTCTATCTGGCAACAAAACTGACACCTTTTTGCAAGGAGTCATGTTTGCATAGACCGCAATACCTGCAGTCATAATACAAACAAAAGAACATAACTCTGATAATGTGCACTGTCCTTGAAGTTGATTGGTCCACACCCGAGACAGCTTTCCTTCGAGCCTAGTCTCATATGGGTTGGACCAGATGACGCCAAAAGGCGCAAGCTGTCTCGGGTGTGGACCAATCAACTTCAAGGACAGTGCACATTATCAGAGTTATGTTCTTTTGTTTGTATTATGACTGCAGGTATTGCGGTCTATGCAAACATGACTCCTTGCAAAAAGGTGTCAGTTTTGTTGCCAGATAGAAGGGTAAAGAACCAATTATCAAACCTCATTTTAGTTTTATGTCGAGCGACAAACCTGGGAACAGAGTTTTTTTTTCACGAACACTCTTCACGATGACCCTTAAACTATCGTTGCATTTGAAAAACTGGCAATGATGGGAGTGACTGCTGCCCTTTCGACCTCCTATGACCTTAGGCGGTGGCCACATCCCCTGAAATTGTGGCCAGCTGCACCCACACGGGATTGTACCAAGGCGGGCAACACAAATGGACCCTCGTGAAACACACGGAGCCTAAACATTATTCACGGGACACAACTTCTATAGCCAATGGCTCATTGATGGAATTAGCCTGGTCAATAGCTCTGCTCTCAGATCACCCTCAAACGAGGATAAATCACCCTGAGGTGGCAGGTAAACTACTATATTACGCGCAAGTAGATTGGGAATTGTTTTCCTTCTGCCACGGTAGGAAAGCGACGTGTGCAGCGGTCTCTCCAGTTGCTCTCCCCCTCTTCACCGCTCCGTCTAATGGCAGGTCCCACGCTCATATTTCCTTCATCCAACCGGATCTTGAGTTTTCCTCTTCATTTCACAGCTGCCTTAGCTCAGCTCATTGCGCAAGCAATTTCCTTTTATTTCTGCCTCTGGCCTTTCGCTCAACCTACTTCCTCCTGCCGGAGCATTCTTCGCCTAAACCTCCCCCTCACATTGTCCAATTGTTTTCTAAATTATATCTCTTCCCCCCCGAGCCGCTCCATTAGTTCCCTGAAGAAGCTCCGATTGTGTGGAGCGACACGTCAGACGTAGTGCCGCACATCGTTGTTTTTCTGACAATTCATTTCTTAAGGGCCA